TCAATTTGTTGAATTTGATAGGGCCCATTGTACTTAAATACTATTAATAATCAAATACGTAATATGAAGTTGATTGGATAGTCAAATAAGTAATAAAATATTGTAAATTGAAGTTGATTGGAAAGCTGATGGGCCCCACATGCTGTTAAGAGTCAATTTCCATAATGTCACGAATGTTGTTATATAGGTGACAATAGCCTTTAGTAACGGCTTCATATGTAATGAAGCCCAAAATTGTAACTACATTGTGACTATTGCTTTTACTCACAAAAAAAATGTGACTAATGATGCCAACAGTCACCAATAAAAAGGTAACCATTGTTGACTTTTTTTGTAGTGGAACAAACCAGAAAAATGCAATAAAGAAAACCTTAATGAGTACACCACCAAGAAAGATAACAGGGACGACAATTGAGAAGAGCCTCAATAAAGCACACCAACTCGGCCCAGAACTAGATAGAGAAAAACTGCCTATGACCAAGCATAATTCTTTAGTCGGTGCAGAGGTGAGAGAATTTGCAAAGAGGCAACACAAAAGAAAAAACACTACGAACAAACCAGAAAAATGCAATAAAGAAAACCTTAATGAGTACACCACCGCATCCTGAAACTGTCAAACAAAAGCTCCTATAAAAAAACCATAGTCCTTTGGACAGCCCAAGAATTGAAGAATATATAGAGAGGTAAACGACGCTCCTTATATCTTAATCTTTGCCCCTAACAAAGTAAGAAGGACCAAGATCGGCTTCTTGGTATGACATATTCTTGATTTAACTTAAACCGTAATATTTGATAATCATGTTCAATACATGTATCTCCAAGTAGAGATTAGTTAAGATTTGAATTGAATATTGTTGAACGAATCATTAAAGATCTCCCATGGTGTATGCTCATCATTTTAACCCAAGGTGTATGATCACCACCCTTTTCAATACTTGATACGTGTCTATATGCATAATTATAATTAATATTTTACTTTGATTTATATAACTATAATTATGCTTATGGACACGTGTCAAGTGTTGAGAATGGTGGTGAGCATATACCTTGGGTTAAAGTGGTAAGCAAAAATGCTCCCACCAAAACAAAAGATCTCCCACATTTTGCATAGAGTAGTACAGTACTACCACATCAGCATATGACACTTTCATTCAAATTTTACCACGTATTATATTTAAATAAATAAATAAAACTATTTACACAGTTGGATTTTGACTTCTAAGTTTACCCTTTAGAATAAAATTAGAAAATAACAGAAAAAACAATCCTTCAACTGGCAGTCCGCCTCCACCGCCCCATCTTTGTTATATTCCTCCCTCTCTCCAATCCTTCAGTTTCCCCATAAAGTTGTCTTCCTCCCCATTTGCTGAAGTTGATTGAACCACCTGTTTTTTCTTTTTTTCATTGCATATGATGTTTAATTTGATTGCTAACAGTTAGATTCACAATGAATGACTTTTTAATGTCAACCAAAACAAAAAAACTTGAAGAAGAAAGTTCTAAGTTTGTAATTAAAAAAATAAAGTCTACGTAAATCTAGCAACATTTTGTCAACATATCCATAGTTCAGTGGTAAGAGCATTTGCTTTCATATAAATAGTCTTAGGTTTGAACCTCAATAAAACCCTCCTCTTTCATTTGACAAAAAAAAAAAAAAAAAAAAAAAATCTAGCAACATCTTTTGCAGATTTTTTTATGTCATATTTTTATTTAGGGAGGAGAGGCTAAAAATGACATTCGTTGATGTTGTTCTGTCACATATTTGATCATTCATATTCCAAATCAAATGAGCTTATTAATCAACCTAATTAACCCCACTAAATCTAACTGTGAAGTAGTAATTTATTTTTTGTGTAAAAGTTGAAATAGTAATTTTAAAGGTGAAATTATAAAAATTACACGAGAAACTTCTGCGTGAAAGAAAAAGAAAAGAATATAATTTATCCATTACAATAAATAAATAAATAAGACCTGAACCATTTTAGTCCATCTAGTCATTCAAGCTAGAATAAATAAGAAAAAAGAAACCAAATTTGGCAAATATTCGAGAAAATTCCCCCTCACCATTTTAACTTTAATATTTCTAGGGTTTGCCACCAGTGATACACTTGAAAAACTGAATAGAAAGGTTTTAAGCTGCACTTGAAAAAACACATTCTTTTGAATTTCACAAATGCTTGATTGAAGTTGTAAAGAGGTTTTTTAAGGTACATTTTCCAGTGAGTTAATTATGCCACCAAATCTTTGGGAAGTAGAGACAAATATATGTGGGATTGTGGCATGATTCTTCAGTATCTCTTGGGATACTAATTATATTCATAGGACATGCAATATTTCTTTGAACACACCACACGTAGTAGATGCTTTGATGCTTTGATTTGAGGATTTTTGTCAATATGTGATAAAAACTGATGCAGATCGAAAAGAAAATAATAAAATTATACGGTTGACAGCATGACATATTGTCCTTCTGAGTACCGCTAAATCACGATATTGATGTATAATAATGCATTGGAAAAGTTGTATAGAAAACATGGTCAGTTACACGTTCTGCTTGCGTGGTTTGGAGTATGAGACAATTTAGCTCTACCCCTTAAACTTTCAGTTCATGTTAATCCCCTCCTAATCGTCAATTATGTCACAAATTTCCCTTCGTTTTCATCACGTGCAACCCACGCGACTAACGTTTAGGGGCATATACGTCAGTTGATGTTGCAACTAGGCATTGACCCCATTTTGTGCCTGGGGGGGGGATCTAGATCTAGTTGAGTGCCAAAGGCTGGAGGGAAATGACACTCAATTTGATAAAATGATTGACATAATTAACGGCGGAGAAACATTGGCACAAATTGAAAGTTTAGGGAGCTTCAAACCAAATTGAAAGTTTAGATGAAGTGGAATACGACCTATAATTCAAGGGGCATAGTTAAATTCTTCCCTTTCAAAAATTGACTAAAACAACCCTAAAATTTTGAATCTTTATTCTATTGGCCACTCTATTGGTTTTTAATTTTGTTGTTGTTGAAAGCTCTGTTAAAAAAATAAATAATAATAAGCACTATAAGAGTATACAACATATAGCACTGAACCAGTCAGTACTATTCAAAACTCAAGCATAAGAAACATGAACAAATGCGTAATCTTAAAAAAGACTCGCTCCTGAATAACTTGACAACGAAAGAGAAGAAAGAATAGGTAAGAACAAGGAAAGAGAAGAAAGAAGAGGAAGCCTGAACACCCCTTCAATCTGCGTACATCAAAAAAACCTTGGCAGCACCAGAAGCTTGCAGCCTACAACAAAGCACAAAATCAGAAAAAAAAACGAGCAAAAAGTAAAATAACGAATAAGAAAAGAAACTAAAAAGCAAAATAACAAATAAAGAAAAAACCTAAAAGAACACAAATGAACAGTAAGGAGAAGAAAACTAGCAACCCGACACAATACAAATCTCAATCAAAAAGCTAAAAAGAAAGAACACCAGATTGATGTTATGTGGATTAACAGAGATTGACAGCAAATATGAAGCTTTTTAAATAAATAAATAAAAACTGGAACCTTATGGATATAAGGAGAGATGAAGTATGGACTCCATTGCATCAATAATGTTCATATAAGCAAAAATGGGTCCCTCAAGTGCCACTTCAAAACATAACAATTAAACTTTAAGAATGCTTTGACCATAATAATAAAAAGGTATAAACATCTAATTGTGCACCCAAATTTTTTTTAAATCTCCGGGACTCTAGCGTTAAATACAAAAATTCAACTATCATCCTCAAATTTCTCTATTTAAAAAAAATATATATTTAATGACTGTCATCCATCATATCTAAAGTTAGAATCTGTTTGAACAAAATAGAGATTGATGCCATTAGGACAAATTTTCCTTGGCAGTTTCTCTACTTTAAATAAATTATTCTACAGGATGAAAAAACATGTTTTGGGCCCATAGAGGGTGAGAGGGTGAGAGGCAGACCAGTTGGTGAGAGGCAGACCAGTTGGTTATCAATTTGTCTCATGGAGTAAGTGTACCTTTATGCATGGTTTAGAATAGTCATAGCCACCCAAAACAAAAAGGGAAGATTTTCCTTTCTTTTTTTGGGTTAAAGTGAGGAAGGGGAAGACAGTTTTCTCAAATGTTAGAATAATCATCATTAATGTGTTATGAAAGTTCGAACATGAGACTACTAATATATAAATCGAGGTTTTTTTTCACTGAATTATACTTCATTGGCAAAACGAAAAGAGAAGATTACTTTCTCTAATGTGAGTTTATTACATTCTCTCAAACCATTAAAATGCATGGAATATCACCAATCTCAATTATTCTTATTTTTTAATGCGAATGACTCTACATAAAGTGGTTTTCTGCATAAACAAAACAATATATTGAGCCAAAGTTAACCTCTGGAGATTATGTGGCTCTTTCGATCTTGTCAGACAGTTCAAAATTAGTTTTTGAGCCATCACCTACCAAATACTGCCATGTCTACTTTCAATTATATTGATCAATGAATCATTATAGGTAGAGGTTTTTCTAGTAAAAGTTCTCATGGAGAACACTGGGGGATTTGTGTTGATTTCTGTATGGAGAAATTTTTTTCTCTTTAGGGAACTTGGATAGATAAATTTTCTTCCAGTATTGTTAGCTACATGCATTTTTGAACAGGGAAGTGATTCCACCAAATTAAAATGCAACAAAACAAACCCATGTGATGTAATATGACCATTCATGTATGTGGTTTCCATTGACCTATAATTCACTATCAGATTAGACCACCATGATCATTATGATTTGGAATAATAATGCAGCCTGGGCCCTAAGGTGGGAAGCAAAAGTTTTGGCTTCATATTAGATATTACAAGTGCATAGCAACTTATTGTTTGCTCCTCAACTATACCTTATATTATTTTAGAGAGAGAGAGAGATAAACATACATGGAAAATTTAACACTTCTGGCAGTAAATACTGACTTCTTCTATGAAGTAAATGTCTCTTTCACTCTGCAATGATGGGTTTTGAAGCTGGGATGAGTGCTTCTCTGATGTGTTGTTGATCCTCCAAATCATCAGATACTTGCTTGGGCGGCTTAGATGGTTTCCAGTATATTGCATAGAGAATCAGCTGAGCAGTACCAAATAAAAATCCAGTCCCATTTGGAATCTGCAAATGATTGAACAATGTGTGGGACAAAATATTTATTAGAATCAATGAGTATTTCATAGGATGGGTGATGTTGGTAGGAAACTTACTCCAACAAACAAGTCTTTTGCAAGAATGGCATAGAGTGTCCAAATCCCTCCATTGAGGAAAAGGATGAATGAGAGAAGAAAAGGCATGTATTCCACACTCTTTAGTGCCACCACAGTTTTCTGTACATTAATACAAAGTTTAACATACGGATGTTAATAGATCTTAACCGGTTAGTAAGTTAATACGAAAAACAGTACTCACTCAAGAGGAACAACACAACAGTTCATATTTGCCATAGTATGTAACAAGTCTAAGATTCTGAAAACTTATCAGTTGATGTTTCTCCTACCATGGCTGAAAGAGGGGAAGCATATGCAATCATGCTGAAGACGGAACACAAAAGTCCTGCTGCGTCAATCCGCTGATCTCCATGTAGCAGAAACTGAGTAAGCAAAATTGCTGCTGCTGGAAAGGCTATATTAAGAGCTACAACAAGCATGGCAGTCCTGGCCTAAGATCATAAACCACCATGAAACAGATCAATGCAAGAGCAACTTGAACACTAATTAATCTCAAATACTTTGTATGGAAGAAATAGATAAAACTTACCTTCATTCTTGGTGGTGCAAAAAGTAGAAATATGGTAAGAAAAACGATCTCCACAACTGCACCAAAAATATTGACCGTGGCCACCAGCACGCTATTTGGCTTAATAAGTCCGTAGTAAACCCAGAAATAGGCGTTCAATAACTTGCTAACATAAGGAACACTCTCAAATTCCTCAGTTGATCTACGCCTCAGAATTCGCACGAACACATTTCTACATCAATTCCAAAAACAAAAACAAAAAATCATTGAAATCAAATCTGCACAAAAACTAACAAAACCAAGATGTTGTAAATTGCAAAATCAATGAGCTCACGCAGGAGAGACGTAGACTAATCCCGACATAACGTTACCTGAAAGTACACATGCAGATTAATACATATTTACATCAATTCATATGAACTCAAAAACAAAAAAAACAGAAGAGAGCTGTATTGCTAATACTTACCTAGCAACCCAAACATGACAACGAAATTTATTGCCATGTTGAGGAAGATTGATGAAGAACTAAGCCTCAATCCTGCCAGCAATAGGAAAGAAGAAAGCTATATTTCTGGGGCAGGAATTAAGACTTCTGTTTAATCTGCCGGGCTTGAAGAGTAGCACTGGAGCTGTTTTATTGACTTCTCTTCTTTGGAATCTAAAGTCGCTGCAGTTAACTTGAGCTATTGAGAGCATGATGCTGTCTGTACGTTCTAGTGATTTTTTATGCCTGATTGCTGTGCTGATGTTGCTTTATCAAATTATTAGTTGTCATTTTAACTTTTCTTTGCTATATATACATAATTAATTCAGTCTGCATGGGTCGCTTTTATATCAACTCGCAGCGCACACCAATCTGTCTTAGTCTAGCTGTTTTTGACCAGACTACTTGCAAATGACATTACGGGTCTGTGGTATTTGTCTTCACTTGGTTGGAGTAGGTGACGAGTTAAAGACGAAATATATATTTGTGATAGTGTATTCACCTATTATAAAAGTATCATGTAATTATCCTATCGTTTTATCAAAATAAAAAAGACACGAAGAATTCTTAACCAAGCTTTTGTCTTTTATAACGGTTAAACAAAACAAAATGCAAATAAACAAAGGGAAAAGAAAAAGTTGCTCGGTCTTTTACTGGACTAAGACAGAATCGCTAGCATTGTGCCATTAGTTAAGGGGGTAGCTTTATTGTCATCCAGGTGAGCTGCTGAGGCCAAACACTTAGTCGTGTGGCGCTTTACGCTTTACTTTGGTTCACTGATATGTCTGACCAATCTGGTCTTTGCATCCATTATATCGCATCGAAACAGAAACAGAGGGGGAGAGGGAGGTAATTACTTGGTAAGCATCCATCACATAATCCCAAAAGCCAAAAAAAACCAAAAACAAAAAACAAAGTGATGTGCCCCAGGATCAATGGAAAAGCAATACCACCACCAGACTTGGATTACGATGATTTAGAGGACAAAACAGAGGGGAGAAGGAGGTGAGAAGAGAGATGATATTACAAACATTAAGAATCTATTATGGTATCCCCAAAGTGCTTTGATTAATTATATAGCATCAATAATTCATTTCGGACACAATCTCAAACTTAATGTCTTTTGATTAGTGGTTTGGAATGATTGTCATAATGAGCGTAAAAAATTTGTGTCCACTATGAATAGAAAAATACATTTCTCTTTTATGTTCTCTTCTATTGAGAGATTCTCAAACAAAGAGATATCTTTCATCAACTACGAATTTTATTTCAGCGATTCAAACCGTTTAATTTTTAAAGCTTTATTCATAGATTATGTTTGTAAAAAATTAGACAAACTGAAAGCCATTATGACATATGGTTGTGAGTAATAAAATAGACGAACATGGTGCTTCAAGAAAATACTAAAATAATAAATAATTAAATAAATAAATAGTTTCAAATTCAAGTGATTTTCTGCAAAGATGATCTTTGAAGGGCTACTAAAAAATAGATTGTTCAGATAACTAAAATACAATACATAACAGACCCCTCAAGGATGTTCTCAAATAAGAATCCCTAAATTGAAGCTCTATGATAGAAAACAACATACTAACATACAAGAAAGATACTCAACAAACCACTGCTGGGGGCTTCTTGTCTTCAACTGCCTTCATGGCTTTGGAACTTATGGGAACTCCTCCAGAGGTGAAGGCAAAGCAGTGTTACGAAATAAGACAATGGAGGAGTTGTGTAGTTTTGGGGTTCTGTTATCTCAATTTTAAGACTCATTTGGTTTTTGAGATATGTTGTGATTTTAGCGTATAATATTATATATGTGTTTTTTTATATAAATGATATACTATTTTTATTTAATATGAATTACAAGGAGGGGGATTCAAACTCGAGTGCAAAGTGAAGTGCACATCTTCTCTAGCCAACTTGGCTTAGCTCATGTCTACAAAGATACCCGTTTTATAACGTGAGTAGATTGATAACATTACATGGTGATACGACTGTTACACTATGTGAATGGAGAAATCTGCTATTCTATTCCTACCACGTGGCTTGTTTATATTAACCCACATGGCATGAACAATCTCCCGTAAATTTTTCTCCTGAGACTAGAGCGCATGAAGTATACGCAAAATCAGCAAAATACCAATAAAAGGCAGAGAGAGAAAAAAATAGCAACGTCAAGTCACTCTGGTTGCCATGTCACTCTTATCTGAGTGAGCTCCACAAACTTTTAAATCAATGAGAGTCTTGAATCAAGAATGATGTTCCTAAATAATTTTTTAGCCTCTTAACAATTCAATTACATTTCCACACAAAAAAACAAAGAAAAAAAAACCACTCAATTAGATTTGTAGTGGTTGCTGATGGTGATATGCAGCTGAATATAAACCAACCACTCAATTACGTATTGACTTGTTCTCCAACTCATGGCCATATGATTTGATTGGTTGAGATACATTACAGCTCTAGTAATTTTTTTCCCTAAACGATCTTCATATACTTCAAAAACGTTTTTTCTAGTTCCATTGGGAGGAAAGACAATTCTGGAGTTTCGAACTTGGGTGCCAAGTATGAGAGAGGGAAGGGCCACAATCACTGTAGTAAACCCGCTTGACTACTTTTAGGGTCAATGGGGTCATACGACCCCATGACAGCCATGGGAATAGGCTTGGAGGTCCCTATTTGCTGGTGGTGCGACCCCATGCACAGAAGCTGTTCGATAAAAGTCCTAAAGGACAGCCATGAGAATACGCTTGGAGGTCCTTTTGCATGAAGGCCTTGCAGCGCTGTGAGCCTCTTTTGTTTTTAAATCGCCTGGAAAACGACGTCGTTCTGCAGGCTCTTCATTTTTTTTCATGACTGACCTCAAAACTTGGTCGTTTTGAGCCAACAAAAAAAACAAAAGGGCACCCACCACACACCCCTCTTTAGTCTTTACCCGACTCCACACACCCCAAAAATTCCCAAATTATTTCACACTCCCACTCCCTCCCAAACACTAAGCACCAACCCCCACCACCCTTAATTCCCAATGACATGGATGGTTTCTTAGATGAGAACCCAGAGGTCCTTCACACTCTTCGAATAAGGGTAAAACCTGAAAGTTTTTTGTTCTGTATTATCTCTTTTTAATTCTTCTTGTTTTGAAACGCTTGTAGAATTGTAATCTTTTATATGTTAGACAACCATTATCTATGGTTTCAAATTCAAATTCATTCCAGACTTTGGCCAAGGCTTGCTAGCTTTTTTTGGACTTGTTCAACTTCATTTGATAAGGTTGTAGTTTGAGTTTCAAATACCTACCGTGTAAATAGGGCTTGATGTAATATGTTACCTAATGTTCTTCTCAACTTGTGCAATATAAATATCCAGCTTCATCACAATGATGGTTTACTAATTTGATCAAAACTCTTCCCTGTGAAGTTAAAATCATAATAATACTTATGTATATTTTAAAACAAATATTGATGTTCATACTCCAATTCCACAATACTATACAGTGAAATTCAAGCTTTTCAATGCCTTTAAATATAGTTTATTAATTTGATATGAATTATAATTAAATTAACACATTAGTTGACCTTGAGTATGAGTTGACTCGTATCATTAGAATGTCTTGACCATGTATGTGAAGTGTCTTGACCATGAACACACTGCTACAAATATTCAAAAAGACAATGCTGAATACACAACGGTTGGCTTCAAACCGTTGTATTTATTTCTTCCATAACAGTTATTACATAACCGTTGCTAAAATGGGTTTTTAAGCGTTGTGGTTTAGGGTATTTGGTTTTCTGATTTTATTTCACAACTTTCTACAACGGTTTTCGTTTCAACCGTTGTAATTGAAGCCTTAAAAAAAAACACGGAGTGAACAGTGGCTCAATATTTTTTCTTCAGCCCCGATAGTTCTCATTCTCTCTTATTTCTCTTCTATCTTTTGTCTCTCACGTCTACCTCTCTCCACGGTCTTGTTCTTCCCACCTCGTCGCCTTGCCTTTGCCACAGCAATAGACAGCGAGACTCTGTCTGTTTGCAGAAGATGGGTTTCAATTTATGGTTTGGGTTTTAATCTAACCATTTGGGTGTTGGCTTGCGGTCGCTCTACCTCGATCAACAAAGGTAAAGAAAAAAAATATTTAGGGTTTCAATTTATGTTGCAGCTGTTTGCAGAAGAGGCACATTCCTCGTCGGTCGTCCTCAAAACTCTGACCCAACGACGCAGCCTCTTTTAATTTTAACAGAGACCCATTTCCATTTTCAATCCCCTTTCTCTCTGCCTGTTACTTTCTAAAAATTCTTAATTTTTCGCGTTGTTTTTCATTTAAATTTCTTAAAATTCTGCGTCTTTTCAATGAACCTCAATTCTCAGATCCATGGGAGGCCAACCCATGTTTCTATATAACCCCTTTGTCATTCTCTACCTGGGTTTCACCAATGCCCCAACCCTAACGGATCCCGCCTCACCTGAACCTAACGGTTTCTTGGTTTTGCCTCAAAATCTCAGCCGTCCCAAATTGGTGAGTAGATGAAAGCTGAAGCCACCTTCTGTATTTTGTATATGGTTACTTTTTGTGTTATGTTTTTACAAGTTGCCATTGGATTTGTTCAAACAGGTCAGAAAGGAGACACTTTTGGAACCGTCAGACCTTAGGTTCTTTCAAATCCCTAATTTTTCTTCATAGTGGGTCTGTGTTATTGATTTGCAAATTTTATCCAAATACTGAAATTGATTTGATTGTGTTATTATTTTGATGAAATCAGGTTAAACAATTTAGTTATTAAAATACTATATGATTGCTTTTGATCAGGTTTTCTGTTTGGTTATTAAAAATTAGTTGGTAAACCCTGAAAATCGGTATTTGGATATGCTGGTTCTTTTGTTACAGGGTTTAGGATAGCTCTGTTTTGGTAAGCAGGATATGCTGCTATTTGGGTAGCTCTGTCTAAAGATATGTTCGTTCTTTTACTACAGGGTTTTAATTCAAATTCGTTCTTATACTGGTTTATGGGACTGGGGATTTGAATTTGATAATTTTTGTTTTGGTAGGGGAAAGAAAATTTGGGAGTGTGATTCTAGGAACTGATTGCAATGTTTTAACATAGTTGACGTGAAGAAGACTGGTTCAGGAAATATGTGGGATTTGAAAATCTGACTTCTAAATTGGAATTCTGTTTGTGGACTCTAGTGATGATGAGAAAGAATTCTGAAAAGTTAAAATTCATAATTTTTTTGTTTGTGGGTTTGATTTACCAAGCAGATTTTTGCGTTGAATGGAGACTTATTGAAAACTTAAAAAGTTTGTATATCCTAATTTCAGAATGCAGAGTTTGGTTCTATTGTTTTTTTCCTTTTCATGGGCTAATAATTTGGCCATGCTTCTACTCTTTGCAGTTGCTAGGGACTGGAATGGATACGCAGGATACATCTCCTTCAGTGTTGCTACTCTTTGACAAGCAAAGATTAATGCTGGAGAGGTAAGGAACTCAAGTACATACATTTACATGTGGTTAGTTTTGTAATATTAAAAGTAAGGTGATGATTCAATTATTGTCTATGAAATAGTAATTAGAGATCAATGATAAACCTGTTGTTAAGTAATATAGTGTCTCTTACTTTGCAACTCTCACTTCAGGGATTGCAACGGTTCTGCACAGAGCATAAGATTAAGTTATCAAAGGTATAAGATATCTGAGATCCTTACCCATTAGGTAGTTAAGACCAAAAGTGGGGCTCTATATATACGCCTGGTGGTTAGCGAGAGAGAGTGAGTGGTTTTAAAGGGTGTCAATGGCCTTTGAATTTTACTTATATAAGATTAAAGTTATGTGCTTTCAAGTATTTGTGAGCTCTCTGTATCTGGGTTTTGAGCAAAATGACTTTATTGATAAAGCTTTGATTTGCAATGTATATTAATGGACTAATAGGAACTGCTGACTGATGCAGTTTTGCATGTCCTTGGTTAATGCATTTATGTTTGCTCTACACAGATGATAAATTTTTAGGAGAAATGGAGATTTAAAGAGAGAAGTTATGGATCTTATAAGGGTTTAGGGTTTAGGGTTTACTATCTCTAATTTTTGGATCCTAATGGAATTTCTTTGATTACATATGCTGTTTCTCCAAAGCACCAATGAAGAAAGCATTTAGATTTGATGGGTTTGATGTGAATGGTATGAATCTCTCTCTCTCATTTTGGTTTGGGATTTTTGATTTATTTGTGAATTAATTTTGTTGGGTTCAATGAAATTATCAGCTAGCTGCAGTTGACTTGTTGTAAATCACGTATTTGGTCTACTTCAGTTCTTTATCGTATCTGCCCAAAAAAAAAGTTCTTTATGGTAATTTATAAAGTATTTTGATTCTGTTTTCTGGCATTTTCCTTTGTTTCTCCAATTAATAGATGTAGGGGATTTCCTTTGTTTTTGGTTCACCAAATGGTTTTCATCTATTCTGATTTTCTAATTTTTTATATGAGATGTGCAGTTGTTGCGGCTCTTAATCCTTCAATCTTCTCCATCTTACTTGCTATAGTCGAAAGTTCACATTACTTTGGTTGTTTTTGGGTCTTCTTGCTAACTACTTAGAACATGCATTCTGCATTTTCATGTTTGTATATTTCTTTTCTTCCATAACTTTATACACATTTTACGTAATTTCATAACCCGCAGCACCGCGCGGGTCCTTTTGCTAGTATATATCTATTCTATAATCCATTTTTGTAAAAGACAACAGTGGAAAGAAAAAGCAACTGCCCACAATAAATATATATATATATATATATATGTCCATTCTAATAATCCATTAATGGTTTTCACTTCTGCTACAACCTATCTATTCTCAAGCAGCTTGAGTCCTAAAATTCTTGAAGGCTTGTTGGGAGTAGGCACACGAGCAGATGGATGAAGTCAGACATAAGTGAGCAAGTTTTGTGACCATTATGTAGAGTGATGAAGTTATGGAACAAGATAAAGACAATTTTTTTATTGTGAAAATTGTTGTAGCGTACATGCATTGAATTTTAATTGTAAATTGATATTGTGGTATAAATTATTAGTGTGAATTTCCATTAATTTTCATAGTGAATGATTCCTTTGGAATTTTGGTAATTTTGTGGGTTTTTCAAAACGTCATTTTGTGGTTTTTGATAACAACCGTTGTGGAAGGTGTTAAACCACAACGGTTTTAAGTAAGAACTGTTGTGGAAGGTGATAAACCACAACGGTTACCATTGACAACCGTTGTTGAAAGTGCCAAATTACAACAATTTTATAGAATAACCGTTATTGAAAGGGTCATATTACAACGGTTATCATTGAAAACCGTTGTCGAAGGGGTCATATTACAACGGTCACTCTTGCATACATTTTTTATATATGAGAATTGAGAACGGTTTTCCTTAAAAACCGTTGTTGAAAGTGACATATTACAACGGTTTCTAACCGTTGTCATAAATATGTAGAAAAGACGACATTGCTAACGTCAACAGTTTTACAAGACTTTCTACAACGGCTAAAAACCGTTGTCTATTAACTTTTTTGTAGTAGTGACACGGCGTTGACCATTGGACATGAGTTTTTGTTTTGGAGTTAGGGATAGGAAACACTTGCAAGTGGAAAAGAAATTCCCACTCAACTTCCACTAGGACACATGGTCACATCGTCTCCCAAATACCCCTCAACCCAAAACACCAATTAACAGTAGACACACACAAAATCAACAACTCCTCAACACAAAGAATGGAGCTCAAATCAAAAAAAAAGAACAATACAACATAAGCCAAAAAATATTGATCTACACAAATTTGCAAATACCCAACAGGTTGATAGGAAGACCCTAGAACAACTAGGGGTGAGACAAACCTGGCAATACACAAGGGAAACAAAAGCCTAGCACAAAATCGGCTAGGAAAAAATGCCCTCCACAAATATGGGGGGAGATAACCCGGTTTATTCGTACGATGAGATGATTTCACGGGAATGAACGTATAAAGGAGAGGGAAGAAGAGAGAGAGAGAAGGGGGAGGACTGTATGCTGTATTTGTTTTTTTTTTTTTTTTTTTTTTTTTTTTTTTTTTTCTTTTTTCTCTTTTTTTTGCTGATTTCTAATTTATGATGAGACATGATTTACCATTGGATCTATATAATTGTCTATTAAAATTACAAATGATAAAAAGAAAATGGATTTTTATCACAAGCGGTCCTTATTTTTAAAAGTCTTTAAGCTTCCAAATCAATAAATGTGGTTCTTTATCTTTTGGTCTACACACCAATTTGGTTAATATTACCGCATTTCAACAAAACTTTCATTAAATTTAGTCATGTGACTAACTTTAAAGGGGTACTTTCACCAAAGTATAGCTCTTGGTAGTCCTAAAACTCACATTTTTGCTCAACAAGGCCATCTTCGCTCTGTTTACGGTTTTACATTTAGGTAACATAAAGGAGAATAGATAACATTATTGACAAAATACGCGAGATTTACTTTTTGTCATGTGTAGATAGGTTATATTATGATGAAAATACTATTTTAAAGTAAGCTATAAGTGTCATCATGTGAACATTTTTAACAAATATTTTTCCCGAATGTGATGTGAGTGATCAAACTGATGTGCACACCAATAGATTAAAGGACCACATTGATTGATTTGGAAGTTTAAGAACTCAAATGAAGATTTTTGCAAATTTCAGAAACTATTTGTAATAAAAACTCAAAGAAAAGATCGAGGAATGTATCACTAATTTTGGTCATTTTCAGCAATCTATAAACGGTATCAATCTGAATACCGTTTGAACTGCCAACTTTTTTACATTAAACACAGTTGAAATTGACCAAGTGCTCTCCTTTCCTATTCATCTTCCTCCTCTTCGTCCCCCTTAACCTCTGTAGACCAGTGCAAGTGGTGGCCTATGTCATGGTGGAGAAGTCCTTTTTCCATCCTTTATATTTGTTTATGAAATTCTCAAATTAACTTATAATAAAAAGGGATATTTATTGAAATGCCACATGAACTTATACCTTTGTTTCAATTTGTTACCTGAAAAAAAAAATTAAGTGAAATGTCACCCGAATTTTTCAAAATCCATGATTTGTCACCTGAGTTTAACTTCATCTAATTTTTCAACTATTTTCAAGGGTATTTTAGTCTTTTTCTTTTCAAGAGTATTTTAAAAATGGAAAAATCATTATAAAAAAATTATGAAAAGACCTTTGGAAATTACAAAAATTATATATCTTTTCACATTTAACCCCCAACCATTTTTACATTTAAGCTTTATTTTTTTTAATAGTAATTTTTTCCATTTTAAAAATATTCTTGAAAATGAAAAGACTAAAATACCCTTGAAAATATATGGAAAATTGGATTATGTTAAATTGAGGTGACAAATCATGGATTTTGAAAAATTCAGGTGACATTTCACTTTTAAAAAAAATTTCATGTGACAAATTGAAACTAAGGTGTAAGTTTAGATAACATTTCAACAAATATCCCTAATAAAAAATAAAAATTTCGTTAACAAGTAATTGAGTAGTTATCGGAATTTTGGTTTGCATGTGTGAAAAGCACCAAAATGGTGTTTTTGTCAGGCTATAAACCCACAAGGCCCAACCAAATAGTGTGTATACTTGTATAGCAAATTAATTAATTAATTAATTAATTTTCATTTTTTAAGTATATCAAAATAAGGCCCAACAAAATAAGACCAACGAATGCTTTTGGACTATACGTATCTTCCTCCCCTTGACTAAACAATGGGCCTCTTTTCTTTGTGTTATACAAGCCCAATTCGTTTGCAAAACCAGACTTGAAAAGGAGAATTTATGAATCATGAATTATGAAATCGAGAATAAGGGACAAACCAAAAGGGTATGGGATCGATAACTTCAACTTTTTTTTTAGTACAAGTGATTGAGGGAGAAACTCCCGCATCTCATAGTTTAGACTATTAGTACTATTTTATTTTTTTTTTTTTTTTTTATTTAGCTCTGTGGGGTTTAACCCCTAAACACAAAAAAATTAAATGACATAGACAGTACGAGTTCTAGGAACTCTTAATAAATCATCATAAAATGTAGCTTCAACCTAGCTAAGAATCTCATTAAGCACAACAAATCCCAAATCAAAATTATAGCCTGCCTTCGCTAAACAGTTAGCCACCTTGTTTTTCTCCTTATAAATGTGGTTAATCACATAATTACCCATTTGTCCCATAAGAGCATAGCAACTAGACAACAAAGATGCCATCAGATGTAGAATAAAGAGAAGATTTTTGGAGATGCCCCTTTGGATAGCAAGTTTCAAAACCAAAGAACAACCATCATATTTCAATTGCTAGGATGTCACCACTCCCCATATTGGCCACAAAACCACCAATTCAATTCCCTTTATCATTGCGGATTACTCCCCCAACACCAATGACTCTAGACGCACATTGGCACGACCCATCAACATTAAGCTTGAACTGACCAGTATAAGGAGGATCCCAAATAAGAAAAATTTGAGTTGTGTTAATTGGCGTATGAACAGTAGAACTGGCCTTCACCCATTCCTGAGTAGGAGTAAAAATAATATTTCTAATATCAAAAGCCAAATCCTCTTCTTCGCCAAACACTTTCATATTGTGCCATTTCCAAATCTACCAACATGTAAAAGCAAAAGCGATGTTCCACGAAATTCCAAATTGGCAATAAGACTTAGTTAACAAATTAACCCTCAACCAAGGCTGAAAATCCAATTGAAAAAATTGCGAACTCAGATTCTTTGGAAGAAATAAGCTCCAAACACTTTTAGCCTCTCACAGTCATGTAGGATATGCAAGACATATTCAATAGGCCAACCACACAAACTGAAAGAAGGATCAACAGTTAGTTGCCTTTTGGCCCGTTGCTCATTAGAAAGAATTTTACCTTAAAATAAAAGCAAGAAAAAAATCTGCAACTTAGGAGGAATATTGATATCCCATACGAACTTCCAAGGACTATCAAACCATTCAAATGATTTTTTTAAAAAAATAGACTATAAGCAGGCTTCAGCAAGCACCATTATGCCTTGAAATCAGCGAGGGATCCATGATGTCCTTACCTTGCAGATACTTAGCCTCATAAATTTTAGCCCACAATCCACTATCTTTATTATAAAGCTTCCACCCAATCTTGGCCAACAAACTCTAGTTCATATGAGTTGTTTGCTTAAAACCTAAACCACCTTTGCTCTTGGGTCTACGGGCCAAATTCCATAGGCATAAATGGATTTTGTTTTTCTTTTCATTGCCTCCCTAGAAGAAGTTATGATTAAGCTTATCAAGCTCCTTACAAACACTTGCAAGCAATTTAGTCTTTTGCATAGTATAAATTGGGATAGAAGCAGTAACCGCCTTAATAAGAGTGGCTCGCCCAGCTAAAGAAAGAAGTTTCCCGTTCCACCCAGCAAGTCTTCTGTGTACTTTGTCAAGAAGCCCATTAAAAGTAGCTTTATTAGGCCCATAGTGTAATAGAGGCACGCCCAGATATTTGCCCAGATTATCAGTTAAGGGCGAACCACAAAATATTACTGATTTCCTGAGCAGTATCCTTGCAGGTATTAGGAGAGCAGAAAATAGCAAATTTATCAAAGTTAACAGCTTGTCCCAACGCTTGGCAAAAAACCTTCAAATAGTCTTTCATGATCTTGGCTTGTTGGGGACTAGTTTCAGCAAAAAGAACAAGGTCATCAGCGAAAAAGAGATGGGAAACAACTGGCCCAGACTGAGAGGATTTCATAGGCTTCCATACAACCCTGTTAACAGTATCAAATATAGTGTGGGAATAATTTATCAATACATAGTACAAACAAGTAGAGTGAAAGAGGATCCCCTTGCCTTATACCATTCTTTGGCACAAAAGTTTCAGTGAGCTCCCCATTAATACAAATCTGATAGTGGACAGATTGGACACAACTCATTACTAATTGAAGAAGCATGTGAGGTAACCCCACCTCACCAAGTACTTGCTCAATGAAGTGCCAATTAAGTCTATCATAAGCCTTTGATAGATTGACTTTCCAAGCAATGACACATTTTTTGCCTTTGGAAATTTTGAATTTATGCATAAGCTCTTGAGCAATTAGAATATTATCGGTGATATGTCTACCTAGGACAAAACTAACTTGGTTAGAACTGATGAGGCTAGGTAAAACATGTAACATCTCGGTCCTAAATAAATTTTTAATTATTAATTTATTCATGTAAAAGACTATTTTGCCCATAAATATTTTAGCAGTATAAAAGTTAACTTTTTGATCGGAAATGAATTTGGGAATTTCAGTTGTGCCGTTGCATAGAGCACGTTGTTATGAGTTCGTAGACACGTAGTGGGCCCAAATCGGAGTTATAACGAAGAAAATACGATTAATATACAATGAGGGGCAAAATGGTAATTTATCATATTAGATTTTAAAACCTCTCTCTCTCTCTCTCTCCTCCGTGCGACACACTCTCTCTCTCTCCTAGACGGCTCTCACTCTCTCTCTTCGGACCACCGCCTCCGGCCACGGTGGCTCATGGGACCGGTGCCAAAAAGACCGGCCCGACCCCCACCGTCAAACCCCGGCCCTTCCTCGACGCCAACCGCCATCTGTTTTGCTGGAAAGAGCTCGAGAACGACCGATTTTTCATGAAATTTCGCCTGCCTCGATCTCTCTCCTCTGGTCGCCATTTCCGGCAAGCAAGGTATGGAATCTCATATACTCTTTAAGCTCTAGCTGATGGTTGGGTAGGATTTGATCAATTTCTAGTGTTAATAGTTTGATTTTGGATTCAAAGTTTAGCCGAATTTTGGGTTGAGATCCCTGCCACTTTCGGCCATTTTCCGAGGTAGGTCCAAGAATAAAAGTGGTTCCAAATAGAGTGTTACACCTAGGGTAGGAGTTTTGGGCCGTGATTTTGAGATTTTCAGGTGTAGTGTTATCGATTTGGGCACCATGCGTTGCTGGTGCGTGGGCACTGTAGCAAAAGGGCATTGTGTCCCAAAGCGATCTCCTAGTTGTCATGAGCAAGTAGGTGTGCTCGGATTTCATTTTGGATACTGTTTGAGCGTCGAATGGATTTCACCTATTGTGCAATTTCCAGGTTCCATAGGTTCAAACTGTTGGATCGAACTCGAGTTCATGTATGTCGATCTAGGTAATTCTAGGATCGTATAGGATTTGACGGATCGTAAAACAGAGTCCCGAAAACTCCGAAAATGCCAACCCTAGGGCTAGGTTTATAGTAATTGTTTGATCGTGCGATCGTGGCTAATCCGACCATTCAATTGAGACCAAACTCTCGGGACATGTGTCCTAGGCATATTGGAACCTCTAGGAACTCTCGGATTAGAATTTTGAGGTCGTGGACCCCACGGGGTCCTGGGTCGACTTTTGGGACTTTTATCGCTTTTTGAGTCTCGAGACACTTCTAGACCTTTCCAAAGATGAGAAAAGGTTTTGTGGGCAAAGTTGTGATAATTTTGGAAGATGAGTTTCAAACCCACCGTAGGAGTACCCCAGTGGCCTGGAAACAATTTGGTTATTTCTGATAATGCCCCATGAGTTTCAAGGACGCCTAGATCGTGCGGTGCGAGGATTGCGGCTTAGGTTGACTTGGTGTCTCTGAGGCCTGCGAGGAATGAGGTTGATGCCTACGAGGATTGCAGCTCAGGTTGGCTTGGTGTCTCTAAGGCCTACGAGGAATGTTGCTGGTACCTGCGAGGATTGCGGCTCATGTTGACTTGGTGTCTCTGAGGCATATGAGAGATGTGGTTGATGCCTACGAGGATTGCGGCCTGCGAGGCCTGCGAGGATGGAATTGACAGTATTAATAGAATTGACGGATTAGGATTAGGGGTACGCCTAGGTGGAGAGAATTTCAGTTCTGAGATATTCTTAAACTAAAATAAAAGGAGTTCAGTGTAAGATAGATTTATATTCAGTATATGATTGATGCGAGTATTAGAAAGAACTAGTGTTGCTTGATGTCACAAGGTGTAGCCACGAGTTGGAATGTTTGAAATTGCTAATTGTACTATCGGTGTTCGGGAAGTTAAGATGAATTTTGTTAGCAGAATGTTGAATTTTGATTGCTTGGATGTGATGCTTGATTGCTTTGTTAGTTGAGGCCTGAGGCCAAAATGATATGATGCTTGATTGCTTGGTTATAATTTAATGTATGCTGGCAGTTGGGTTATATAAACTTATATGTTTGTTGATAGGTGGAAACTTTTGGATAAATGAGCAAATTACAGGGGAGACTCCGCCGAATTTTCGGCAGAAGTCTAGTTGATAGATAAATTGGTTTCTAGTTAGAAGGGCAATTTGGTCAAATGTGTCCGACAATCGCTAGGTGTCGAACACGCACAGGGTTCGACTCGGATTCCAAAGTGGAATTTGAGTTGGGTTATGTCAAAACAAGTCTCAATCGAGCAATAATGACTTTAGAGAAAACTTTATAAAGTGTGGAACATAGGCTAATGGGCCTAAACTGCAACATACTATAAGGATTCTCCACTTTAGGAACAAGGATAATTAAAGTATTATTGAGTTTGTATGGTACCCTAAAATTATGGAAAACAGACAACACCAAACTACAAATGTCATTACCACATTGCGTCCACTGAGTTTGGTAGAAACATGCAAGAAAGCCATCTATTATAGGAGCCTTCAAACCACAAATCTAAAAGAGACTTTCCTCTGCTTCTTCTAGTTCAACAGGATTACTAAAAGAGACCATATCTGCAGCAGAGATGCTAGGAAAGAGCTAAGACAAAGAGTTACGAAAAGGACTCGCAGAGGCATTGGAAAAAAGGTTCATGAAATACTCTACCGTCAAAGCCTTTATACCTTCAGACTAAATTCAAAAGACATTTAAGTTCATGAGCAATTGCAACATTCCCATAAACTTGCAAAAATTATTAAGAAATCGAATTATGAAACAAGAAATTGAACTGCAATTTCTGATTAAAAAAACTGCAACAAATGGAAACTGCAGTGTAGTTTATGAATGCTCAAAGAACAATTGACAACATATAAGCAATTTTACACAAAACAGTAAACATAAACTGCAATGCAGAGTACACAAAATACCAGCATATTACACAGAACAATAATGCAGATTACACAAAAATCCAATACAGTATAGTAACCATACCTTGATTCCCATTCTTTCTGGAAGCACAAAGAAGTTGTCCCTTGTACTTGTTCTTCAAGAATGTAGCATTAATGAACAAGAAGGGTATGCAATATTGAAATCCAGCAATGAAACCGCCAAACGATACAAAAAATCGTATAAAGTGATTAATTCCGGCTTCACATTCAAGCTCGCACAGAGAACTACTGTTAGTTTCCTTTACAGCATCTGTATACCATACTAACTCGTTGAAGGACATCGACTCATCACCATGAATGTCTAGTTTAGCTAACTCTTTGCAAAACCATGTGTGGTAGTATGAAATGTCTATACCATAATAATCTTTGAACTCGTGTGTAATCTCAACTGGCTTTAACTATGGTTTTGCACGAATTCTGTCCACAAAGAGAGACGACACCACACGAGACCTCATCATCTTACTATTTGATTCCTGTATCTGACTCGCACATGTATGCACATTATTTAACGTCCGAATTACAAAACAACCAGTAGTTTCACAACGAGACACATAAACACGCCAACTACAACCCTATAACTTCTTATTCGAACAAACAGCAATCACCTGCCTCTTGTCATTGCCGGCATATAAAAAATTAAATCCTACTTCAAGAGCATACTTGCACAATTTCAACCGGAACTCCTCTGCACCACCGTCAAACTTCTGCCCGACATGATGTATATACGTCTCCCATTCATTCGACAACAAAAGCTTAGCACTTGCTCTCTTCGACCTGCCTAAAAATTCATTTACGTCTTTAACATTACTAGAACACGACGACTCGCCCTTTTCACATGCTATCAACTCCTTATTTCCACAAAAAATCACCACTATACTCATTGCTCAAGCATAAATCCTTAACTAAAATATCCACACTCTTCGCATTTGATATCGACAAATATGCCATCATCATGTCTAAATCACTATCCGTTTCTAGTAAACAACTCGAATAACCGGCAACGAATACCGTAACGTGAAACTACCCAACTGCAAACCCCTAAATCTTAGGCACAAAGTCTTCGAAACATCAACCATGGATGACTTTGATGAAACTGAATGGTTTCCGACTTATATGTGCACTTGGCTATCACACAAACCTCCATTTGCTTTGAAAATGCAAACAAAACAACAAACAAAAACAGAAAACAATTCAAATCAATAAATAATGTAGATGGGCAGTTGTAACATTCCCATAGACTTGCAAATATTAGTCTGAAATTGAATTATGAAACAAGAAACTGCACTGCAGTTTCTAGTAAAAAACTGCAACAAATGGAAACTGTATGACAAAACATATGCTCAAATTTGAATAGAAACCAAAAGGAAAAGTCATGTTCAAAGTCTTAAAACTAAGTTCAAAACACATTCAAGTCCATAAGCAATTGTAACATTGCCATACACTTTCAATGCAGTTTATGAAACCAGAAACTGCAATAAGCAGAAATGGCAATGCAATTTATGACAGAAAATCAAAAAACTATGAATAGAAACCAAAAGGAAACCACAATCAAAGTACAAAACCAAAATCCCAAAAACATATATGTCGATATAAACGAAAAAGGTTCTAAAGTACTCATACCTCAACACCTAGGATTGCCAAAATCTTCCGAACCAAACAGCGACTCAAAATCAAATTTGAAAACAAAACGAAGAAGATAGGGTTTAGCATTGAACGCCACAAGATCGTGCCACCAAATCGCGCCACAAAACTGAGCTCGAAATACCTGAACTAAGGAGAACAGAAATCACCCGAAACTGACCGTCATTCCACATGCAAACTGAACGAAAACGTAGCAGAAAAATGAAAACATAAAGACAAAGAAAATCGAACTAAAACCTACCAGAAAATTAAAGCTCCAATCGCAAAACGAGAACCAGAACTCCAAACCCTCAACGCCGAACGAAAACGACAGAGAAAGACCAAATCGCGCGTAGTTTAAACAGCAAGGGGTAAAAGAGTTATTTACTTTGTAAAGTTTAAAGATGGGCCATGCTTTTTAAGAAGAAGGGTAGCATTGTCTTTTCAGTTATTATTTTTTTGCTGGCCCAACGAATCTAGGCCTCCTCTTTGGTCTAATCCAAAATAACAATTCTTTCCTAGGTATATAGCATATAATAGAAAATTAGCCACACACGTGAATTAAATTGGCACATGGCCTCCATGCACTAATCTCTTCAATCTCTCTACTTTTTTCTTGAGCTTTATTTTTGGGTTGCTTAGTGAGGTGGGTTACAACACTCTAGTGAGAGAGAGGGGATACCTAATGTGAAAGAAAAGAATGGTAAAATTGAGTAGTATAGAAATATTTTGAAAAAGGAGAAATAGAACGGTAACTAAAAAGAAGTAAATAATAATTAAATAATTAAATTACGAAAAGAGGGGTAAAAAAGAACAAGACCCATTCGATTTTGTGATTTCTGATCTCCTAAAAAACCTACCTTTTGACCACCTGACGGGTCAGTTTGTTACCACAATCACCCACCCTTTCTCTCTCCTCCTCCCCCTTCTCTCTTACCAAAACACCAAAACACCCCATTTTTGCTTCTCTCTCTCTCTTTCTTTCTCTTTCTCTGTTTCAAGTTTTCATCACTCTCTGCGCTTTCTCATGGTGTCCCAATAAAACCCTAATATTTACTCCTACTCTCTCTCCGCAGGTACACTAATCAAACCCTAACCACTCCTATATTCACTTGGGTTATTATGTAAACACGATAAATATCTATGTGTTTGTATATTTCTGGCCTTTTAGGGTTTGTTTGATTTGATTTGGGTTTTGTGGATCTGCGTGGTGTGTTGCAGAGAACAAAAGGGACTGAAATTTGAACGAGAAATTGGGAATTAAGGATAGGAATATATGTCCTTCAATCAATCAAGGTCGGATAAGAACGAGACGCAGTATCGGAAAACAGGGCGATCCGCAAGCTCTAACCAGCAGCACAGGGGATACTCACCCGCGTACCCTAAGGGCACCGCCGCCGGCGCCGGTGGGCCCGCCCCTTCCATCTCCTCCAACCGCAGGTGCTTATAGGTGTATTATATGGAGTTATATATATATATATATATATATATATGTATATATGTATATATGCATATGTGTAGGGTTTGTTTGTTTCTGATCAGTTTCAGTTTACTTTTAATAATCTTTGGACTGTGATTCTTAATTTGGGTTTGTTTTATTTTTTTCTGTGTTTTTTTAATAATGAGCATGTTGGAAATTAGGGTTTGCTGATTTTTATTTTAAATATCCAGTTTTAAGAAGAATAATAACAATGCACAAGGAGGGCAATCCAGGGGAAGTGTAACCACTGTAAATCCTCTGGATTCTGGTATTGCTTCTACACAACGTGGTGGTGTACAGAATGGAGCGCATGTACAGCCCCAATTGCATGGTACAGAATTCGAAGTTCCAATTTTCTTTCAGTCCATAAATTTATGTGATAATTCAAAGTTCTCTTTTACAATATGTTTTCCTGATTTGGCTTGATTTTCATGTCCTGCAACTTTTTCTTATGATTATTTTAATTTAGGAGGCTCTGATGCACTGGTTGCAACCACAGCTCCCAGGACTACTGATGCATCAGCCCCTCAGAGAAGCACCCGAACTGTTCCAAAGGCTCCAACTTCTCAACCTGCCTCCGTGACTTCCGACACAAGAACGCCCACTACACCAGCTAAGAGTAAGCTAACGCTATTTTTCTCAAAAAAAAAGAAAAGAGTAAGCTAACACTATGGACCATGGATTTTCTTGTTCTTGATTTTGGGGATGTTGGCATATTTTCAGAGTCACATAATAATGTTATGTTCTGTTGGTTTAGTCCCAGGAGATGCTTCCCAGGGATTTGCCTTTCAGTTTGGGTCTATAAGTCCTGGTTTCATGAATGGGATGCAGGTATTGTCATATGCTTGTGAACTTTTGATGAAAATTCTCTTGTTTCCTATATAACTAAGTGCTGGACGACTTTATACTATGTTTTTAAAAGTTGAAAGGTTGTGTTCCTTGTAGATTCCTGCTCGAACTAGCTCAGCACCCCCAAATTTGGATGAGCAGAAACGTGATCAGGTTAGCATGTTTCCTTCTCTCTCCCCTGGCTGTGTACTTGTAAATAAATAGTCCGATGAATTTTTCACATGATATTTTTTGACCGAATCCAGCCAGCAGTTGGTTTCTTCCTATAATTCCCTTCTCTTTGCAAATAAGATGAATTTTTTTTTTTCTTAGTTAAATCATTTTGTTATAGATTGTCTGATTACCTTTGTATTTAGATTCAATATTCCCCCCATGACATTTAATTTCTAAGAGTAATTGGATCACATTGGGTAGAGTTGATATTTTATCGCTGATAATACTTTGTAATTTTTGTTATTAATTTGTGAAATGATTATACTATGTTTGAACAAGCAGGCGCGCCATGATTCGTATAGAACCATGCCCTCAGTGCCAACTCCTAATATTCCTAAGCAGCAATTACCAAGGAAAGATCCAGCTTCCATGGATCAACCTAATGCTTCTGAGGCTCATCTGGTGCCCAAGGTTAAAAAGGATGTGCAACCCTCACATGCAACCCCTGCTAGTCAAACTCAGAAACCTTCTGCTCTACCAATGGCTGGGATATCCATGCCAATGCCATTTCATCAGCAACAGGTTTCCGTGCAATTTGGTGGCCCTAACCAGCAGATTCAGTCTCAGGGTATGAGTGCCAATTCAGTTCAAATTCCAATGCCTATGTCAGTACCAATTGGTAGCAATCAAGTACAGCAGCCGGTGTTCGTTCCAGGTCTGCAACCCCATCCAATGCAGCACCAGGGAATTATGCATCAAGGCCCTTTTACCCCCCAAATGGGTCCTCAGGTGCCTCAGTTAGGCAGCATGGGGATCAGCATGGCGCCACAATACCCCCAACAACAGGGTGGGAAGTTTGGTGGCCCTCGTAAAACTTCTGTCAAGATTACACATCCAGATACACATGAAGAGTTGAGGCTTGATAAACGAACAGATTCATATTCAGATGGTGGGCCATCTGCCCCCAGGACTCACCCTAATGTTCCTCCTCAATCCCAGCCTATACAATCATTTGCCCCTTCCCATCATAGCAGCTATTATGCCAATTCTTATTCTGGTTCCCTATTTTTTCCAGCTCCAAATTCTCATCCTTTAACGAGTAGTCATATGCCACCCAGTTCACAGGCACCAAGATTTAGCTATCCAGTGAGCCAGGGTCCCCAAAATGTACCCTTCATTAATCCGTCAGCTCATAATGCCCTGCCCGTTAATAAGGCTGGGCCCCCTATGCACAATGTTGTGGATCCACCCAACGTGGAACATGCACGTGATATACATAATGTACCTGCCGCTGTTCCATCAGCAACTATTCCCGTCGTAGTTAAAGCAGCTGTTGGAACTGTTGGAGAGAAGGTTGTCGACCCAGTACCAAACAGCTCCGCTGCTGTTGAAAAAGGTGAACTTCCCAAGCCTTCAAAATCATCTGGAGAAATTAACCAATCTCATCCTCAGAGGTACTCTGAGCTTTCAACTGATGGCTTAATGCACAGTGACCAATCAATCCTCAAATCATTGCCAGTGACAGCAAAAGCATCTGCAGGTAATCCTGCTGCTGTATTAATTGAAAGCCAGGTATCAAATCCTTTGTCCTCTGCTTCAGCTGCTCCAACTGAGGAGTCTGTACCAGTTGTGACCACCACCGAGCCCAGAAGAAAGGAAACGCTTAGCCGTTCAAACTCAATTAAAGATCAGCTGAAGAAGCCAGGCAAGAAAGGAAATAATCAAGCACAGCATCAGGTACTTATTTTCTATACTTTCATATAACCTTCCTATTTCTTCTCTTCACTATTTTGAAGGAAAAAAATCTGAGTTTCATCTGTTGCTTATAATTTTTGTTGGCATGAATGTACACCCTTGATCACAGGTTGTTGGGCAGTCTATCTCTACATCAAGCACTCCCTCTCGGGCTTCAGAACATGGTATATCTTCTAGTAGTGATGTTTCTGGAACTGTAGAAGCTAATACGACTCTTGCTCCAGTAAGTGGTGATTCTGTGTCTGAATCAGTGAAGGAATTACTCTCGAATGTTAGTGCTGCTACAGCTGATGGTTCTGAATCAAAGGCTGAAGCAATTGGGGAAGGCATCATCCCCATCTCTTCTGAAATATCTGGTGCTGGGGTTGTTGGCAGTTCTTCAGATTCTATTCATCATGGTCAACTAGACAATTCTTTACCGCTAGTTAAACAGGGAAAACATGACTTGGGGGGAGCAGAAAAACAGGCAGAACAAAGTTTGTCTGAAAATTACAGACAGGATACTAATAGTCGTGGTATTTCTGCAGAACCTATCTCCATAAAACCTCTGGAACCTGTTAAAGAAAATGCAGAGAATTCTAAAGGCAGTGCTGTCGCAACCTCAGAAACTGCACAAGGAGGGCAGGCCCAACATGAGAGTTGCCATGCAGATTTTGACGGAAAGGATGCCTCTTCAAGCAGAAGTGATACCATGGGTAGTAAAGAAGTTGCTGTTTCAAAGTGCAGCAAATTAGACCAGCAGTATGCTCTTGTTCAAACTACAGAACTTTCAGGTACAACTATGACAAATGAAGGGATAAATGTGGAGAATACTGGTGGTGGTGGGGGAAGTATTGAGAATATTGGTAGTGGCGGGGATCCACTTACAGTGTCAGGCTCCAAGGACAAACCCCTTCCTGAACTGAGTAGACAGAAGAGTACTACTGCAAAAGGGAAGAAGAAAAGAAAAGAAATTCTATCCAAGGCAGATGCTGCTGGTGTGACTTCTGATCTTTATGGGGCGTATAAAAACCCTGAAGAAAAGAAAGGTATTGCCTCTCCTGAAAGCATGGAAAGCACTACTGGCATAGTTTCAAAGGAGGTAGCTACTGATGCTCCTCAGCAAGATGCTGTTGGGAGAGAAGAAGATGCACCGAGTAAAGCTGAGCCAGATGATTGGGAAGACGCTGCTGACATCTCTACCCCAAAACTGGAAGCCTCAGATAATGGAGAACAGGTCCGGGGAGGAGGGGTGCATTCTGACAAAGATGGACATGGGCATGGGGCAAAGAAGTATTCCAGAGATTTTCTTTTGAAGTTTTCTATGCAATTTACTGAGCTTCCAGAAGGTTTTGAAATAATGTCTGATGTAGCAGAGATTTTGAATGCCCATATCAATACTTCTCCTTCTATTGATTATGATTCACTCCCTAGTCCGGGAAGAATTATTGACAGGCAGGGAGGGGCGATAAGACTTGATCGTCGTGGGAGTGGACTGATTGATGATGATAGATGGAATAAGGGTGGTGCTGCCAATTTCCGAGCTGGCCAAGGAGTAAATTTTGGTGTTTTGAGGAATCCACGTCCATCGACACCAGTTCAGCAGCATGTTAGAGGGATCCTTCCTGGGCCTACTCAGTCTGTTGGTCCTCAGGGAGGGATGCAAAGAAATAATTCTGATGCTGACAGGTGGCAGAGAGCTTCGAATTTTCAACCAAAGGGTTTGATGCCTTATCCTCATACTCCATTACAGGTGATGCACAAAGCTGAGAGGAAGTATGAAGTGGGTAAAGTGAGTGATGAAGAGCAGGCCAAGCAAAGGCAGTTAAAGGCTATATTAAACAAGCTAACTCCACAAAATTTTGAAAAACTATTTGAGCAAGTAAAAGCTGTTAATATCGATAATGCGACAACACTAACTGGTGTCATCTCACAGATATTTGACAAGGCTCTTATGGAGCCTACTTTTTGTGAGATGTATGCTAACTTCTGTTTTTATCTTGCGGGAGAGTTACCTGATTTCAGTGAAGACAATGAAAAGATAACTTTTAAGAGATTGCTTTTGAACAAGTGCCAGGAGGAATTTGAGAGAGGAGAAAGAGAGCAAGAGGAAGCCAATAAGGCTGATGAGGAAGGTGAGGTGAAACAGTCTGAAGAGGAAAGAGAAGAGAAAAGAATTAAAGCGCGAAGACGAATGTTGGGTAACATTAGATTAATTGGGGAGCTATACAAGAAAAAAATGTTGACAGAGAGGATTATGCATGAATGCATTAAGAAGTTGTTAGGTCAGCAACAGACTCCAGATGAGGAAGATATTGAAGCTTTGTGCAAACTAATGAGTACAATTGGGGAGATGATTGATCATCCCAAAGCCAAGGAGCACATGGATGCATATTTTGACAGGATGAAAAGCTTATCGAATAACATGAAATTATCTTCTAGAGTTAGGTTCATGTTGAAGGATTCAATTGACTTGAGAAAGAATAAATGGCAGCAGAGGAGGAAAGTTGAGGGTCCGAAAAAGATTGAGGAACTGCACAGAGATGCTGCACAAGAACGACAGGCACAGGCTAGTAGGCTAGGCCGTGGTCCAGGAATGAACCCATCAGCTAGAAGGACTCCTATGGATTTTAGTCCAAGAGGATCAACTATGTTATCTTCACCAAATCCCCAGATGGGTGGTTTCCGTGGGATGCCTGCTCAGGTCCGTGGTTATGGTAGTCAGGATGTCCGTGCAGATGAAAGACATTCTTATGAGGGTAGGACCTTGTCAGTTCCCTTGACTCAAAGACCCCTCGGTGATGATTCTATTACTTTGGGTCCCCAGGGTGGACTTGCTAGAGGAATGTCCATCAGAGGACCACCATCAATGTCAGCTGCTCCTCAGGCTGAAATATCTCCCAGTGTCGGAGACTCCAGGAGGATGGCAGCTGGTTTGAATGGTTTCAGTTCTCTTTCAGAGCGTCCAACTTACAACCCAAGGGAGGAACATCCAAGACATTTGCCAGATAGATTTGCAGGTCCAGCTGCTTATGATCACTCAAATGCACCAGAGCGTAATGTAAATTTTGGTGGTAGGGACCCAAGGAATTTGGATCGTAGTTTCGATAGATCTCGTCCAGCTTCACCAGCCACGCGTGCACATGCTCCTGCTTTAACACAAAATGTTCCTCAAGAAAAGGTGTTGACTGAAGACCGTCTCAGAGATATGTCCTTGGCAGCAATTAAAGAATTTTACAGGTATGTCCTTATCTCATGCATATGCTTATACTGTTCTGATGTATTTGTGTTATTTTCTTAGGTTGATATTTCTCAGATGCGATAGTTTTTTAGGTGCTTGCTCAAAATCTGTGTATATGTTAGAGTGTGATTTGTGTTGTATCTGTGAAAGAAAAGTAGAGCATGTGTGCTGTGCTTAGGGGAATGGATGGGACTTAGGACCAATGGTTGGTAAACTTCCTTTTGCATAAATAGAACCTAGTATGGACTTGCTTGTTTCTATGGCTTTGAAACTGACGTCACAGGCAATTAAGTCTGTGGTGGATGTATTTTTTCTTCTCCCCTAGGGCACAAAGCAGTGATTTCTACTTACTCTCGTATTCTTCTTGATAACCAACTTATCTACAATTGTTTGATTTGAGTTGGAAAATTCACTTCCTATGCAGTTGGTCAATTGATTTAGTTGTGGTCTTGGTTGAACCAGATACTTGCATTCGTTTAAATCTTTATGGTTTTCCATGTCTATCTTGAAAATTGGGCTTCAAGTGCTAATGTAGAGTGTTTTGGGAGCTTAGTTTTTATGCACAGCTTAGGAAAATTTGGAAATAAAGAATTTGGACCATTTAGCATGTAGCTACTAGCCACACAGGTTTATATGCTGGTGAAGAGAATCATAATGCTAATGTTTCTCAATTTTTTGGGATGGCTCTCTCTCTCTCTCTCTCTCTCTCTCTCTCTCTCTCTCTCTCTCACAGAGAAATTGGACTTCACCTCACTATTATCAGAGTGCAATTGTGACTCATTTAAAATGAGCACAAATGTGAAATTTATGGTTTTGCATTCATGGGGAGAAACTTTGGGAAGTTATTTTGCAAGGAGAGATTGTAGACTATTGTATTAAACTGCTTCTTTGGTAACATCATTACAAAAATCTTGAATAATGTGATCACTAAAGATCTGTATTTAATTAGTTGTATCCATTCTTGTTTCTGTTCCTCTTTCTCTTCTTGTTTCTGTTCCTGATACTTGATACTAGAGTCAGACCCATCTATGATGGCTGCTCACCAGTCTTTGACATTAAAGAAATTAATACAATATCGTTGATGTCCAAAGTCTACTCATCGGCTTTCTAAGAATTCATCTTAGACAACATTCTATGCTTTGGCCTGTGTATTGAAATTATTCACTTTTGGGATAGCAGAATTTCTTTCTGTAAAAGCATGGATCCATTTAGGAGTAGTAGCTAGACAGTGGTTTTATTTTATTTACGCACCTAATCTGTGGTTTATATTGTTTATAGCTGTAATTGTAGCATGGTGGTTTGCGAAGACTAATTCCTTGTTTGTATTAACAACTGAAACCCATTGAAGTAAACTGGAATTTAGTCAACACTACCGGTTTTATATTACTGTTAAAATAATGAAGCACATTAGATGAATCGAGGTTCTTTTCAACAACAAAAAAAGGTTCTATGGTGACTTTCATTGAAATACGTTGTTTATTATTCACCTCTCATATTATTAGATGGGTGCAATATATTTTTGTGCCTATTATGTGGGAAACTTTTGAAATGTTTTGTAGAACTTGTGATATGTTATCTGTTAACTCTTGTTAAGATTTTCATAAGCTCTTTCTTAATTTATTTATTTTTCTTCATATTTCAGTGCCCGAGATGAGAAAGAGGTTGTTTTATGCATCAAAGAGTTGAACTCACCAAGCTTCCATCCATCAATGATATCTCTTTGGGTCACAGACTCTTTTGAGAGGAAGGACACGGAAAGAGATCTCTTGGCAAAGCTTCTAGTGAACCTTACAAAGTCCCATGATGGCACTTTGAGTCAATCCCAGCTCATCAAAGGGTAGGAAAGTTTACTTTTTCATTTGGTTATCGAAATTGATGGCCTTATGTGTAGTGTGGGTTTTTCTTTTATTTAATTTCTTATTCATCTGCCCAGGTTTGAAACTGTTCTCTCCACCTTGGAGGATGCCGTGAATGATGCCCCTAAGGCACCGGAGTTTCTTAGCCTCATCTTTGCCAAAGTCATTCTAGAAAACGTTGTTTCCTTGAAACAGATTGGGGAAATAATATATGAAGGTGGAGAGGAGCCAGGGCATCTTCTGGAAGTTGGGCTTGCGGGCAATGTTCTTGGAAATATCCTGGAGATTATCAAATTAGAGAAAGGAGATAGTGTTTTGAATGAGATTCGTACGGCCTCCAACTTGCGGTTGGAGACTTTTCGGCCTCCAGATCCTCGCAGATCAAGGATACTAGAAAAGTTTATTTAGAGAGGTAGTGATGCTCATTGTAATCCTGCTAGAAAAATTCATGGCTAGTGCTTTTAGGGTTATAAATGAATTTGCAAAAAAAATATATATATATATTTTTCTTGGTGGAGGCGGGGTGGGAATTTATGTATGGGGTTATCATTCTCCATGTTTTAATGTTATTTCTTAAAAATATTTACTGCAGTTATGAAAGGTTCAATTGAGCATCACATTTTATGGCCTCTCTTGTGATTGCCCTTCTGTTCTGGTTGGACTCATAACAAGCTAGCTATTTTTGTGAAAACTACTCTAAAGCATTCGGCCCTGTAAAATTTCGTTGGAATTATAATTATGTATCCAATTTGTAGAACACAATGTTGGTTTTCAAAGACATGATATGGATGTCTCATAAGGCTAGTTTTCCTATAAAAACTAGAAAGCATCATATTAGATGGAATTGAAATAACAAATTGGTATGTAAATATTAGATTTAGTGGATTTGAAACTAAGTGCCCGTTTGACATTGCTTATTTGGGATGACAAGTGATGTTTTAAGTGAGAGAAAGTTATAGGGGAAAACAACTAATGAGATGTTTTCGTTTTCTGATTATGCATGAATTAGTTTAGAAGAGGCTTTGAGTTTGATGATTATGCAAGAATTATTTTTAATTATGAGGGAATCAGTACCAACAACACTTTTTAACAAAAAACTTATTTAACACCAAATTGCTTTCTCTCACAGCTAACTTTCACAGCAAATCTAACAACGATTACTTTCAGAGCACAACAATGCCAAATTGGCTCTAACACATGAATTAGTACGTTGGAAATAATTATATGCAAAGAATCATTTGAAATTTGTTCATGTTTTTTTTTTTTCATTTTCTTCTCATTTAAAGCTTAACATGTATGGATTGATTGTCAAAACAAACAATTTAATTTTTGTATGGTCGGGGTACACCTGTACCATCCAATACACATGGGACATGTGGAAATATTCTCCAATACACATAGGACATAAAAATAAAATATTTCCACATGTCTTATGTATATTGGATGGTACAGGTGTACCCGAAACATATAAAAAAATTTCTCCTAAATGAGCCCTAAAAGAAGCCGAACGATTTGAGTAATTTTCGTTCTTGCTTAAAGTTTAAGCTTCGTATATATCTCAAAAGAAAGTTAAAGCTTTGTATGGAAAAAGTAGGTGAAGTGTAGCCAAATCTTACAGTAATGTGCTTTTCATGCTCTACACGTCATAAAGTGGGCATGAACACTTTCTGAGAGGTACTTGCAATCCATTTTATCAAGACATACAAAGCATATATATATATATGGGATGATACAAAAAGCATTCAGATTTCTATGCTTTAGGGACGACCAATGCTCACTAAAAGATTTAAAGATTCTGTTCTTCTTCTGGCTATGGTGTTAAAAAATCTTTTCTTCACTTGCCCACTAAGTTTCTTTTGGATACAAAGCAAGAGCACTTGCAGCAGCAAAGAGGGCTTTGATGGTTTCTTAGTGTTCGATTGCCTCAAGTACAGTCATGCTGTGGCTTTACTGGGAAGAAAATATGATGTCCAGTTCATGTTCGAGACATTTTGCATATGCAATTCCATATGGTACGTTTAATTTGTTTATTTTAGTGACATGACTGCAAAATTTGTTGTTTGTTTACATCATTTTTATGAGTCCTCCATTATATCTTTTACTGTCTTATTTATTTCCCCCTCTTCAATAAATTTTTTTTTTATTCAACAACAAAAAAAAAAAAAAAAAAAAAAAAAAAAAAAAAACCATATCCATCTTCTAACAGCAAATAATTAAGTGCCCAATTCTTTCATTACTTAAACAAGCAAAGAGAACTCCAAACTTTTATAAAAGAAAAACCATTAATTTCAGAATTTCTATATGATAAATAAACAAATATATATTACTTATTATTAATAATAAAAATACTATCTGTTTTTTTTCTTCTCTAAAATTCTCACCAAATGGCCATAGAATCATGCTAGTTTTTTCTTTTTCCCCATAATCTAACCCGAGACAAAGTCCTAAAACAATCAATATAAACGATAACACAAACAGAGTTTGTTTCGCTGTGGTTGTGCTTTGACATTCAAGGTGCTTGTCGGTGTACAAGAATTTTGCTTAACACTAAATTTTTAATACCAGAAAAGTAAGATGTAGACACACGGTTCAAAAAATCTATAGCCTAAAATAGTATAGGAAGAATCTATTTATTACTCATCGAAGGAGTTGTATCATCAAGAATCTATAGCCTAAAATACCTTCTCTGAAAAATAATATCTGTTAATCATATAGACAGAAAACATCAGAGGGAGAAAGGCTTTGTATACACATCGAATGGCTCGCAGGCAGTTAATTGCGGCTCCTGCAACAAAGCAAAACAGAATGGCAAATCAGTCTGTAAATTCATTAAAACCAACGAGTTGGATGCTAAACACTAACGAGCCTGTCACAATATCATTTGGTGCATGCTCATGCCTTGAAGTCAAGTGCAAATTGAACTTATCTCTATGCTTTCCTATAGAAAACTCAAGAGTGGAAATTTACCCCTATTTCCATATGTTGGTATTACTACTAGATCATCATTCAACTTCAAAAACTACTAAAAACATGTCGTGCAAGCTGATACCTGTCTCAACCCGCCAGTGTCACTGCCTCCTGTCAGAAGCATCCCAAGGAGAGATGTAACAGCACTACCACCACCACCACCACCACCAAGGAGAGATGTAACACCACCACCAAGGCCACTACCACTACCCGTACTTCGAATAGTAGAACGCATAGAATTGAGTATGCTTCCATATGTGCCCGCTTGTCCACGTTCAATTGCTTGGATGAAGCAGAAAGTCATTGCACCTGTTGACGTGATCTTTGATAGAGCCTGTTCCCAATAAAGCATGAGATCAGACATGCTCTACTTGAGATTTAAACTATAATTTTATAAAGTCTAGACCTCTTTTATCTTTTCAAACTTACAGATGTATCAGCAGAAGTCTGATCATCATCACAACCGCTGAACGAAATGACTTCTCCTCCACTTGTGCCTTTCCATACACCTGATCGAGGGCGATGATCCTCCCATACATATCGTCCATTCCTAAATCAAGAAAGGAAATTTGTCCGTAGTTAGAAATCCCTACTTTAGACGAGGAGTAATTGAGTAGGTAGACACAGAAAGGAAACTTATCCATACTAAGAAATCCCAACCTATTGCAGATTGTTAAAAAAATTTAATGGAAAGGAAACTAACCTGTCCATTCGACAAAGGAATGGCAAATCTAGTACGGTGCCGCTATGACAAGCATCTATTATTGCATGAAGCTTAACCCCATGAGGAATGGGCCTTACAATTGCTGCATTTATCTCATCATCAACAATCATACCCTGAGTTTCGAAGTCAAGGGGACAAAGGGTTTCATCATATCCATCAACTTCATCACCATTATAATTCCTCTGTCGTGAACCATGACCAGAGTAATGAAACAGGAGGGAGTCACCAGGTTGACAGCCTTGTACAAGCCAATGTAATGCCATTCTAATGTTGTATTTGTTTGGAATCTTGGATGGGTGAGTTTCTTCTTCTGCAGTTCAAAATATGGGTACAAATTATGAGCAGACATGTTATTAAACATAAGAAAAAGAAATATATTCACCAAAGGGTTTGGAAATTGAATTAGAGCATCAAGAAAAATTGAAAATTACTGTGTATTTGAATGCTAATTATTCTATATTGAAAAGACAAGAACTTTCAAAAAGAAAAATGGAATCAAACTACTGCTTTAAAACTTTTAGCAGATCAGTTCCTGCACAAACATTTTCTTTGTGTCAATTTGTCAGAAGAAAAAGGAGAGAAATTCTGATATTGGGAGGGCAAAAGACTATCGAAGAAATATATATTACATAAATCATTAGTGTTATATATACATACACACACATGAAGACACCTACAAAATGATACACCAGCAGAAATGTTCCTTCTTATCAACTACCAATGATGAGCAGAGTGAAGCCACAAGACCAAAAACTACTTGACGTGATTTTAGTGCTTTCAACTGTTAAATGACAACAATACAAAAGCTGCAAAATTTTAATTCTGATAGAACCCAAAAAAAAAGAAAGATCCTGTAAATACTCAAGCCGTCTACCTGCCTTCAGTTGGAATAAATGTTCCCCATGCACATATCTACTGCTCGCCATAGGCCATCTCAAGTTTTATTCTCTTAGTTATTTTTCAGAAGTGCACTAAGCCAAATATCACACATAGCCATAGGCCACTCTACGTCCTAGATCAGCTCTGTGATATCCTACAAACAAGATCTACACGGTTCCTGTGAACTGTACAAGCTCAGCATGAGAGAGTCGCAAAAAGATCCAAAGTCTAGAATAGAATAAGTCCATTGATGATCTAACTATCAAATCATGCACAACAAATTGTACCTACAAGTTCCCATACAACAAGCCTTTCGTCAGGCTAATTGTCAGTAACTGATTGTTCAGCTAGACAGCACCTTAAGTTTATCGTTTTCCAGATAAGTAATTTCATATGATGTTCTTGAAAGAAGATCAAGAGTCATAGAATGATTACTAAAATCAAAGTGTCTTCTACAATTAGTTAGGTACAAATATACCATATATAATGCACGCATTGCAAATTCAACTCCTAGTTGTTAACAGAATTTTGGGTTGTTATTTCTTCTTTATCGCCAACGAGTATTCCTACAAGCACAAATTTCCCTTCAAATGCCCAAAAACCCTTCACTCATATCTTCACTTCTCTGCTAAGTTAAATAGCCAAACATCCTATTTGGAACTTCTAATTGATAGGATTCGCAGCTGCTTTTCTCATCCAAACCTTCTTCTCACAAACACTAGCCAAACATATCGTAAATGATCCACTTTCCTACTTGAAACTTGTACCTGCAATATTCAGCTGCATATCTCATCCTAACTGATGCAGGAGCATCTACAAGGCTGTCCAAGACTGCTTGAGCCCACTAGCGAACTAGGCTAGGGTTCTAGTTAATTTGGGGATTTTAATTACTTTATTATCTTCTTATTTGTCACGTTTGCTTTTATGCCTTAAGTTATTGAAGTAGTCGTAGTAGGGCTAGGATTTATTTAAGTAGGCCTAGCAGAACTAGGATTAGTAAGTTTCTTAATAGCTAGAAACTAGGATACTAAACAGACTATTAAAAGAGACTCTGTATACAGTTTTTATCAATATCATTCAAGAAAATCAGATTAAAGATCCATGCAGACATGTATAAGGAAAATTAGACCTCATATATTCTGTAACCAATAAAAGATCCAATTCAGTTATACGTACAATCAGGCAAAAAGGCTCTCAACCCCTATATGTTTCCTACCCATCATAGTCCAAAAAGCATTTGAAAATGAAAGTTGCCAGTACTTTTCAGTAGAATTACCGAACATAATTACTTAGCTTTAACCTTTGAGGAACATATTTCTTAACTCATTACTGGATTTTGGCTTTTCATCACCCTGTTCCTCAGTTTTTGGTTTATTTGCAGTCTTACCAAGTGAAAGGATATTCCTGGGAGTTGCAAATGTGTTCCTACCCCTCAGCTGCACATTGTCGCTTCCTCGAGTATGAGTAGACTGTAGTGCTCGTTGTGCCCTAGATCCATTGGTGGTCTCAGCAGATTCTCTAGACTCAGATCCCCTGGCATGTTCTTTTTTCCCCTGCTTCGGATCTGATCATGCAATGTTCAGCTTCTTTCCAAGGAGCCTTTGTTTATTTTTTGCTACAGCTGCAATGAGGTGTGCATCATCTGAAAAATCCACAAATGCCATTTCCCTTGGCTTTCCAGTGAACTTGTCATGCAGTATTCTAATAGCAACCACTCCCCCAACATCACCGAAGATTTGACGCAGATGTTCTTCATTTGCCTTAGAGGGAAAATTTAATACAAATGCAGTGCACTGATGAGCATGTACTTTTGTTTTCTCTGAAACAGGCTCTTTCATCGGTTGCTCATTTTCTACATCTGGTTTGTCACCCTTGGCTTTGATCTTTTCCTCTGTATTTTGTTCAAAGGAGTTCAGAATCTCAGAATCCTTCCCATGTGCTTTCTTTATCTTTTGAGCTGCACTCTTTTGCCACTTTGCTGGATATTGTTCATCAGCTATCTCTGAAACTTGCTTTTTCTTGTCACAAGCATTCTTCTTGAAATAATCATCCCCCTCTCCTGTAAATTTGGTTTCTTGTTGTGACTTAAATAATTGTTGCCCTTCCAGACGAGGAGTGACCTTTTGTCCAGCACGGTCAAAATCATCCAAGGAACTAGACTCCCTCTCAAAGCATAACCACAAGTGGCAGATGTCCTCTGAACCAGTTCCGGGAAATCTTTTAGCATCTCCTATATAGAGACCGAGCTGCATTCAAATGCCCCAATTCATTTTCCATTGCTATATAACCTTGCCATGCTTCCAGCATTGAACCACGAATCTTAAGTAAACTTTCCCAAACTTCGCGAGCTGCCAGTAAGTAGTCCTTAGGCAGATTTAGCTCTAGACAGGCCCAATAAGCATGCAAACGTAACAAACCATCTGTGATCTTCAGGTATGCTGAAAAGTAATCTGAAGCATTCTGAAAGGTTTCCCTTATTAATGAATAATCCAAGATGTCTCTCCTTCAACAGGGCATGAGAGTCTTCTTCTTAGGCCATCAACATGGGTGAGGTATAAATTCAGGTACTCATCGAGGGTTAAAATGCATTGCAGGGACTTCTCAAACACAGCAGCAATCTCTTTCTCAGAAGCATGACCATGCTCCAACAAAAGCAAATATCAGACCCAAAGTTCTCCAACACATGGGCAATTCTTTACTGCCCTGGAATAAACGTTGGTTATAATACTTCCAACCTTCAATGTTTTATCCAAATAGTGAGTATATTCAAGCCAGAGATAACTGGATACAGGAAAGTCAGTAATAGCACGTTCATACAACATATCCTGCTGAAGTAGTTAATGAAATTTTGAAGTCCTTCTGAGTCAGACATATCCTGCTGACAAATCTGTTTTTCAAGATGAAAGCTAGCATTATACAATTCCAACGCTTTTTGGTATACTGAGGCAACATGGGATGAAATCCAATCCAGGCCGCTGGAGCCAGCATCAAGAATGTTTCCTTGTTCCACCTCCCATGCCTTGTAATCCAAAAGTGTTGACCTCATATCAACATGGGGAACTGACAACTGATGGTGGAATAAATTACGAATGAGCTGAATTTGCTTTTCTCTTGCCTGATTGTCAGTCTCATCAAAAAATATAGCTTGTTCAAATTCCCTGTACCCTTCCCATAGTTTATTGCCTTCAGAAACATGCAAACCAGCTGCCGTAAGGACCCGTTCAAATAGATTTCTTGCCTTCAAAATACCAGCAGACGAACATTCTCTTACTGAGGGATCATTTTGTTGAACAAAATACAAGTATTCATGCCAAAGAGAGACAGACAGGTACTCAAAGACTCCTCGCTCATAAAGCTTTTCAATAGCAGGAAAAGCATGAGACCCTGTGGACAGAGAAGCTTCATCCTTAGCCCAATCCTGCCACATAGAAGGGGTTAACAGAAACAGCTCATTCATAGCTTCCATTGCTTGCCTCAGCTTTTCAATGTCAGCCATTTGCCTCAAAATCTTTATGTATTGGACATGACCATTGTAGTTGCCAGGATTGGTCAAGAGCTCGGCTTCTAGGGTTTGGAGCTGCAGGTTTTTCTGGGCTTGGTCCCCGTCCTCCGAGCCAGAATCAGAGTTGGAATCTGAGGAGCTAGGGTCTTGGTCAGGGAGGTCCGGCATGGGTTGTTCTCCATTGTTGTCTTCTTCAGAAGTACCGGTCTGTGGTTCAGGGTTTACAGTTTCTTCTTCCATCTATGATCTCATTTGGTATTGTTTGTTTCTTTCTTCCACTGAGACCAAATTGTAAGCTTTTTACTTTTATGTCTTATGTTATTTGAGCAGTCCTAGTAGGGCTAGGAATTATCAAGTAGTCCTAGTAGAATTAAGATTTATTAGGTTTCTTGAGCTAGAACTCAATTATTTCCATTCACGGTTCGATTTTACAGCCGCTGAAAAGCAGCTCAGCCCTACTGCCCTGCACCCCTAACCTTTTTCTCACAAACACTACACCTAAAGCCTCAACCTTTATGGCCTAAAATATCTAAATTAAAAGTCTTTTGTTCAATTGGGCATCTTCAAAACATATGAAATCAAATCACACCACCAGAGACCAAATCAAATCACATTGCAAAATTTGCAGTCAAATCAAAACAGAACATATATTTATGTTATGTTATGTTATGCACAAGAAGAACCCATATTCACAATTACTACACAGCTATGTTTATGTTATGCATAAGCAAACTGAATATACCAGTGAGCATGACAATGGAATCTTCTGGAAAGTGGAACTTGTTGATGAGGAGATACCGCATGCACTTGGCATCATTGATGCAACCCTTTAGCTCGTGTCTCGAGTATTTGTACGAGATCCCACAGATCACAGCCTTCTTCCGGCCGTGCGCGTTGGGGGGAGGGCCTGGCGGCGCGTGGGAGTAAGGGGAAGGAGGGGGAGGCGCTTGAGAGTATGGAGAATGATGGGAAGGCGCGTGTGAGTATGAAGATGGAGGTGGAGGCGCGTGGGAGGAGGCAGGTGGTGGGAGGACGCGTGGGTCGGCGATTAGGGTGACAGCCTGGCAGAGGGCGCAGCGGATGGACTCGGCGCCGGGGGGCATCTGGAGCGGAGTGTGGCAGTTGGAGCAGTTCACCAGCATATACATGGTAGCCGCCAAATTGGAATTTGGAGAGAAGGGTAGGAGTAGAATGGGAATGCAATTGAATTTATGGATTCTTGTGATTGTTCAGAGAGAGATGTAAACTGGGTTTTGGATTGGAAACTTGAAAACGGTGACTGCGAAATTGGATTATTAGAGAGAGAGAGAGAGATGCGGGATTTCATTTTCTTTTTTGTTAATCATGTCATGTGTTTAAGTACCAAACATCCATTTGTATATTCAAATACAAACCAAACTTCAATATTGACACGATAAACCCATTGAACCGTGTTATTCGATGAAAGCAATCATTTTTTATTTATTGTATCTACATTTCACGAGACGTAAAGAAAAATAGACTAATGTTTAAGGTTATTTATGAGATAAAATTTGAAATGGCATGACTTGATTCAAAAACAAACAAAAAATCAAGTATTAAATGTTAAAATAGTCCCTAAGTTTTATTATGTTGGTCAATTTAATCTATGTATTTTCAATTTGGTCAATTTGGTATATGTGTTTACGACAGTTAGTCAATGTGATCAAATTAGTTAAATTTATATTTTTTTAAAAATATAAAAACTGTTTAAATATTAATATACATATATATATTGAATTCAATAAATAAATAAATACAAAAAAAATCAACAAAGAGCCACATCGCAAATTCATAAGGTCATAAAAAAATAATAAAAAACTTGAATTTTGATAATTTAATTAAGTAATTGCAGTTTGCAATTTTTACATATATATTTTTATATAAAAATAGTGATTATATTTGGCCACTCTATATATATGAAGATTGAGAAAGATAAATAAAAAAATGAAGAAAATGAAGAAGAAACAAAGAAACGGGTTGGTAATTTGGTGTGTATTACACAAATTGACACGATTCATTTAATAATTGGGTTACATAGGTATTTTAGGGTTGATAGGTTGATCCAAAATCCACCTGTTTATTAAACGGGTCATGGCGAGTTGACTTACTAATTTCCCATGCGATTTCGAGTCGTGTATCGAGTCGTATCATAAATTGTTAGCCAGAAAATTGAAATAATTTAATTTATTCTTCTACCATTCTCTTTTTTTATACAAGTGATATTATCTTTTAAACTAATTTAAACTATGGGGAAGGGGATTCGAATGCGGGTGCAAAATAGGGAGTACATCTGCTATAGCCAACTTGACTAAGCCCATATCTGCTTCTTCTACCATTCTTGATAAATAAACATGTCATCAGTTTATCCATATCAACCAACGATTGTTCTCAAATAATTCACTATAATTAGTAGTTCAAATATGGGAGGGGGATTTGCTCACATACACACTATCCATGTACTATGGGAGTTCGACCCTAAGTGGTCTCAAAAAAATTATTTTTTTGATACAAGTCAATACTATTTTCCTATAGGCTAAACCTCGCTGGCATTCAAAAAAAAATTATACTTTAAGTGTAGATTAAATTTTGCTAAAAGTAACTTTTGATCCTTGTAGTTTGGCACTTCAACCACTTTTGACCATATAGTTTCAATTCCGTCAATTTTTCCATTGTAGTTTTGTCTTTGCAGCAATTCAAGAACAAGTTAGTATTCTTATTAATTTCTTTGACGGTGCAAGGGGCAATTTTGTCAATCCAAAATCCATCAGCGTAAAATGTCATATGAAGCTCTCCCCATTTCATATTAGGGTTTGAAATTCAACAACTAATCCCAATTTTTGAAGAACCCTAAACCCAATGGCCAATTTCAAGCCCTAACATGAAATGGGGAGAGTTTCAGATGAGCTTTTACGTACAAGGGTTTTGGGTTGACGAAATGGCTCTTGGCACCGTCAAAGAAATTGACTAGAATACTAACTTGTCCTTGAATTGCTACAAATATGAAACTACATAGTCAAAATTGACGGAATTGAAACTACATAGTCAAAAATGGTTAAAGTGCTAAACTATAAGGACCAAAAATGAATTTTAACCTTAAATTTTTATCTTTATTTTTTCATTGGCCAGAAAACTTGAGTATGTTTTACATTTTTTTTTGCCTAAAGTCACTTTTGGTCCCTATAGTTTCAAGTCCATCAATTTTGCCATTATAGTTTTGTATTTGTAGCAATTCAAGAACATGTTAGTATTCTTGTCAATTTCTTTAATGATGCAAGGGGCAATTTCATCAATAAAAACCCTTGAGTGTAAAAGCTTGTTTAAAATTCTCCCTATTTTATATTAGGGCTCGACATTCAACTACTAATCCCAATTTTTGAAAAAACCCTAAACCCAAATGACCAATTTCAAGCCCTAATATTAAATTAAAGGAGTTTTAAACGAGCTTTTATGCTCAAGGATTTTCGGTTGATGAAATTGTCCCTTGCATCGTCAAAGAAATTGGCAGGAATACTAATTTGTCATTGAATTGCCACAAATACGAAATTACAATGTCAAAATTGACAGAATTGAAACTATAGGGTCAAAAGTGGTTGAAATGTCAAACTACAAAGACCAAAAGTGACTTTTAGCTTTTTTTTTCTTTTTTTCTTTTTTCCTATTGGACTAACTAGACTACGAAGGCCCAAAAGAAATAAAAAGCCCTAAAGACATGTTCTGAGGGGAGGGATAAGCCGGAGGGAGGCCCCTATATAAAACACTAAAGAAACGAGGGTAAAGAGCTCGGGCTGCAAAGTGACAGAGATTTCTAGGGTTTTAGCTCCTCCATTTCCATAACCCAAAATGGTACGTTTTGTTTGTTGTGTAAGCCTTTTGGTGTTACAGAATTGTTTTTGTTTCGCAACTATATTGCATAAGTTTGTGCATTTGAAATCTGTTGATGAGCAGCCGTCTCGAAATAGATCTGTTTTTGTTTTGCTTCATTGTGGTTGGGGAAATTGTGCATTCAAATCATATATTTTTTGTACTGTATTTCTTTTCGATTTTGATATATGGGTTCAAATGGGAATTGCAAAACTGGAAGATATAGAGGGGTGGAAGTAATTTTTGACTTAGAGAGCAAAACAAATATTAAGTTAATAGTACCTATAAAAAAATTATTGGGTTAGTTAAGTCCTTCAAAATATTTAGCCATCTAAGCATTCTGGTCGGTTGCTCATGATTTTTCCCCCAATTAGTGTGGTTGTGAAATGGGGTTTTCTTTGGGTTGCACTGTGAGATGTAGAAGTAAACTGTGACCTTAGATCTTGATATAGATTGTTGAAAAGGAAAGGTTTGCTGATTCTTTGTGTTATAGTCCAAGAGATTAGTTTCATGGTTTGAAGATTTATGGGTACATCATTGTAGGTAGAGGACTTGGAGTTAAAAATAGTTGTTACATTTACCCTTGTTTTTAGTATCTGTGCCTTGTACCTTGTGTTCTACTTTGGTTTAGAAGAAATTTCATCAAGTGTGGCTCAATAGTATCCTTGGTAGTTTTGCCTTGGTGATTGCATCTCAATTGATATGGATCGTGTATATGAATGGCTTTAGCTTTATGGTTATAGATTGTTTTTTTATTTTTTCTTCTTTTTCTAAACTATTCCACTACCAACTTGGATTTGATTTTTTACTTTCTACTTTTTTTCCTCTGTTGTTGTGCAGACAAAGAGAACCAAGAAGGCCGGTATTGTTGGGAAGTATGGTATGTTCCTGTTGCACTTTTTTTTTCTTCCTTCATTTTAATTTCATTGGAAATGAAATACTGCGGGGGAATCAGTTTAGTTTATGCAAACAGGAATCCAGAGAGTAGTGCTGAATGATTATTTTAGTTTAGGTTTATAACGATTTTGAAACACAATCAAGCTGTATTATATAATATAAAAAAATGGATTTAGAACTTTTGAGTGCTTTTGCCAAAGATTGTATTAGTAAAAAAGGGAAGCGCTGTTGCTGGTATGGTATGTCACAATAATTAAAATTTAATGTTTTGTTTGACCTACAAAGGTGGCCTTGCTTATTTTGTATCTATTCAGGCACCCGATATGGTGCTAGTCTGAGGAAGCAAATCAAGAAGATGGAAGTTTCTCAGCACAGCAAGTACTTCTGTGAATTTTGTGGGAAGGTAGTTACCCTACTCTATTATTTTATGATTATTCTTGATAGTCTTATGGTTTTTGTAAGAGTAGTTGGTTTTATGAGCCATGGAAAAACTGTTTAAAGTAAAAATAGGTTTCTATATTTATGCAATCCTTCTTACGAAAAGTGCACCATTGCAGTATGCGGTGAAGCGTAAGGCTGTCGGAATCTGGGGTTGCAAAGATTGCGGAAAAGTGAAAGCTGGTGGCGCCTACACCCTAAAGTGAGGACTATGCCATTATGGGCTTTGTTTGTAACATATATTCCTGTCATTCTGTACTTGGGTTATAATTCTTGTGTTTTGGTATATGTTGCAGTACCGCAAGTGCCGTGACTGTTAGGAGTACCATCCGAAGGCTCAGGGAGCAGACTGAGAGTTAGATCTGCAGACTTCTTCTGTTTTCCTTGAAATCTATTTTTTTCATGATGCGATATGTAAACCTAGTTAACCATCCTTTTCTTAATGTTCTATTTACATTCTGTTATGTACTTGTACGCGGAGCCTTTATCTTTGACAAAGCGGAGTAAGTGGTTATTGAGTAAATTATAGTTGTTTTCGTTAAGATTACAGAGCCATTGCAAAAGTTCAGTTATCTTGTGTGGGTGATATTGCATTCTATGATTGAATCGAAAGGTTGTTCGTTCTGGATTCGTTCATTTATTAAATTTTGTACATATGAAAGAAATCTACGAACCCCCTTTCATACAAAAGCTCAAAAAGCAACACTTATTCGGTTGACAAGGAAAATTGCCTTGGACATTTGTATGAGTTATTTGTGGAGGTGAAACTTGCAGATAAGTTTTCTGAAGCGCAAAGCCCGCTCCACTATTAGTTGTCATTCCCAAACCGGCAAATTTCAGTAACCCTACTAAGTTTGACAGAGGAATTTTTTTATGAGCTTTGACAGAGAAATTAAGTAAAAATAGAAAATTGTCAAATTATAGCTCTCTGGATCCAGCTTTCTTCACCCACAAATAGCTCAGAATTACTTAATTTAAACCAAGGGTAAACTGTCGAAATGCCCCTTGAATTTGTACTTAATTATCAATTTATCCAATGACCTTTTTTTTTAGAAAATTAAGAACTTGAACTTGAACCAAATTCTCAACATTTCATTCAATTTGCCGTTAAATATGATGGCAAATTGGTCATTTCATATGTTAAAAATAATTAAATATTATAAAATAAAATAGTATGACATATAAAATGAAAAAAAAATCATTTTAATAAACAGAGGGGTGGGACCCACCCACCTTTTCTTCTCTCTCTGTGCTACCAAACTCCTTCCCCCCCCTCTCTCTCTCTCTCTCTCTCTCTCTCTATGCGACCAAACCCATCAGCCCCCACCCTCCAAACAGCCCCATTTTATTCAGATCTTGAATCCATTGATGAGTTGTGCGATTTGGGGTCGAGATTTTGGGTGAAGGGGCAATGCACCTGTGAGGTGAAGAGGTCTGGACCTTTAAGGCTATGGGGGAAAAATCATAGAGAAAATGGCGCGAATGGGTTTGGGTTTGTGGGTAGGAATAGGGTTTTCTTTTATGTTTTTTGGATGTAGGGTGGGTTGTGGGTGGGGAAGAGGTTGGGTCACTGGCTGCTGTGATTTCAATCGAGGATTGGAGTGGCTAAGCTGGGGTATAGGGAGGAGTTGTTTTGGGTTAGAGAGATGAGGGGTTGGCTGTGGTGATGAGGAGAGGTGTGACGGCGATGGTGGGGAAGAAAGGTGATGGCTGTGGAGAGGGTTTTTTTTTTCTTTAATTTTTTCCAAAAATAAATTTATTTTTAATCATTTAACTGAAAATTAGATGAAATGTTGAAAAGTTGGACGGCAAGGGGGAAATTGAGAATAAAATTTAGTTCGAGTCCTTAATTTTGTATTAAAAAAAGGTCATGAGGTAAATTGAAAATTAGGTACAAGTTCATAGGGCATTTTCGGCAGTTTATCCTTTAAACCAACAAACTTATTTGGTCAAAAACCCTTTTATAGGTTTCTTAACAACCCTAGTTTAGATCGAATTTATGCTTCAACAACCCCTAAACTGCATAATAAAAACCATGCTTCTTGTTACCATTCCCATCAATTTGAATCAAGATACAAGAAGGGCAATTGATTTGCAGTAAATTTAGGTTTTAGACACAAAAAAAATTTCACTTTTGGAAAAAGCCAAAGCTTTTTCAAAAAAGATAGAAAAACCTTTCAACTTTCAAACCAAAGACATATAAATGTAAATGATTCCTTAGGAAATCCAGAAATAAATAAGGGCAATTTTGTTCATTTTGGCTTCCTTTAAAAAATTTCTCTCTTTGGTCTTTTCCAAAGTCTCCCTTGATTTGCACTGTTTATATGTCGCAGTCACAAAAATGAGCGACAAAAACTGATACAATAACTTGTCATCTCAATTGTTAAGGTGAGATCAAGAGGATATACCTGTAATTGAAAAATCAAGGAACTTGCACAAAACTTTCACTATGATTCACTTTGTGCTCAAGCTCACGATTGGCTATAATAACATAGATTAACAAAAGAATAATGCAAGTGGGTGGAATGGTTAGTGGTTACTGAAAATTTTCTCACCTTGTTAAAAATACTAACAATTCACATACAACAGCGGCTGGGTCAAGGTTTTACCCGGACACCAGCACTTACATATTACATCTACCTCATCTATACACAAGACGCACTAGGATTGCAAAGCGAAAATTAGTAAAGCATCCGGATGCCGACTAGCATTCCCTCTTCTCTCTCTCTCTCTCTCTCCCTCCCTATATGTATACACAATCTAAGAAACAATATATATAGATGTAAACTTTGACACTCCCCACGTATGAGTTCAAATACGCACTATCCTCTCCAGGCAAGATGGCAAAGATGCGAACCTAAAACTTGACGCTACATTGGAAGGGAAACCATAAAAGCTTCCTCTTGTTCTCACACCTCACGAACTTGCACTGATAAATGAGTCCTCATCAGGGTTTTCATAAAATTGGAATTGGTATGCTGTCACTGCTACTATTGTGCTGCATTTGTTTCTGGACAGCTTTCACTGCTGCTACTCTAGCTGCATTTGCTGCCCTATTAGCTGCTGTTACAGCCCTGTTCACTCTTTCATCCACCTTGGCGACATCATAGGCTTTCTCTGCCACTATTCGTGCTTCCTGATTGTAACATGAATAATAAAACAGATTAAGAACAAATTCTATTGGCTATTCATATTGTAATAACTAAATGTCAACCCATTTCCCACTTCCCTAAGAACGTGACTACTGAAGAAATCAAAGATAATTATAAGTGCTTGGGTATGGCGCTACTTCATTGCTAACAAGTATTAAAAATAAACATGCAAACATTTATTGAACATTGCATAGGTTTGAAATTGTGAACTAAAACGAACTCTAAGAGTCATGCTAACTATAAGTGTTTTGCTTGAGCACACTTCTTTAAATTGACTCAAAAGTGATACGGATGAGCACTAAAATCAAACAAGTCTTGACCAGAAATTCATATCCTCATGTAACCACAAAACAACAAACTCTTTTGTAGCTTTACTGTGGGCACAAATTTGTAACACATCTGCTACTGCTGCATGCCATAGAAAACATGTGTGCCTTATGCAAATATTTGTGTAAATAGTAAGTACCTGTACCGCATTGAGTACTTTGGAATGATTAACAGCAACTGGAGATACGGGATAAGTTGCATTTTGTGTGCTTGGAACATCAAGGACTCCATTTTGCCAGTGACCAGCCTGAGTTTCCCCAGTTCTGAACGTGTACATACCAAGCCCTTGCCTTCTACCCTCATGCCAGGCTCCCTCGTACCTATGTCCATTTGCAAATCGATAGACTCCAAACCCATGCATTTTATCCGCAAAATATTCTCCAGCATATGTATCCCCATTTCTGAATATAAATAAATAAAAGAAATTAGCGGAATTTCTCTCAAAAAGACGTACTGAACATTTATACATAGGCGGGTATTTAGACACAACAGAGGTATCCATAGATATAAGGCCCAAACTAAACACATAACAAAATGCCAATTAAAGGAGCATGGATGTGTATTTGTGAGCGTACTTGCATAGCAAGCCATCCCAATATCTCAATATCCGATGAAAGGCGAAGTAAACTGAAGTCTGTATATAGCATTTTATTATTTAACAAGTATAACTGCTCTATCTCAAAACACAAATGATTAGAAAACATGTGAATAACAACACTAAAGTGTATATATTGATGAAACTGTCGTAATTCAATAAGGCACTACACTCTGTAAAATTTTCCACCATTGTGCCATTAATTTTGGCAGATGTTAAGCAAATCAACATTAGGTACAATACCTAAAATTCAACTCCCCCATTTTTTTTTGTGTGGATTTATATCTTGAATTTCCATGAGCATCACTCACAACTGTTTATTTAAATTAAGGTAACCATCCTTAATCTTTTTTCCCACGCTTCCCAGAATTTCTGGCAACAATTATCTCAGGTGCCTACAGTATAACAGTGATTCTACTCTAAAGATTAACACAAAGAACTCTGTCCCGTTCTTAAGGTTTACAAATCCACAAAATTCCCCAAGTAAAACCAAACGAAAGTAGTGAAATCCATAAAACTCAACTATCACATCAAGTGGCGCAATCCATGATTAACAACTTCTTCACAATCAAATCACAACCAAGTAACAGAAGAACTAAAAAAATCAGAGACAATAAGTGGAAATAACATCATCATCATCAAAATAACCAAAAATATAACCTAAAAAATCATAACATAAACAATGCCACAAACTCCATTGCCAAATTTACCTGAAATGGTAGTGACCAAGGCCATGCTTGACGCCCCACTTGAATTCCCCAACATATCTACTCCCATCCTCACAGGTATGAATTCCACACCCATGAGTCTGCCCATTAGACCATTCCCCAGCATAAACATCACCAGTGTAAAACCTATACACTCCAAAACCATATCTAAGACCCTGCCTATACTGCCCACGGTACCGGCTTCCTCTTGCCCATGTCTCTACACCATAACCATCATATTTCCCATCAACCCAGTCTCCCTCATACCTCCCACTCATGTAATAGTAATACACCCCACTTCCTGAACACTGTCCCTTGTGAAACTCACCCTCATACACGTCTCCGTTGCCATAAACCTGAACCCAACAACCCGAATTTCCTCCGTTCTCGGCTTTTGGGCGAGACCCAATTGACCAAAACACCGGCAAAGGCGGTCTAGACAAGGAAGACGAGGTCTTGAGCTTGATTGGGAAAGACCTGGCTAGGAAAAGCCGTATTGATGGGAGGCGAGGGAGGGCGAGATTGAGCGAGAACAACAATGCAGAAGAGAAAGCAAAAGCGGAGAGAAAGTCAAGAAAGAAAGAGTGGCTTGGGTGAGAGACCAAGAAGTAAAAGAATGGCAGACAGAGCAATAGGAGGAGGCGGCGGAGGCGGTTGACGCGGCGGATGAGGCGAAAAAAGGCGGTTTTGGCGGCAAGAGAAGGGGAAAAGAGAGGTGGGTTCTTCGGGGGCGGTGGGAATTTGTAAAGGGTTGGGGATTTGGAGAGGGAGGAGTGGGTTTGGGTCAAAAGGGGTCGCTTGTAAGGTGTGGTTTGAGGGATTGGAGGGTCATTTTGGGGCAAATGTTGAGATGGGTAGTGAGGAAACTGAGAGATGTGGTTGAATTGGTGCGAAATTGAAGAAGAGAAAGAAGGTGGCGGTGGTGGTGCTGCGCCTGAGATTGGATTGAAATCGGAAGAGACGCCAATGCTTTCTTTTCCGATCTGAGCTTCTGATTTCTTATGATGCATTACATAAGGAACACAATACCAATCATAGCAACAACAAAAACGGCGACAAGAACAAGAAGAAGAAGAGGGAGTTTCGTTTCCTCTGTTCTTATTTGGATTTTTGCTTTTTGGTTTTCGGTTTGATTGTGAGGAGAGTGGTGGGGATGTGATTGTGGGGTTAGGCGAATGTTTCTCTCTTTATTTTTTTTCAATTTTTTTTGGACTTTTGAGTATTATTATGGATGACTGGAAAGGAAGAGGAAGATGAGATGTTGGGAAGAGCGATGCGTACGCTGAGTTTATGGCTAAAGATTGAACCAAGAGTGGAGTGTTATACAATCGTCCATTTCCAATTTTGAAAAACCAGAGAGACCAGTCTGAGAGAGAGAGAGAGAGAGAGAGAGGTCCACGGACTATATCTGACAACTCAAAGCGACAAATAATTCGGTGAAAGTAATATATTCTTTCCCCTCAAACAGTAAATACGCGTATTTTATTCCTACTTATTTTCTTTAAAAAAACATGTATTATATATATATATAAAACTTCTATTTTTAAATTTTCTTAAATTTACATATGAAATTTATATATGTTTTTAGAGTAATCGGTATTTTGTTGAAAAGATCAAACGGGTTTTACAATCCTCAAAAAGAGGTCAACGGACTCCTACGACCAATTCGTAGCACTTATAATAGACAAAGCGTATCTATAATCTAGTAATCCGATAAATTGTCATATTAACCTTATGTTTGATACAAGAATAATCACTCATCTAATGCTTATCAAGGTGAAGTAATGAAAAATATAATAGAAGAATTGCATTCGCTATATTGATTCTACAACTTGTAGAATTTGCTTTAGAATTTTTCACTTGTGATCAACTCTCTCACACTGATGCTTCTTTTTATAAGTGAGATACGTCAACACATTCCTTCTTATCAATAACGAAGCAAACCTAATAAGCAAGTGAATCTTTTGTATGTTTTGAAAAGTGTATTATACGCATATGGTACAATTCAAAACCAAGATAACCAACAATAATTAGTTTGACTGTCTAAGATTGTATTGTATTTGTATATGGTAATGAAGTTATTTGTCAAATTTTGTCAAACCTCACCCGCGCTAATGTCAAAATATTAACAAAAGCATAGCATGTTATTGACTAAAATATTATAATTTACATGACTTCTCTTCAAGAGTTTTTTGATCTCAATATAAGTTATATATATATTGTTGTATTTCTATCTTATACACTCATAAATCAAATTTTCTTAAATTTTTCGCCATCGGTATTTTCGGTTAAAATTTGTTACTATATTTTAAAAAATTACCAAGTTATATACTTTAGGTATTTCTGGTTCCATATATAGTAACCATGCTCTCACATCAGACCCCTCAGTAACATTGTATTTGCTCCCTCCCTACTTCATGACATTTCACCTCCTTTCTACCCCAAAAAAAAGAAAAAAGCATTTGACTTCCTCCCCAGAAAAATGTGAAGCCTATCAAGCATAATCCCCTTATCCATGATTTGGCATGAAATGACAAGGGAAATCAACTAAACCAACAGATAAAGAGCTCACAGATATTTTATAATTATCAGTAAATATAGAAATAACCAGATCATGTTCACACGAGCCACAGACGCATGTGGTGGCACTTTAACATATCAGTGAAGCTTTGTTACGGATGCAATTTTAAATGAGGTAAAATGTATGCGCAACTTCGCCATGTGCCCATACTTTAGCTACTTTCTTTTGGGTAAAATGCATTTTTGGTTATTGTGTGTTTTGTATCAATTTCAGTTTTGGTTTAGATCTCAACAATTTGTTTGTTTTTGGAAAGAAAAGAAAAAAAATTTAATATTAACTTTTCGTGTTTATTTAATAGAGAAATCGAGTCTCGAATAATTTTTAGAGTTTTAACTCCACGTTTGATTTTTTTGATTTATTGTTTGAAATTGAGATTCAAGGCTATAAACATGATTTTCAACCATCCTTGAGTAATATTAAACAAGTTTTTGGTTGTGATTTGAAGTTAATTAGAATTGTACTAACAAAACGAAACACTGATGGCATTGACAAAAAATATAAAAGTGACCAGAATTTAATTCAAGGCAAAATAAATTACCAAAAATGCATTTGAACTTTTTTATTTGGTATTATGAAAATATCTGCCTCAAATCTAATTAAAAAAATATATAATCATAAAAAGATTGACCTAGCTTTTTGCTTTAAAAAAAAGTCTCAACTTTACAAAAGAGTTCATCGCCAATAAAATAAAGTGCCATATGGGTGCAATACCAAAGGCAAATAGGTAATCATTTGCCTACTGGCCTATATTTTATTCATAAGATTAACATTAAACACTCAAACAGTGGCATATTTTCAGGAAATAATAGAAACAAGCCAATTGATAATTTTGCTGAAGTAATCAGAGAAGAAATATATTATTGATTATTTTATATTTAACACAAAACAAAAGTATATATGTCCACTTCCAACACTTGCCATTTCAATAAAGCAAATAGATTATTGTTGTCTTTGTTCGTGTGCTTGAAGCAAACTCCAATGATTGGGCAGATTAAGGATGACAATGGGTCGGGTAGAAATCGGGTATGACAATACCATTTCCGTCCCCACTCTCCACCCACGCCCTGTCTCCGAACCCATCCTCGTTTAATAGATTTTGGAGAATCTATGTCCTTGTTCCCGTCGGGGGACTATCTCTCATACTCGCCCTGAATTCCCCATATTTTTACATAAAAAATATTTATCATGCATTTTAACATTAAGTTTTATATTAAATTATTATTCAACACATCCAAATTAATTATAAAGTTCCACTCGACTATTCAAAATCACATCAATATGAAATTTCAGAAAAGATTAGGAAGAATTAGGAGAGGAATGTTAACTTAGGATTAAACATAAATATTATAATTATATATATATATATTTATTTAAATATAAACATATATATTTTCGGGTCAGGTTCGGGGATGAGGACACCAATACCATCATATGGGCTCAGTTAAGTTGGCTAAAGCAAATATACTCTCCACTTTGCACCTGAGTTCGAATTCACCTCCCTGTAATTTAGGTTAGATTAAAGTAAAATATCGCTTGTATAAAAAAAAAGCAAAAAAACTCCAATGATTCAACAAGTTCAACTCATTGATTTTGAAGGTTTTTAGGAACCCAAATTTGAAGAACAGAGCTGGTTGGTTTGACCCAAGACATGAAACATGGACGGCCAGCTAGGGTTGATGGACAAAATGAATAGACATTTGTTTGGTCAAGACTTCGAAATAATGGTGCTATCTAACTAAAATTAAAGTATATGTATGTAAAGTAATAGGTTCATGAATTTCAAAATTGCGTGGAAGACGAGTCTTTGGGTCACATAATAATCAAATCATTGAATGGTTTCATTTCTTGATGAACAAGTTATAGGATATCTTGTAGTCAAAAAGATCCAAAGACAAGTTCATTTAAGTATGCCGACAGAATCTTATAGAGGGCATTTTTCAAGCATAGCAACATTCCCTTCTATATTTTCTTTTTTTTCTTTCTTCTTCTTTGTTAAGGTTTTGAATTGGACTTTGGAGATGGAAGTTGATGGTAATTAATCTAACTTGACGGCGTGCCAAAAAACAGTAATGATGTTGTCATGTTGATCAATTATTTACCCCAGAGCAGAAACCATTTTCACGTTTATAAATAACACTATTATTGGGAATTTAATACTTTTTCTCACAGCATGGAAAATCATTTACAAGGCATTTGCTTCTTTACAAATTATCATTGTTGTAAACTTAAGATACCAATTTAATGCAAGGGTATTATTGAAAAATTGAGCAACTTCTGATTCTTATTACTACGTAACGTAAATCAAAAATGAAAAATGAGAAAAATGATATTTCATACATACCATTTTTCAGCGTTTCCAAACACTGGAATAGGTACATTCTCATCTTCCAAAAACAAGCATGAAAGTTTCATTCATGACATGGGAGTTGAGAATGAAAAATGTTCGTTCCAATGTTTGGAAACGTTGAAAAATGGTATGTATGAAATATCAAAAGTTATACATCCAATAAGGTGTGATTGTGAAAGTTTTCTCTTCATCTACAAGCGGCAATTCAAAAGGTCTCCTAATAAGAATATGAAAAAGAACTGGAGAGCCGTCCTACTTATATAGCTTGGGGCCATAATCATATTTTACATATATCAAATTAAACTTTTAGAAGCCCACTAGACCTAGAGAACCAAAGTGGCATAGCTGAATTCCCAACAATATTTTGACCATTTCGATATCGCCGCAAAGTTAGATTGTTCCAAAGTTGGTCATATAATTATTCTATTCTAATATATTCTTGAGAGATGAAAAATAAAGTCGAATCAAAGAGAATACTCAATTGCTTTGTTATCCTTGCCACAATCCGTGTATGTCCATCTCCCAGTCTCAAAGTCCTAAGGGTCCCGTTTGGATGGAAGTATTTGGGAAATAATAAAAAAGGATTTGACAGTAAGGCTAAATTTGCTAAAGAAAATATGAAATTATTATATGCAACACGTCATTTGGAATTCGTTTGTTTTGTTTCATTGTTTTATTTATTCAAATCTTGACATACACGAAGTGCAAGAAGCCGAATAAACAATTCGAGCTTATAATCTCATCTAAATCCCTAGATTTGGAATGCCCTGATAAGAAGAAAGTGCCATTGCGAAGCACAAGCACAGATGTTTATGGGAATGTCTGAATGTTTTTCCAATTAGATGCCTCTAATTTTATATTTTTCTTTGTTTGTTAAACCGCGCGGGCCAAGCCCAACAAAACAAGAAATTAGCAAACAATGTCAAGAGCCAAGGCTCGGCTTAATGTATCATCCTCCAAAATACGCAGTCGAAGCACACAGATAACTGATGCCCCAAATTTGCCATATGACACACGAGTTTAAAACAGCTTTGACAATCGCTACTTGTTTTATTATTATTATTATTTTTATTATTTTGTTACATTGGAGTTCGACCCGTGTTTGAACTGGGGTGCCATGGGGAAGAGGGAAGCCACCACCACTGTGGAGAAGCTACCACCCTGTGGTGGGAACCCATTGGCAATTTTTTTCAGTCGGGCATCTGCAATAAAATTTTGCCTTCAATTAAGGAGAAAATGAAAAGGCCATTAATTTAGACAGAAATGTCATGTAAAGCACACGCCAGACAGTAAATCAAGGGTAAATTGTAATTTTACCCCAACTTTAGAAATTGACATTTTCAAAGTGAAAACGTAACATGCTTTGATTATAAATGAAATCCAATCCAACTACAGAGTCCTAATGGAAAGTAGATTTAACTTAAAAAGTATTACCATTCTTGGCATTACATCCCTCAAGCAAATGATAGTAGTACATTACATATATGAACAGGAAAGCTGTGGTCAAGGGGCATAAAGATCGGAGCATGATTTATCATAGTAAAAGGAATGATAAACAGGAACTGAAAATGAAAAGCACATTAATCTCAATAAAGAAAATGAAATAATCTTACAAGCGCTCTGTTAATCTCAAGATTAAAATTCAAAGACAGAGTTGCTCTGCTAATACGCCAATTTGCACTTTAAACATTTCCAATGGTAGATCACCCGTAGTACTTTCTGAGCTACAGCATTTTACCTCACTTTTTACAGCCAATCCATTCACCAATGGAGTCATGAGGCATCACAAAAATCCGAGGCTGGTCAATAGAAGATCTCATCACAAGTTTAGCCGTTTGCATTGTGGTTACGGCTTGTGGAGCTTGAAGCCAAAAACTCTTGGAACGTAACTCTGCGTCGCCTTTTGTGGCTTAAGGTGCCCATATGTCATTAAGAATAGGTGTGGAAATGTGGTTCCAAAATAAGCCCCATCAATATCTTCAAATGTCAAGGAATTGGAATATAAGATCAGAATGCCAAACAAAACTAGAATATGGTAAAAAAAAGTAATGCATTTATAACCACCGATAGATATTCAAATGTCTGCAAACCCAGTGGTTAAATTTCCCCATTTCCCATTCAATGATCAAACAAAATCAATTTTTGAATTCCTTGATCCTGATATTGGGCTTGCAAATGAAAGGTCTATTCTTGATCAGCTTAGGCACAGTTCCATACAAGACATCTTTCTTTTTTTGAAGAGAAACGATACCCATACAAGACATCATCATACCACAGCCCCGCCAAAATCCCAGCCTAATCTTTAAGTCCTGATTGCTACAGTCACACTAATCCTCATGCCAACGGCAACACCAGAATATAACTGCTGAAAATTTCTAAGACCATGAGAGCAACATCCTAGACTCTGTCAAATGGAATTTAAAAGTGGAAAAAAATCATGCTGATGGAAACATTGAACTTGAACTTAGGGCTAAAAGTGAAGCGCTCCTATTGTCAAATTTCATAGGAGTTTAGAAATAAGGACTCATCAATTAATTGGAAAGCCAAGTTTGAAAAGCAAAATCTATGAAAATAACTTTAGTGCAGATGCAAGCAAGATATAAGGATACTGCCTTGGTACTTGGATCGAGGGTAATATATATCCTCGCATTTGGGGCAGTATATCTTTACAGTGCTTGAACGAGGAATGTCTGATTGACCAACTGGAAGGCAGGGTTGTCCACAGCAGTAAACTCTTGGGCATCTTCCAAAGTCATAGTTTTTGTACTTCTCCAACTGTAGAACTTTTAAGGTCAATATTCTAACAAAACAATATATAATAGAAAAAAAAATTGCAAAGATAAAATAAATCAGAATCTTACCATTGCAGACATTCCTTTAGTAGTCAGTATGTATCGAACATGAATAAGACCATATAGCATCTCGGCTGCTGATTCAACCAACTCATTCTGTTCTTCAGTGAACATATCACCTGGACAAAATCCGCATGTATTATGTGCCTCAATGATAAAAGACCAACAAAGCACACTCAGGGCAGAGAACTGGCCCTCTGATATATTTATTTCATCATAATCAGTACCACTATTTTAATAAAATTGTCTTTAACCTTAGAAAACAATCATTAAATTTTGGCGAAATATAAAGTATGCAATATCCCACTCAAATTGAAAATAAATAGTAACAATAACAAAGAACTAAAGACTATTTTTAGTTCTAACAACCACACTAAAAGCTAATCTAAGAAACTTTATTTCTCACTTTGAGTGCTAAATGCAAAACCAAATCAAGAAAATAAGAGTGTGATACCATTTAATCTAAATTTTAATATTTCAATTTCATAATTGATTTAGGTTATATTTCACCGAATGTGCCAGCACACATTCTGCAGTTCTTACATTCAGCATACTCACAAACTATGTTCATGAGTTTAACATCAATCCGTACTCTCCTAGACTATTGTACTCATACTCAACTCACCAGTATAACTGTACCAATTTATTTTCAATGGAACATAAGTAAAACCCTCTTGCATACAAGAACCTCTCCAATCAACTAAATTACAAACGCAAACCCCCTTCTCATTTAACATATTACCTGTGGCTTGTCTCAAAATCAATTTCTATATTTCAACCACACAACTGTATTCTTTTTTTTCTTCTTTGGTTACACACAATTGTATTCTTTGTTTCTTATAAATACTGTTTGAGAAATTAAAAGATAAAGTAAAACTAAAACTAACCATTTTAAGAAGTGCCAAGTAATGCTTGTGCATGGAGCATAGGTTACGTTCCATCAAAAACTAAAAAAATTTCACCCCAATGAAACTTTCTAAAAGACAGTGGCCTAACTTAACAATCAAATAGCATTCAATTGTCATAAATTTTATTTCAAGAGTAAAATGGTTCGAATAAAAAATATGTATACGTCACTTTAAGATTCACAAACTAAAAACTCCATTAGCATAGAAAAATTCTTACCATGAGAAGATTCAACATCCAAAATCAGATCAAGTGCGTAATCATAATATGGAACTTGACTGCTCAAACCACAGAGATTAAAATCATCTTGGATGTATTCATCATCAACTTCACAAAAAAATTCATTTCCTCGCAAATTGCAGAACCATGAAATCCATGATGTGTCATCTCCATCAGAACCACTGACGTCTGATTCTTCACTGTCTGTTTCAGATTCCTCTGCATTGAAAGCAAACCATGTAAGAATGAGAGTGCATTTTCTAATCCAAGTCTTCAAGATAGATTTTTGTATCTTTTTCTACAACTTTAGTGCTCATGAATTATTCATACTGTAACAAAAAGTAAAATTACACAAGTGTGAAAGACTGGATTTGGGAAAAAATTAAAATTGGAAATTGTTACTTAGAACGGCTAAGAATCCTCAACAAAATAAGCAAAAGTGAGAACTTTCAACTTTGCCAATATCTGAGTCCTAAAAAAAGGGTTTCGCGATTAAAAAAACAAAAACAGCATACATGGAGCGAACCCAGATCATATAACAAAGTTTCTCTGACATAAATGACAAGAAAATGAGTTACCAATTATTCATAAACAGCAAATTCAATAAATAAATAAAAACAAAACAATGAGAGAGAAAAATAAAATGAGACCAACCATCAGAGCATTTGTTCTTGGTGAGCGAGGCGGCAGCGGCAGCGGCAACACGATGATCGAGCTGAGATTTACCAGTGGAAGTGGAGGGCACAGAGAGCCTCTCTTTATCTTTACTATTTGCCAAAGCTCTCGATGTAGATGGGGAGGACTTCTCTAGGTGCTTGTCCAGCGCATCATTGATGCGCTTGCGGTCGAGCGGCCCACCAACAATCTCCGTTTTCGACGACCCACCACCTCCACGTTCCCTATACATGGTCTAATTTCGAACCCCTTTTGGGTAAATTTTGGCTCTTGGATTTGGAGCGAGAGAGAAGAGTGTCAAGCTCTGTGCTGGCCATCCATGGTGTGTTAGAGAGTTTGAATAAAACCCTAGATTTTTTGAAGGGGGATAAAGGGAGGTACTTTTGAGGTCCTGAGGATCGGAGCGGAGAGAGATCGAAGATTGGAGAGAGAGAGAGAGAGAGAGGGAGAGAGAGAGAGAGAGCTAGGGTTTGGTGCAGGGAGAGATGGGGGCGAGAGGTACACGAGCTGTTGAGCAAAATGCTCTTAGGTTCCCTCTGTCTCTTCTTTGTTTTCTTGTCCTTGGTGTCTTACCCTTCTTCTTTTTAAAATTTTTTTCTCTATCTTATTTTCTAGGGGTGGGTATGGTCAGTTTGGTTCGGTTCGGTTCTAAAACTAAAACTTACATTGGGTTTTATTTGGTTCGGTTTTCATACAAAATGTCTAAAGGAGTCAAATCAACTGGACCCTATATGGTTCCTATTCGGTTTAGTCGTTTTTTGATTTGGAAGAAGATAAAAAGGTGAAGAAGACATAAATAGTGAATAGATAGAAAGAAGGATGCACAATAAGAAGTACAGTTAGGATTCACCGAAAAGAAAAAGGTCATGGTAGAGCTATTATTTAGTTGGATATAAGTTGGAACTGAGTGTGAGATTGTTGTCACTTTTTTAAAAAGTTTCTTCTGTTGTGCTTTGAAAATAATAAATTATAAAGTAAGCAGTTCCATATTTGATAAACAATATTTTTAAAGTGATGTGTGTATAAAAAGTAGTGTCCATCTATTTGGTAATTTTAATATAAAACTATTGTAGTTGTGGATAATGACTAAAATGGGCATGATGTTCAAAGTCGTATGTGATGAAAGTGGAGATGATGGTGATGAAGGTGGAGGTGGGGATGGAGGTGAAGTGGTCGTGGTGGTGGTGATGGAGGTGGAGGTTGTGACAGTGGTGGTGGTGATGATGGAGGTGCGTATGGTGTTGGTTGAGGTGAAGGTGTTGGTGGAGGTGGAGTTGGTAGTGGTGGTGGTAGTGGTGGTGAAGGTGGAGGTGGAGTTGGTAGTGGTGGTGGTAGTGGTGGTGAAGGTGGAGGTGGAGGTGGAGGTGGAGGTGGGAGATAGTGTGCGAGAACTACATGGAAAATGTAGACGATGTCATTTTTAAAAATTAATGATGGTATTATGGCAATTGAATTTTTTTATATTAAAGGCTCTTCTCTGCTTCTTGTGATAGTAGCTTTCAAAAGGATCCTAGAGGCTTCATTTAAAAGCTATTGTTAGGAAGCCATTGCTTTAAAAATAATTTGGATGTTTTGTTTTACTAAACACTTTAAATTGTTTAATTTTTCCGTGAAAGCAAATTTTTGGTGAAAAAAAAATTACAAACAGAGCCTAAAGTTTGTTTTTCATTCCTACACAACCCAAATATGAGAAAGGAACTAAATTGGTATTTCTTAGTTACTTGGGAAATGAAAATGAATCTTTCATTTCCCATTTCTTGGAAAAGGACACAGAAAATGATTTCCTATCAAATTATGTTTACAAACCAAAAGGGGCCCTAGAATTTTCACACCCTCTCACAAACATCTTCGATCTCTTCTTCAGTTAGAAGAAGAACTTTGTCGAAGGAAGTCATAACCTCCTCCATTGCACTCTACCACTCTCAACTCCAAACCCACAAATAGCCTACCAATTTGGAAATGATGCAATTTAGGAGGGACTTCCTAGAAATGACTATAGAAGGAAATTCATAAGAAGATACAAGTTGCTCATGTGTTTTACGAGTCACGTATACCAGCAATCAAGCTTGATTCATTTTTTCTAATGAGCCTAATATTATTTTTGAGCTGAGCTCGTTTCTCTTGCAAACCGAGGTATTAATTGAACCTAAAAATATACCAAATGCGAGCCTACCACTCACCTATGGCTGACATTTTTTACCGAGAAACAGCAAAATACTATTATAATTAAATAGTATAGTCACGCGACTATACTGAAGTTTTAATATTTTTTAATAAATAGCATAGCCGCGCGGATATATGCTTTAAATATAATATAATTAAATATTATAGTTGTGCTGCTATATTTCAGTTTTTTGAAAAGTTTTTATTATAGCCGTGCGGCTATACTTGGGTTTTTAAATAAATTGTATAGCCGTGCGGCTATGCTTGGTTCTTTATTTATTTTATTAATTTTTTCCTTGAATTTCATTTATCGATAAGAGTAGTTTAGAAAATACACATTTTTTAAAAAAGCAAACGTACAATACATGTACGTACGTATGTTTCATATCTAATACAAGTGTTTTTTTAAACAAAATTTTTCAATTTCAAACAAAGATTTATGGGTAAAGTAGTAAGAGAGAATGTAGTATTCTTCATGTAAAGTGTTATTCGAAAAGTGAAGCTTAAGCAAAAGCATGTCATGTCCTAAAATCCTATGTGCCGTGTCAAAATACCAAATGCTTCTCTAAACGTCTTTAATAGATGAATGCATCCCTCTACGTATAAAATAGAGTGTTGCTAAACGAACCCTAAAATTACCTGAGTATATCCTACTATCATACTATTTTATTGAATTGTGAAATAAATGTAATTTTAATAAATACACCTTACTAACGGGGATCCCCTGCTTGTTTTTTCTCAATATGCTTGACTTTTCTTTTAAGCATGCCACATCATTTACACACCACCTAAAACATGACACCACATATTTTTCCCTACACTTCTCCATCTTAGCATTTGGATAGCCGAACTCTTTTCTCTCTGGAAATTAAGCCCAGCAGAACCTCTTCTCTTGTCAATCACTCTTCTTCTCCAAACTTATAATTTTTTCATTTTTCTCATCTTTCAATTCAGGAAATTTCCTATAATATTGAAGCCCCTTGTAAAAACTTGTTTTCTCCAATTTCCCTCCACAAAAGTAGCCACACGAATCATATTGGGGCTTATATCAAGCAAGCAAGTTTTTTTTTTTGAAGATTTCATTGGGACAGAGATTGCAGATAGGCTAACCCATAGTAGGCAGCAAAAAAGATAAATAGAACCAGATGAAACCTAAAACTAAAAAAACACGGCTGAGAAGGGAATAAAACTAGGACAATGCAGCATCATACACGTCAACCCCTCCAACCTTGTCAACCCCTGGCTGAGAAGGCAATCAGAGTTGTTTTTCAGTTTTAGATATTGGATTTAGAAAAGAAAAAATAATTTAAAAATCAGAAAGAGAAAATAAAATCAGACGGCATGAAATACTTTGTTTCTTGGGAAAAAATTTAGAACTCCGAAGCTGCAAAATTGGGTATTTTAATAAGAGTGATTCCCTTACTTAGTATTACTAATTATTTGATTTAGGATCAATATCAAAGAATTCCGTTGAACGTTTTTGTATCATTAGTTAGATTTAGGATATATAAAAAAGAACAATATTGTCCAGATTGTACAGTTAAAAACTTTGAGAATCAAAGTATGGAGAAAAAGGGATCGTGAGATCGATGAATGTTGTTGTTGTTTTTTGTTTTTTTTCTTCTCATTTTGGTGTGTGTGTGGAGAAATAGAGTGTAATAGAGTGTACCATGGATATTTTTGGTAGTTAAATAGGGCTCACATTTTCACCTCAACGAAACCGGCATGTCGGGAAAACCAACCACATTTTTACCGCAATGAAACCAGCATGTTCGGAAAACCAACCACAAATTGCGATTTTTTGAACCGACCGCAATTTCCTATTGGCGATACGGTTCCGCAAATCCAAAGATTGATGTATACCATAATATAATTTAATAAATTAATAAATGAAATATTTGTAAATATTTGATATTAACTAACAGCCTTTAGATTAATCTAACGACTATGATTTATTATCTTCTATCAATCCTAGCCGTTGGACCTCATTTGTCTTATTAAGATGAGATTGAAATTGCAATTTAACAGTCTCTAAACATGAGATTGAAATTGCAATTTTACATTAAGATATATTAAATATTGCTCTTATGTTTGCAAAGCAAAGTGTCTTTCAGCAGTACATTTGCTGAAATTTTCTTTTTGCTAAGGATACATATTTATTTAAAGAAATTAAAAGAAATATGCAGGGGCTGATTCAATATAGCGTAGTACTTGTATATGTTATGTTATAAAAAATTATAGTTTTCTTTTTTCGTAAAACCAAATACGAACCTTTCTATTATAAATAACATATAAACAAATTGGAAAGCTTTTAAGGTACAATGAAATTGAAGAAAAACAAATTGATATGTAAGTAAAAGCAAAATAAATTATAAGTAAGAAGATGAGCTTTGTACGGTGAAGCACGTCAAAGATGTTATCCTAAAGCCTTTGCAGCCTCTCTACATTTAGGTATTGGCTGTCTACAAGACTCCGAGATACGACCCCTAGTACACAAGTTCGAGATCCGCTATGAGCAAGTTCATAGACGGATATAGATATTCAAGTCACAGAACCATTGCCCAAAATAATAATATAAGTAGATAAAATATAAAAAGTAGAAGATGAGAGAATCAGATTGTGGTATGTGATATTTTGATAGTATTGTGCTTGTTCAAATGTGAAAGAGGAGTGGCATTTTATAGTCATTCAATAACATGTGACATTCACCGCATTAAACTAGAAAATTAAGGCATTCAATATAGAAATAAAACCTGAAAATTAAATATTTATAACCCCCACAATAAAAAAAATAAAACAATCAAAATAATTAAATAAATCAAAACAATTAAAATTTTAAAACCTTTTTAAAATTCCAACATGTTAGCCATTGACGGATGAGCTTTGTATGACTGTTTCAATGGGGCACTTGATATTTAAGTTTCTTCCAAACTGTCTTTCAGTAGGAGTTCCTATAGAATATTGCTAGTGATGATGGATTTTGAAGGGTCTTCTAGGTCTGGCAATTATCTTTGGTGTATTTGTTAAGGGAGCTGATTTTCTCACTCTTTTTTTCTCCACTTACACTCCTTTTTATTTTTTAATCAATTTTGTTCTTTTTTATTCTTTCTCTTTCCTATTTTTTTGTGTTCCAAAAAAAAAAAGGTATATTATTTGATTTTTCTTTTTCTTTTAATTTTTTTTTAAATATGAAAAAGTGTGGATGGCTTCCCTTTGCGATGTCATTTCTAGGTTGCCGTTGTGCTTCCCTGGTTTATCGATTGATATTGCTGTGGGAATTTTAGCTTTCTTGTCTTCGTTTTTTAAAGGCTTCTCCCTTGTATTTTGGCCAGGTTAATGAAATTATCTTGTTTATGATCCAAAAAAACATCCAATACTACCAGTGGCGGTTCCAAGATTTGAAAGCCGACTAGGCAAAACTTATAGAACAAACTTGACGAAACGAGTGAATTTCATTAATAAACATAAAAAAAATTACATAGTGAGAGGAGACGTAATAAGCCCTACCCTCAAATGCATTTTTATCTACAAATGCAAAAACTAAAATAAAAACCAAAGAAAAAAATAGAAAATTTTTTTATTTCACATTAAAAAGAAAGATAATATGGAAGACTACATTAATTTTAAAAAAAAACAAGATTTATTTTGAGAGAAATGGGAAGGAAGAAAATTGGCGGAGTTTTTTGTTTTTTTTGTGACCTCATTTCTCTCTTGTTTCCTTTTATAAACGTTTATTATGACATCCGTTTTTAGGTTTCCACCTCGAGCTCCATAGCCCTATCAATCATGTTTCGCAATTTCTAAAATAGTTATCTTTGTGCAAGACAAATTTTTTTAATAATTATAAGTAATGTAGGTAATATTTTTCTAACAAAAAGAGAGAAGGAAAGGAAGAAATAAGAAAGGGAGAGAAGAAGAGAGAGAGAGAGGAGAAAAGATAGAAGAAAAAGAACGGAAAAAAAAGAGGAGGGATGAGAGAAGGAGAAGAAAGAAAAAAAAAGGGGGAGAGAAAAGAGAAGGAAAACAACGGAAAAAAGAGAGATCGAGAGGAGAGAAGGAAAAGAATAAAAAAAAGGAGAGTGGAGAGAGGAGAGTGTAAGGAAAAGAATAAAAAAAGGAGAGAGGAGAAAGGAGAGTGTGAGGAAAAGAATAAAAAAAGAGTGGTGATTCAAATTTTATCTACTTACACTCCATTTTATAGCTAAAAAAGGAGTGTAAATGGATAAAATTAGAGTGAGAAATCATTACCCTAATGAAAAGGAGAGGAGAGAGATGAGAGTGTATGTAATATTTTTTTTTAACAAAAATTAGGGCCGGGCAAAAGAGAAGAAAGAAGATAGAAAAATGTGAGTAATATTTATTTAACATAAATTTGGACTGGGCATGAGCCCAACCTGCCACAGGCTGGAACCGCCCATGAATACCACCATGGCCACCCCTCGGAAGTATCAATCGGAGATAGAGAGGTGGTGGCTTGGTGGGTTGGATTGGAGTGACGTGGGTGGTGGCTGGTGAGGGGGTAGGGGTGATCAATTGGAGAGAGAGAGAGAGAGAGAGAGAGAGAGAGAGAGAGAGAGAGAGAGGTGGTGGCTTGGTGGGTTGGACTGATAGGGCGGTGGTTGCTTGCTATAATCATTTGTTTCTATTTTTTCCAAGTTTCTTTTCTATTTTAATCTTATTTTCTATTTTTAAATTGAAAATTTAAATTTTAGATGACGGAAGTTAAAAATTGAGCTTAAATTTCTAACGAAATGAAATACTGTGATCAAATTGGTAAAATTAAAACATCGGTGACCAAATGTGTTTTCGGGCCTAAATTTAGTGACCAAAATTGTGTTTTACCTTTTAAAATATTATTTTTAAAGAATTCTTTGTTATTTTTTTCACACATCTGCACCAAAGTGGGTATCTCACTTGCCACGTCACCATGAATAAAATATGAAAGATAAAGAACAAAGGACAACATTGATTAAAAAGTACTAAAAAATAAAGAGAGTGTAAATGGAGAAAATGGAACTTATGGAAGTAGGGAAATCAGCTCCATTTGTTAATTATTTTTTCAGTATCTTAAAGTGGAGATTAATGATAATTACCGTGGTTATTAAGTACAATTTTTCATAATTAGACAATAAAGGTTATGTGTCGTGGAAATACCCACCGCAATATACCGACAATTGTAGTATATTGACATGCGGTATATTGCAATTTGTTGGTCAGTTCACAATTTGTCTTTATAGCATATAACAATATATCAGTCGTTCACAATTTTATTGAAAAGTTGCGATAATCGAATCGCAACCACCCCACTCTCACCTATGCATTTTGTTAGTATTGATTTTGTGATTGGCATTTCGTAGAGACAAATTAGACTAAGTATAGATGGTAAATTAGTTGTGATAGTGGCTGTCAAAATTCCAAGATATGCTCTGAAGGCTTATATGTCAATCAACGATCACTAAGGTAAATTCTTCATTCAATCATGCATCTTGATTGTGGTATTTCAAGCATTATTTCAAACTCATAATTTGATTAACATTTTGATTAAGAAGACTTTTTATTGTAAGAAAGATTGATTGATTTTATAAATTTCTTTCCAGTTTTGAATATATTAAAAGTCTTCTTTGATTAGAAATCAATTAGTCTGATTCTGGCAATTTACTATGTTGATTAGGAACTAATTGATTTTGTTTATAGTTTTGAAAACCATTATAAAAAGCAAGGCTTGGTTTTCATTCTCTTACAACTTTCAACGACTATAGTATTTCTTGAGTTTTCATATACACAAAAGAAAGTTGATGTGCTTTATTTTCCAGAAGAATAACTTATCAAGAGTAAGATTATCTTGGTGATATCTTTGTATTCATATTGCATTCATTTGCATGTTTGGTGACTCATACAGTTGAGGGCACCAATACCGTTGTGGCTTTTCTCCGGTGAGCTTGAATCAATCGTGGCCAGTATCGGATTCAACATAAGGAGAGTTGGAAGAACTCCGGCGAGCTTGAAGCAATCGCGACTAGTATTGCGTTCAACATAAGGAGTGTCAAAAGATCATCTCGCGAGAAGTTGAGTTACGAAGAGGTTGGTACGTTGTCTAGAGTGTCTAGGACAAGTTTGTATACTTCTTGTAATCATCGTTCTATAGTGGATTTGCCTTGGACTGTCAAGTCCCATGAATTTTCCCTAGAGGTGGGGTTTTACCACGTAAAATAACATCTGTGTTTTTATCTGTTTTTACGTTCTGTACTATAGAGGATTGATACATCGTATCAATCCCTTTGGAGTGTTTTTATATATCTGTTTCACTCTTCACTACTCAAAACGCAGACTTTACTCTTTTACTCTTTTAGCGTTTTAAGCCATCCTATAGGTATTTTCACATTTTACAACAAAATCCTTGTCTTTGAGTTCAATTATTCAATGAACATGAAAACTCAAATCCAATTCCTTAGGGGCTGTTCGGTAGGATATTTAGAGGCCCGTTTTTGTTTTTTGAGCCCAAATACGGATAAAAAATGCGTTCGGTGGGCTATTGACAAAAACACGAAAAAGGTTTTGAGAGAATGAATTCACGCCTAAAGCGTAAAAATTGAAAACGACAAAATGACGTTCTCTCCGTTCTCAACTCTAAATTAGAGAACGCAGAATTCTATTTGGGAAAACGGAGAAAACAAGGGAAACAGAGCACGCTTCGTCCCTTCATCTTCGTCTCTTCACCGCTTCATCTTCATCTTTGTCTTCGTTCCCTCATCTTCGTCTTCGTCGTCATCCCGTGATCTTCGTCTTCATCGTCATCCCCTGATCTTCGTCTTCATCCCTTCGTCCAAGTCTAAAACAGAAACACGCCTTCATCTACGAGAAACAGAGAAATTCCTTGCTTCCCACTCTTGCAATCTTCCTACACACTCTCTTGGAAGATCTTGGTAAGAAAAATTTATATAAAATATTTCGTTTTAGATTTGGGTATTTTTGTATGGTGTATCTAAACTGAAAATTTTCTTCTCAGATTTTGTTTCACACTCACTTGGAAGATCTTGCTGCTCAGTCTTCTGGAAGATTTTGGTACGAAATTACTCGTCGTGATAGGATGTTTGAAGAGTTTCAAGTTGAAGACATGATCATTGATTCAGAAAATACAACAACACCGAATATAGATATTTCTGCAGGAAATATTGCACAAATGGGTGACATTAGAGACAAGATCGCAGCGGATTTGTGGCGGGATTTTATTTAGTGCTCATGACAACATGATTTTAAATTTTATATTGCATATATTTAGATATTTGTGAGACTATGAGAGATTTGATCTATGATTTAAGATTATATCTTAGAGGACATGAGACCATTTTGGGTTAGCTAATGCAGGTATTGGATAATGATAATTAATTTGACCATTGCACAATTTAAAAGAATGTTTATGGCTTATTAATAAGCCTGATAAGATATGTGCTACACAAAATATTTGATTTATGATGTTGAAACTAATTATTACAATACTGTTACCGAACGCATATTCACTGTTTTTGTCATTTTCATATGTTTGTACCGGACACGTTTTCACTGTTTTCGTTCTTGGAAAATGTTTTCCAATTAGCGTACCAGACGCATTCTCGAATCTTGAAAATGCAAATTCGTTTTCTCGTTTTTATTTTCTGAAAATATTCTCAAAAAACATTCTCCGAAAACGTTACCGAACGGACCCTTATTTAATTGTTTTATCTAAATGGACGGCCCAGTACTTTATCTTTATTAGTTTTTACGACCCCCAAATTTCTTTATTAGTTTATTTCTTTTTCCGCACTGCCGACGGTGCCACTTACCAAAAAAAGTAAAAAACATGTAGTGGGTGCTATACCTAGACCGCAAGGAAAATGAGAGATTCAGTCTTCAGAAGAGGCCAAAAATAGATAACGGTTCTTGGTCCGAAGGTCTGCACAAACATGTCTTAATCCTGTTCTTATAAATTGCCCAAGAAAGAAAAAACAATTGCAATTAAATCAACATTAAATGTGTTAATAATGATTGAAACAAAAAACCAAAAAAATAGTATCCTAAACGTCTACACCAATAGTAGAGGACCATAAGTTCATTGCTAAAACGAAGGGAAGAAAAAGAGAGAAGGAAAAGCTGAAAGCAGAGGCAACAATGGCAGCAAAGATGATATTATCAGTGTTGCTTGGTGGGTTTGTGGTACTGTTCTTATACCTCTATGAGTCTTTGGTTTTAAAGCCAAAGAGGCTGAGATCAAAGCTTGAAAAGCAGGGGATCAGAGGGCCTTCTCCTTCATCAGTTCTCTTGGGAAATATCCCAGAAATGAAGAGCATCAAACTCAAGGTGATGAAAAAGTCTGAAGAAGCAAGGAGTAGCATCAAGTCAAAGGACCACCATCTTTCTATTGCTCATGATTGGCCTTCAACCATCTTCCCTCATCTGGTGCAGTGGACAAATGAATATGGTAATAAACCTAGTTTTGTTGGTCAACTTAATTTCAGAATTTATTTTGTATTTGAGTTCTAAAATGTGAAAATAATTGAAAAACAAATAACATGCAAAGTTTCCAGTCTAGTTTGGGCCTGAGGAAGATTAATTTGCTTACAGTCGCTCTCCTCTAGAAATCATAGATGCATAACCAAACACATTAATTTTAGATAAATTAATTGAAAAAAAAAAACAGAGGGGGATGATTTTTATTTTTGGCTGTCTTCCTAATTAGTATTTGTTGGTGGCAGGGCCAATCTTCATGTATTCAACTGGAAGCATACATCTAGTAAGTGTTACAGATATAGACATGGCGAAGGAAGTTAGCCTGTGCACATCTTTGAAGTTAGGGAAGCCTGCTTATCTGTCTAAGGATCGCAAGCCACTGTTAGGCCAAGGCATTCTAGCTTCAAATGGCCCAACTTGGTCTCACCAAAGGAAGATTATTGCTCCTGAATTTTACTCTGATAAGGTTAAGGTAAATCATTAAATTTCCATTTTTCTTTCTGTTGTTATTTCTGATGGATTTCTTCCTTTTAACCACAATCAAATGGGTTCAGAATTCACTGTTTAAAATTAGTATATGCCTCTCTAGTTATCAAAAAATTGCTTCAGTGTGTTGATTATGCGAAGGCATAAACTTGATAGTCTACTTTCTAAAGAACTTGAGTATAAAAAAAAATGCTTTTCGTTCGATCTAGCTAACATTTCTTCATGCAAATCTGTTTTAAGGGCATGGTGAACTTGATGGTGGACTCTACAACCTCAATGTTAAGATCTTGGGAGAGTAAAATCGAAAGTGAGGGAGGAATGGCAGTCTTTAGAGTTGACGAGGATTTAAGAAGCTTGTCCGCAGATATAATATCAAGAACATCATTTGGAAGTGATTATTCACAAGGGAAAGAAATTTTCTTAAAGCTCAGAACTCTTCAGAAAGTCATGTCCGAGCTGGGGAACATTGGGATTCCTGGCTTAAGGTCAATCATCATACTTTATTCATTTAATCACCATAATAGGTTCTGGGGATGGTTTTTGTTTAAGTAGTTCTTGTTGCATAAAACACATTATCACATTGCCAAATACGTGTCTTACATAGGTAACCCTATGCATAGGTGAGTCCTATCACCGGCCTATGTGGTTTTCACCTCTGTCTGAGATGTCATTAGTAAATATAGTACAATAGTTTTATTATATACATGCTCACTAGATCTGCAAATTCCCCACGACAGATACTTGCCAACGAAAGCCAACAGAGAGATAAGGAGATTAGAGAAAGAGATCCACTCAATGATATTAAGGGTTGCAAACCAACGCAGTACCGAGGCTAGTCATGAGAAGGACCTTCTGCAAATGATACTCGAGGGAGCGAAAAAGTATGATGATGCAGATAGCCTATTTTCTGCTGGTATCTCCCAGGAAGACTTCATAGTGGATAATTGCAAAAACATATACTTTGCTGGCCATGAGACCACTGCCATCACAGCCTCCTGGAGCTTGATGTTATTGGCTGCAAATCCGGAGTGGCAAGCTTGTGTTCGTGATGAGGTGCTTGTAATTTGCGGGGATGGAATTCCAGATGCTGATATGCTTCGAAGCATGAAAACAGTATGTTACTTTAGCACAAATACTCTTTGAATGAACCTCTTTGGAAAAGTTTTTTGCTTTTTGCCAATACATGCCAAAACCGCTTTTAGTAATGTTTGACATAAATTGACAAAAATGATTTATGGGATGACATAAGGACCAAGTGCTTACTGAATAAGTAATATGCTAAGTGCTTCTCAAGAAGTGCATGTGTGCTTCTGAAGAAGTGAATGCAAGAAAAGCACTTTGATTTTTAGTGAATCTTTTTGTAGACTTCCAACAAAGTGCTAAAACTGAACCACTTCACACAAAAGAACTCTCAAACACACACAATTACTCTGCTAATTCAGAAAGTATGTTACTGTGCATGTATTTGTAATAGGATTTTCTTTCCTTTCTACCAAAATGATATGAAATTCCATTCTAAACTCATTGTATAACTGTTTTGGCAGTTGAATATGGTAATTCAAGAAACATTGCGTCTGTACCCACCGGCAGTGTTTGTCATAAGACAAGCCTTGGAAGATATTAAGCTCAAAGATATTTTACTTCCCAAAGGAATGAACATTCAGATTCCAATCCCAATACTGCATCGGCTGCCTGATCTATGGGGCCCTGATGCCCTTGATTTCAACCCAAAAAGATTTGAGAATGGAGTTCTTGGGGCTTGCAAGTTTCCTCAGGCTTATATGCCATTCGGAGTTGGTGCTCGTGTTTGTCTTGGCCAACACTTAGCCATGACAGAATTGAAGGTGATTCTGTCTCTTATTCTATCCAAGTTTTCCTTCTCACTCTCACCTGCATACCAACACTGCCCAGCTTTTAGGTTGGTTATTGAACCTGAAAATGGAGTAAATCTCCATGTGAGGAGAGTGTGACCTTTTTTTTTAAAAGGTGTAAAAGAATGCTGCAGTTGGTCGATTTTTTTCGTAGGGAATAAAGAGTTGGCAACTTTTACACCTGTGGTTCACTGTGAACATTGAAAGAAAAAGGGAAAGGTTAAGGTTTCTTTCTTTCTTCTTACTTGTAATCTAGATGTAGGATGCAATGTGAGGAGGATACATTGTGGGAGAATTACAGTTCTTAACTTATTACATTATTTTGTTGTGTGTTCAAGTTTTTTTTGGAGTTCATTAAGGCTGCAAATGCTAACTGGTGGTTCTCCACCTAGCTTATTTTAGGACATTCAATACATTCCTCGTCTTATTTGAAACTAAACTTTATTATAGCAACCATCAGGCCCAGAAAAAACGAAAAAAGAAAACAATAATTTGCAATTTAGTTTACCCAGTGGACACCCAATTATCCAATGCAGGATTAGACTTCTTTTGTTATTTTTCCTTATCAATGGGGAGGGGATTTGAATTGGGACATCTTGCAACATTAAGAAGAATAATACCACTTCACCAATACCTAGTTGGTGATAGACCTTTTGTTATATTCTTACAATTGTATTGACAGTAGAAAAAGGTGGCTTGAAAGCATTTTCAAGGGTCATAAGTTCCATGAATTTTGAAGGGTCATTAATTAAGATTTGTTCTACCAAAAGAATTAATATTTTTTAGTCCAATTATACAATAGACATTAGAAAGTCAGATCAAATTCCTTATTTCAATTTTTTTAATCTAATTGGACGAACCAATACTTAGCACAAAGACGGCAATTATAGTATATTAGATTTTTTGCCCTTTGCAATGATAGTATATTAGTTTATTTGCCCTTTCCAAACCGCAGAAGGTGTGGTAGACCGTAAGGAGAATGAGAAGGTCCAGTTTTATTAATTGCTAAAACAAAGAAGGAAGGGAAGAAAGAAAGAAAGGAGAAGGGCCAAAGAACTGAAAGCAGAGCCAACAATGGTAGCAAAGATCATGCTATCAGTGTTGTTTGGAGGATTTGTGTTATTGCTTGCATACCTGTATGAGTCTTTGGTTTTAAAGTCAAAGAGGTTAAGATTAAAGCTTGAGAAGCAAGGGATCAGAGGGCCTTCTCCTTCATCAATTCTCTTGGGCAATATCCCAGACATGAACAGAATCAAACTCAAGGAGATGAAGTTACGTGCAGCTAAAGAAACAAGAAGTGGTAGTATCTCAAAGGACCACCCTCTTACTATTGCTCATGATTTGACTTCAACCCTTTTCCCTCATCTGGTGCAATGGCGAAATGACTACGGTACACCATTTATGTCAGCCTAATTTCTTTAGTATATGATAATAACAGTGTTGGCCTAAAATTAGATTTGGAAAAGTGCAGATGTATTTTTTGTTCTTTTGGATCAAAAGGCTACACTGTACACAAATGCATGTACTGCTAAAAACATCTTGTCCTCCTCTTTTTTACTGGAGAGAACTTACCTACTCGGTCACCACCAGCTCCTCTCTCCTATCTCTCTCCTCATATATGAGGAGAGAGATAGGAAGAGAGGAATAGTGGCACCGGGGCATGGAAGTATTTTTTTCCCTTTATCGGTTAGTTAACTGTCAGATGATTTTGTTTAAAATTGTGCTCTTCCAATTGAGTTTTAATCTAGTCAGGTCAGATTGAGAGCTAGCCAAGGATTAGTCACCTTATGCTGGACTTTTGGAAGATTAATTTGCTTATAATGTCGTCTCCTTTAGAAATGTAAAATCCATACCTAAATGCACTCATTTTAGATAAATAAAATAAGAGAGGGAAGGTGATCACATTTTTCATTTTGTTTTGGAGCTCTTCCTGCTGTTTTTGTTATGCTTATCCAGTACATATTGGTGGCAGGGCCAAACTTCACCTATTTAAGTGGAAGGATACAGCAATTAACTCTTACAGATGTAGAAACGGTAAGGGAAGTTAGCCTGTGCAAATCTTTGCACTTGGGGAAGCCTGCTTACCTATTATTTCAGGATCGTAAGCTGCTGTTTGGCAAAGGCATTCTAGCTTCCAGTGGCCCAATTTGGTCCCACCAAAGGAAGATTATTGCTCCTGAGTTCTACTTTGAAAAGGTTAAGGTAAATGACTAAATCTCATCCTAGAATTTTTATGTTCATTTTCTATTGCTGCTTTTTATGATGCATTTCATGGATTTCAATTATAATCAAAATCCAATGGGTCCAAAATTCAGGGCTCGTTTGGGAGTGCTTTTGGAGCAGCGAAAAGCGCTTCTAAATGGGTGAAAGCGCTTCTATCTTTTAAAAATAGTGTTTGGCAAAAATTGCAAAAGCGCTTTGGGTGAGATCCAAAAGCACTTGGAGTGGTTTTGGAAGAAGCACTTGAGAGGTGCTTCTTCTTAAAAGCACTGCAGGACAAAAACACGGGAAGCACTTGGCTCCCTTTAATGAAACTTTTAAAATGCCGAGAATACCCATATTTAATTTTTTTTAATGCCAAAATACCCTCTTTTTTTTTCTCTCTATCTTTTTCTCTCCTATTAAAATTAAAACGCTACCCGCGAAAGACGCCAAAACTTATCAGACAAAAACACAGCTTCTATTCCATCTCTCTCACACACACTGTTAACTCTGGTCGGCAACGAAACTTTAACCTTAGCACCCTTTAGCAACACCCTTCTTCTTCTTCTGCCTTCTTCTTCTTAGACCTTTTTCCACCCTTACAAGTTCCCAAACTTCCAGACTAAGCCAGAACTTTGAAAAAATCCCAAAAGAAAACTCCCTATATAAACACAAAGCCTTGAAAAACGTTGTGATCATATCTGCCTGCATCTATTATCTTCCCATCAATAAACAGCTTCAGTTTAGCTTCTTCAGCCTTGAAATATACTAAAAACACAACAACCCAAGACAGAAAAGAAGGAAAGAAAGAGAAAGGAGCAAGCAACCCAGAAAGATAGAACCCACTTGAGCTTTTCATACAAATAGAGAGACAAAAGACAGAGCTTTTCACACTGTCATGGTGTTTTCCCTTTTGCTTAAATTTATGGCTTGTTTGTCTGTTTGTTGCCTCCGTCGCTCACTACTTTCAAATTTCAGCACATATATACTTTCCATATATTTTGATTGAAATTGAATGAAAAGGAAAAAGACAGATGCATTAATGGAAAACATATATGGCTTTGTGAGAGATTATACTGGGAAGGGTTGCCATTACTATAAAGCGCTTTTACTGTGTCAACCAAACACTCAACAAAATATCAAAAGCACTTTTATGTAGTATAAAAGTACTTTTAAATGTGACATCCAAACGACAACTGCTTCTTTGTAGAAGCACTTATGTCATAAGCGCTACTGGCATAAGCGCTTCGGAAAGAAGCACTCCCAAACGAGCCCTCATAGGGCTCGTTTGGGAGTGATTCTGGATAGACCAATAATCACTTCTATGGAATAGCTTAAAATCACTAAGTGATTATATGGAGATGGAGAAGCATGTGGGAGGTGCTTCTCCCCAAAAGTGATTCTGGCCCTCCAAGAATCACTCTCAAACGAGCTCATAAATAGATGAAAGTGCTTCTTGTGATGGCAGATCTCTTCAAGTGCTTCCTGAATGAAGCACACAATATGTGCTTGATGTGCTTTTAGGTGAATGTGCCTTGTATTTGAGTGAAAAAAAATTTATGTACAAAGTTCTACTAACAAAAGCAGTTACTGAGTACAAGTGCTTCATATAGAAGCATTTCGAAACACGTTCAAATTCTGTACATACTCTGCTAATGAAAACAGTATGTTACTACTATACATAAACAGATCTGTAATAAGAACTGATTTCCGCCCTACCAAATTGATATGAACTTCATTCTCATTATATATATGTTGGCAGTTGAATATGGTGATTCAAGAGACATTGCGCCTATACCCACCGGCAGTGTTTGTTGTAAGACAAAGCCTTTGAAGATATTGAGCTCAACAACATTCTGATTCCCAAAGGAACGAACATTCAGATTCCAGTCCCAATGTTGCAGCAACTGCCTGATGTCTGGGGTCCTGATGCCCTTGAATTCAATCTGAAAAGATTCGAGCATGGAGTTCTTGGTGCTTGCAAGTGTCCTCAGGCTTACATACCATTTGGATTTGGTCCTCGGATTTGTGTTGGGCAGCACTTAGCCATGACAGAAATGGAGGTGATTCTGTCTCTTATTTTATCCAAGTTTTGCTTCTCGCACTCCCCTGCATACCAACACTGCCCAGTATTCAGATTGGTTATTGAACCTGATCATGGACTAAATCTCCATGTGAGGAGGGTGTAACTATGAACATTGGCAATTTTTACACGTGTTTCACTATGAAAATTGAACTAAAAAAGAGGGAAGAGGTTTACTTTTTTTTCTTTCTTGATTATTTTACTTGTAATCTAAATGTAAGATGCAATGGGGGGATGGTGAACTTAGTTATTAATTTGTTGTACTATTTTTGGTGTATGAAAAATTATGTTTTATTGTGTATCTGTTATGGCTATAATATTCATTAGTTTCCACATAGCTTAAGCTCTTAAGATTGATATTAACTACTCTACTTTTTTATTATTTTTTTATTTTTTTATTTTTAAACTAAAGCTTATTGTATGATAACAGATTATTATTTTTTCTTTAATTCAACAACGGTTGGCATGAGAGTTGAACTTAGGACCTCGTACGATAAAGTGGAGACTAAACTACATTAGACAAAATGATCATTGACAGGAGCTCTTAATCTTAACAATATTTATGTTATGAAAGAATATGAAAATAAAAAAAATCTTGTTTTTTATTTAGAAAAAAAGAATAATGATTTTTTCTATCCAAATGAACAACCCAATAATTAGTGAAAAGAAGTTGGTGATCACACTTTATTTGTCTTTTCCAAAGCTACTTAGAATCAGAAGAGGCCAAAAAGAGACAATGCTATAGGTCCATTGTAATCAAATGTGATAATAATGATGATATTATTAATTAACACTACCATTGGTCCATTGCTAAAACAAGGAAAGAAGGGAAGAAAGAAAGATAGGAGAGGGGCCAAATAACTGAAAGCAGAGCCAAAAATGGCACCGAGATTTTATTTTATTTTATTGTTTGTCAGAAGACCTAGAGGGTAAGATCAAAGCTTGAGAAGCAAGGCATCAGAGGGCCTTCTCCTTCCTCAATTCTATTGGGCAGTATCCCAGAAACGAAGAGGATGGTAGAACTCAAGGTGATGAAGTCAACAGAAAATAAAGACACAAAGAGAACTGTGTCAAAAGCATCTTTCGATTGCTCATGATTGGCCTTCAAATCTGCTCCCTTAACTGCTGCAGTGGCAAAATCATCCCATTTTCTCTCATCTCTCTTTATTTTCTCTTGGATTTTCTTAGAATATAAGAAATAAATTTAAAAGAAGAAAAAGGTACCAACTTGTAGCCTTACAAATCATATCTTAGTCTAATGATTCACCTCCAAATGAAGGTACCAACTCATCTATAAAATGATTGTGGATTTGAAAGCTTGAGGCAAGGGTAGAGAATGGGGGAGGGTGAGCTGCTACCTTCCATGTTTCATATTCCTTTTTGTCATTCCCAAGGTCTTAAATATCGAGGGTTTTGGAAATATCGGTGGTTCAAAAACACTGAAATATCGATGGAAATATTGGGAAAATATTGATATCGATAAAAATTGGATAAAAACCACGGAAATTGTGATAAATACATAGAAATTTTTAATGAAACTTTGTACAAAATTTATTTAGTCAATCATCTATTATTTTAACACAAAAGATTGGAAGAAAATGCATTGCATAACATGTTTGAGTGATTTCTACTAATAATATCCCAAGCCCAACTAGCCATACTAGCTGATTAGAAAATGCATGCAATGATAGCAATACTAAATATCCTAAGTCCAACTAGCCAACAAGCCTAACAAGCCCAACTAATAATAATAGATGATTGATACTAATATCCCAAGCCCAACAAACCATACTAAAATACTAATATCTTAACCCTATCTATCTAATCCCATCCATCAACGTCAGTCACTTTATTCCTTTCTTTCTTTTCTATTTCTCACTTCACTCTCTCTTTCTTTCTCTCATTCTTTCCGTTTCCACCTCTTTTCCTCTGAGTTTTTTTGTTCTGGCACTTGGGGCAGTCATCATCACAAGAGAGATGTGAGAGCCCACCATGAAAAAATCGTGGTTTTGGAGCTCTAAGCTCTCTTTCCTCCCATTTCTTTCTCTCCTCTCATTTCTTCTTCGTTTTCTTTTTCTCTCTTATTCTTTTTCTTTTCTTTTTTCTTCCTCTCTTTCTTTGATTTTCTAGTACTCTGATTTTTTTTTCTCTCTCGGTTCTATGTTTCTATATCTCCCTCTATATCTCTTTCTTTGCAGATATGAGTTCTTGAATATCTTGGGTTAAATTCTTGAATTTGATTTTTTTATTGTTCAAATATGGAATCTGATTTTTCATGCAAATTTAAAGCTCAGTTGAGGTTCATATATGTTTTGCTAGATAGTTTTTTATTTATTTATCTTTTAAGGTTCATAACTTCAGATCTGGTTTTCCTTGTATGGACTCATCGATTGGTTCCATTGATGTTTCTAAAAATATCAGTTAGAAGTTGGAAGCTGGGAGGGGTTCGAACCCCTGTGTGCGACGTTCAAGCGAATTATTTCATTTTTGAAATTTCATATCGCGATATTATTTTGCAGCTGCCATTTGAACGAAAAATATCGGTACCGAAATTATCGAAGAAATTATCGATAAATAAATGGAAACATACTAAAATATCGCTGCCCCTAAAAAACGATAATTTCACAGAAATATCGGCAAAATTATTGATATTTTATTCTCTGGTCATTCCTACAAGGGGATTTTGGTAATTTACACATGTAGAGGTATGTTAGTCATTTTGTACCAAAATTGATGTAAAACACATGGTCAAGTTGATCGAGGAACAGTTAGACAGACTCGCACTTCGTTGCGGTAGCAAAATCCAATTTGTGCAAGTATATGCCCGAGCTCAGAATAGGGCCCATGACTTATCATTTCAAAGAGAATGGTGTGACAAGTGCAACTCACTACTTTGTTGTGATGTATGTGCTATTTTAGCCAAGAGTTAGAGTGCTATTATTTCCACCCCTGTCTTATTTCCCCACCCACCATGTAAATTTGAAAAAACACAATCCTATCTTTACACCAATCATTATTCTTAAAATACACATTACTCTTCCAACCACCAAGTAATAAAATATTATTAAATTAATTAATAAACAATATAAAATACTCAAACAAAAAACTCTCTCTCTCTCTCTCTCTCTCTCTCTCTCCTCTCTCTCTCTCTCTCTCTCTCTCTCTCTTTCTCGATCCAATCCCCACCAACATATGTTGCCATCCCTCCCCATCCCAGATCCCACCTAGAGGTGTCAAACGGGACAAGCCGGCCCAGCACGGCACGAGCTCAGCCCGTTTAAATGAGGCACAACACGACACGAGCAAGAATATTAATAGGCCGTGCTGGGCACGACACGAAAACTTGGGTCGGGCCGAGATCAAAACATGAGGTCCAATGGACCGGGCTGGCCCATGGTGTCACATCCCGGGATCGGCTCTGCCATAGCACGATATTGTCCGCTTTGGGCCCTCTTCTCTTCCCTCACGGTTTTGTTTATGGGAGCTCACGATCAACTTCCCAATGGGTCACCCATCCTGGGATTGCTCTAACCCTAACTCGCTTAACTTCGGAGTTCCCATGACTCCGAAGCCAGTGAGCTCTCAAAAGGTCTCGTGCTAGATGGAGGCAGACATGTACATATAAGGCACATCGCCCTCTCTCCGTTGGTCGATATGGGATGTTACACATGGCTCAACATGGGCCGGGCTTGGCCCAAGCACGCTTCAAGCATGGCACGAGCCCAAGCACGGCCCACTTAACATTTTTTTCTTTCTCAAAAGTCAAAATGCAATAATTTGACATCTAATGTCATTGTTTATATATATATATATATATATATTTAAATCATAAATATATATTTGATGTCTTTCATTTTAGGGAAATTACTTGGGTCCTTAATTAATTAAACATATCAACTACAACTTAATTAAACAACATTGGACTTGATATCTAATCAGTACATATGACGTATATGCTTCTCTTATAATCAAAGCAAGACATTTTTTCACATATAAAATAATAAGTTGTTTAAAGATGAAAAGTTGAAGTGGACTTTGTGGAGTTGGACACTTTTTGCCATTCGCCATTTCATATTATTTGGATGTTTGATTGATTAATGTTTTCGAATAGTTCATCATTTCTTGCCTCTAATTATATTTTTAATGTTTATAATTTGAATTATCTAGTGGAAAAAAAATCAAGTGAAAAAATATTCAAATTAAATGAATTGGTTCTTGGGCTCGAGTATGGCACAAGCACGAGCACGGGCACGGCACGAGCCCGGCCTAGCCTGTTTCAATATGGACATGGGCTTTGGGCCGGGTTGGGATCAATGATTTTACTAAATGGGCCGGTACGGCAGGGCCCGATAAATTAAATGGGCCGGCTCGGCCCGACACGAAAACGTTAAAAGTACGAGTTTAAATGAGATGGGTCAGCTCGGCACAGCCTGTTTGACACCTCCACCCCACCTATCAGACCCACCTCCCCACCGCCCAGCACCCTAGCCACCCACTGCCATGGAACCCAACCCAGATGTTGTGCTCCATTCTCTCTCTCTCTCTCTCTCTCTCTCTCTCTCTGTTGAGAGGTGCAAACATTTAGACTGATTTAAATCTCATATAAAAGTCCTTTATTTATGATTTTACCCCCTACTTATGTTCTTTATTCTTTTTTGTCCTATTCAGAAACACAGTAAAATGACCGTATTGCCCTTCTTGCCCCTTTCCCTTCGGTTCTCTTCCGTTCCCAAATCTTCTTTTGCTCAGAGAACGCACCATTTCCAATCGAAAACTGTTCCTTCAATCTCTCAGCTACACCACCAAATCCCAAAAGACATGTGCCCCTCCAGGCTCCTGGAAAATCCACCCCAAAGTAGACATGCCTGTGAGGGCCATGGCTCCAGCCATAGCAAACCCAGTCATCGCTCCCACAAACACAAACCCAGTAAAAAACAGCAAAGGGATGAAGATCAACCGAAGCGGTGAGCTCAAAACCAGAAGCGTCACTGATGCCAAGAAGCTGAAACCCATCAAGAACACAAGCGACCCTCCAATTTCCAAGCATCCCATGGCTGCCAAGACCACCTTGGTGTTTTGGGATTTCGTTTGGTCTTGATCTCATCAGTTTTCGATCGTCTTCATCTAATCAGTTTTCAATCATCTCACCCTGCTTCCCATTCCAAAATCCCAATCCCGTGCGCTTTCAATCCTTGTTGCGAAATCGGCGCCAAGAACTGAGGTATGGTTTCTGGAACTCACTTTCTAAGTTTTTCATTTTGACTGCATCCCACACCTGCAGAGTATTGAAAAATCATAATTGACATTGAACTTGAACCTGCACAATCACTTCAGAATTAGTTAAGTCATAGATCAAACCTTAATGACCCTATCCTCCCCACACGTGACAACACATATGAGCCTCCATCTGAAAACAAGAGGACAACCACAGCAACACTTAAAGTCAATTTACCCCCATGGGAGTATATTTGCACGATGTGCTTAGAGTATGCTACACCTGCAGTAGAAACCTGATTGATCATAACCAGCTTAAGATTGATTTCCTATTTCTTGATAATACTTTGTTGTGATGAACTAGCAGGTGTCTACTTCACAATATGAGAATAAAATTAAGTAGACACTAAACAAACAAAGACACCTATGCTTACCTAAAAGTGTCCCATCAGGGCTCCACATCATGCGGTTGATTTATGCCGTATAGTCACTGGCCAAAGATGAACTAGCAGGTGTTTGTTTTTGTTTTCCACGATTTTTAGGCGGCCTAATGAAGTTCAAGCATCTCATATAAAAACACTGCACATAAAAATATATTTGGATAGTTTTGGGACTAGAAAATCATTAACTGCAATTTTTTCGATTTTTTCAGTTTTTTCTTGCTTTTTCGCATCTTCTTTCTTAACCATGTCTCCTTTTGATGTTTTGTAGGTAGTGTTTTGCTGCTTTAGATAAAGCTGTTTGGTGGTTGTTTTTGGTTCTCTTAAGCTAGAGGTGTGTTTCTATGTTGAAATTTCAATTTATTGTTTCGGTTCTGTGAATAAAGCATAGTAATTAGCTAATGGCATAAATTGACAATTGGTTGGGATAAATTTGAATTAATTGCTATGGTTGTACAACTATAAATAAAGCCAAGTAATTCTTATGTAGTTTGAACCAATGACAAGCTGTTTCATGTATGATCTATGCTTAGATACTTGTTAATATTTTTGACTTTTAACTTTTAGTTTATAGAAGATATGATGTGTTTGGAGGAGTTGTTGATAAGAATGATAATAACATGATATTGCTTTTGATTAAATATTAATGCCTTTTCGGCTTTTTGAAATGTTTTGTTTTTTTGAGGGAGCTTTTTTAACATGAAAAAGGACATGGAGTTGTTATAAACTGCCTTTGGTTTCATTTGATTGATGTTTTGGGTTGATTTTCAGACATATGTTTAATACAAACTGCCTTTGGTTTTAAAACCCGCAACATCGCGCGGGCACCTTTTGCTAGTTATTTCTAAAGAAACATTTTGGGTAAGCAAGCAGTGAATGTGGGGTTACCAATCAATTCCCCTTCCAAAGAGGTGCATGGATAAACATGTTGGGAAAACACCAATTTTCCCCTCGTCACAGGATAACCCAACGGAAGAAATGAATAAACAAACCAACAAGCTCAAGATGAAAAAGAGTAAATACATGAGAGAACACAGATAATCTTGTCTGCATCCCCGAACTATATTGTCAATTCTTCACTATGAGAATAGTTACTCTACAAAAAACATATTGAGTTAAATCAACATAACCCAATATAACACTCAAGAGTTTTATATTCAAACCCAAGTCCCTTGTTCATCCACTCACAGTATTTCGTCCAATATAGATTCCTGCATTTTCTATTTTCTAGACATATACCTATCACTCTATAAATCTATGTGTAAAACCCAATTTCAAATTTTAATGACCAGTATGATATAAGAGGTCGTAGTATTTCTATGTTTTTACATCGTTGCCACTAAACTTCATATTTTATTTATAATTTATTTCAAGCATTTCATTAACTGCCATAATTGTAATTAATATACTCCCTATTAATAGCATATCAATCACCCCATTTCTTTTAGTTGTCATTCCCTCTCAAATCTTGCCCCCTAAAATTGCAAACAAAAAAAAAAATCTGTAAATTACATATCCAATAATGTACCTATGAAAAATATAATATAATATAAATATATACATATAAAATATAGGTATATTATTTACCCCAAAAAAAAAGTCAGTTACTTTGTAATTGTATATATTTTTCATAATTAAAAATAGGTACACAATAATTTATATAAAATATAGGTACATTATTTGGAGAGGAAAGATAGGTACATTATTAGAGGAAAAAAATTGGTAAGTTATTTGGAGAGAGAAAATAGGTTAATTTAAAAAAATTACGTTTAATAAAACAAATAATAGGTACTTTATTAAGAGAAAAAAGGCTATATTATTTATAGAAAAAAATAGGTACATTATTTAGATAAATAATAGGTACTTTATTCGTAGTAGGTATATTATTCAAATGGTAGGTACATTGGATGACATATAATACCTAAATCCTAATTGTAAGTACATTAAAATTAATGTAGGTATATTGGAATAGATAATTATGTACACTTTTCATACTAGGTAAATTATATTTTTCATAAAACAAATAGGTACATTATTTTTTCAACATAATTAGTATGTTCAGTTTTATTCATAAACAATTATAAAGTGGATTATTAGTCATGTATAATTCATAAAAAGAAAATAACATAAACATTTTATTAAACAAACCAATTACCCAAATTTGAATTTATTGTTAAATTTTTTTTTAAATGTTCCAAAATGAATTCCTATATCCATTACAACCATTTGGAGATCTTTCCAAATTCAACATCTGTCATTATATATAATCCAATTAAAAACTGTTTCCATATTGATTCCTACATTAATATACAAAATGCAATAATGGCTTAGTTGGGGGTATTTTTGGAATTTGAAAAGTACAATAAATCAGATTTTATGCTTAATTAGGTAACTTGCTGAGTTGGATCCTAGTCATGGGTTTTTACTTATACAAATTGGGTATTATTTATAGGAACAAAAAGTGAAGGGTTTTAGGTATGACAAATTGAATTTGAAGGGTGTGAGCCAAATTTACTATTCCCAAAACTCACTGTCACTCCCCAGGAGATATATCCTCCCTTGAACCTTTGATGAACCCAGCAAACTCCCAGCTGAAACATCCTCCAGCAGTTTATGGACTGCTTGCTTGCATCTCACAAGCTACCCACTCTCCCTCTCTGCCGTGCTCTCTCTCTGGTGCCTTTTCTTGGTGCGGCTCAAGCACACCAGCCCACACCTCATGCCTTTGGTGCGACACAAGCACACGCTCTCTCCTTTGATGCGGCTCACATGCACACACGCCCACACACCCTTGCATGCCCATTATAACCAAATGAAAGGCTGATTTTTTATCTCCAAAAAACCATCCCACGTGCTTGCCAAAGAAACCAGCCGCATGCCCAAGGAAGCCACAACGATGCTCGTCAAAAAACCTCCCCCATCATTGCACCTTGTCTCCCAGAAAATACATCATCATTCAAGACAAAAAACTATTTAAGGAGGGAACCTAAGGCGCAGAAAGCATGTGTAGCTCCCCCATTTTATTCTTCCTTTCAGCCACCAATTATTTGACCATGCATGCATATCCCATTTTTCTTTTCCTTTTCTTTTTGTTATTTTGCCTAATGGAATGAAAAAGGTTTGGGTTTGTCTTAGAAGCTTCTATCATCATCTACAAGATGACATATTATGCTCCTGCCAGTCACCAAAAATGGCACGCATAAGTAGCAAGCTGACATTAGTTTCGTCAGCTTATAAAAACCCACTTTCAAATTTCAACTCTCAGCTCCAAACCTCCTACTCTCATTCAATCATGCCAGAACTTCAACCCACCAGTGTTATAAGTATTTGTTGAAATTAATGCACATTTGTGCTAAAGAAATGTGTGGAGAAATCTAGAAGCTTTGAGATGAGCCTAAACTATTGGAGAATTATCTAGAAGAAAGCCACACATTTGTGGCCGGAGTAAAGTCGGCTACTCATCAATCTCTAAGAAAGATGAAGTTTCCAGTGCAAGACACATATGGCTAAAGATAAATATCAATGGAGGAATTCTCTAGAGCAAGACTACAATAACTACATACTGTATTAGAATAATATAGTTAAGTCTAGAAAGTTACATAAGCTAGAAATGAAGAAGCCAAGTCGGTGGAACTTGGGCTTTGTCGGTTCGGAGCAACTATAAAAAGGCATGAAGCCTCCAATGTAATTAACAAAGTGAAGAAGTTGGGAGTCTAAGATCTCCCAAACTAAGGGAGAGCCAATAAGCTAACTAATCAAAATGTAAGGGCCAAATAGTCCAAACTAATCTAAGTGAAGGGCCAAATAGCCCAAACCATTCTAAATCAAGCGTGTTGGTCAATAAGCCAATATGCTAAGAGCATCTCTAATCAATGTGTCAAAAGTGTCACATAGACATTTAACAGCTATAAATAACATCTCATATCACTCCAACCGATGTGTCAAAGATAATGTGGAATGAAGGCTGGAGGTTGAGATGTTATTTTTGACATCCCAAAAGCAAGATGTCAAATGAATATTTTATTATTTTTTAAGACAGTTGGTTGTTACTTTCATTTATTATTATTATTATTATTATTTTTTCTATATCTTAAATGATTTGATTGTTACAATAATTATTTATTTGACATATCGGGTGGAGTGTAAAACAGTGTAAATGTCAAATTGCCACATCAGCCATTAAATTTAAATTTGATGTTTGGTATTTGACATCTCCTTTGGAGATGCTCTAAGAGCATCCACAGTGGGGGGGTGTATTTTCGGGGGTGTAAAGCCACTTTTACATCCCCTTTACACCTCCGGGGGGTGTAAATACGTTTTTTGCTCCAATGGGAAACGATGTAAATCTAAAGATGTATAATTGATTTGATTGTCTTAATTCGTTTTTGTGCTAAATTTGTATTTTGTGTTTACTTTATCAAATTAATTTTTTTTATATTAGGTTAATTTTATTTTTTCAAACAAATAGACCTAAAAATATTTAAATTAGGAGAAGATATAATTTCATCCAAAAATTCCCAAAATTGCTCCGTATGTGAATTTTTTTTCAGCGATTACTGTAGCAATGGGTCCCACTCTTTTATGATGACTTTTCTCCACTTTTCCTCTTCTTTTCTCGAGTGGGTCCCACGTGCAAGAGATATAAAAATAGATGTAAATATACATTTTATTTTACATCCCCATAATGGTGATGTATATTTACATCCATTTACATCTCCCCATTACAGACGATTCCAGTGACTCGGGGTGTATATTTAACATACACCTCCATATACACCCCCCCACTGTGGATGCTCATCCACAGTGGGGGGTGTAAATTCGGGGGTGTAAAGTCACTTGCACATCCCTTTTACACCTCTGGGGGGTGTAAGTATGTTTTTTGCTCCAATAGAGGGTGTAAATTCGAGGGTGTAGCCGTGGGTCCCGACCTTTTATGTTGACTTTTCTTCATTTTTCTTCTCTTTTCTTGGGTGGGTCCCGCCTGCAAAGGATGTAAAAATAGATGTAAATATACATTTTATTTTACATCCCCATAGTGGTGATGTATATTTACATCTTCCCATTTGAGACGATTCCGGTGACTCGAGGTGTATATTTAATATATACCCCCATAATATACACCCCCAACTGTGAATGCTCTAAGTGTAAAAGGCCAATTAGCCTACATAAAGCCATGTACTATTCTTCTCCAAATATAATAAAATTACTTTGTTGTTTCCCTTACAAACTTACAGTATTATTATAAATTATATTATTATTCCATTTCCATTTCCCTTTGCCTTTTTTTTTTTTTTTTTTTTTTTTTTTTTTTTTTTTTTTTTTTTTTTGGGTCAGACTTGCCGTGTCACTTTGTCCTAGTGTTTTCATATTTTTCTTATCCTCGTGTCGCGTGTTCGCGCAACATAGCAGAAGATGCTACAGTAAGGGGATTCAGAAGATGCCACGAAGAGAAAACAAAAATAATGATGATGATATAATTAATTATTCAACGCTGAAACAAAGCAGGAAGGGAGGAAAGAAACAAAGAAAAAAAAAGAGAGAGAGAAGGAAAGCAGAGCCAACAATGGCAGCAAAGATGATAGTATCAGTGTTGTTAGGAGGGCTTGTGCTATTGCTACTATACCTCTATGAGTCTTTGGTTTTAAAGCAAAAGAGGCTAAGATCAAAGCTTGAGAAGCAGGGATCAGAGGGCCTTCTCCTTCCTCATTCTCTTGGGAAATATCCCAGAAATGAAGAGGATGGTCAAACTCGAGGTTATGAAGTCAAAGGACCGCCATCTTTCCATTGCTCATGATTGGCCTTCAAAGCTGTTCCCTTATCTGCTACAGTGGAGAAATGAATATGGTACATTCTGTCATCTCTCTTTGAACTTGATTTTCCATTGGAGTTTTCTAAGGAGATAATATAACAGCAATGGTGTTGGTTTAAAACTATAAGCAGAAGCAAATATATGAACAGTTCTTCCAAGGGCAAGGAAATTGAAAACTGTACATGTTTCTTTTTCTTCTTTGGATGAAGAGAAGAAATGAAAATAACATAGGGGAGGTGACCAAAATTTTATTTTTGTTTTGGCCATCTTCCTGTTGTTACTCATATGTTCCTAATATGCATATACTGGTGTGGCAGGGCCAAATTTCACCTATTTAAGTGGAAGCATACAGCAATTAGCAGTGACAGATTTAGAAATGGTGAAGGAAGTTAGCTTATGTACATCTTTGAACCTAGGGAAGCCTGGCTCGTATCTAAGGATCGCAAGTCACTTTTCGGTCAAGGCATTATAGCTGCAAATGGCCCAATTTGGTACCACCAAAGGAAGATTATTGCTCCTGAGTTCTACTTTGTTAGGGTTAAGGTAAGTCACTGAATTCTCAACAAGAATTATTAAGTATTAAGTTAGTTTTCTATTTCTGTTCTAAGGTTTAATTTCTAGTGTAAGATACCATTTGAATGCAAGGTTTTGTGATGCATTTCATGTCCTCAAATGGGTTGAAAATTCACTGCTTAAATTACAGGGTATGGTGGATTTGATGGTGGACTGTACAACCACCATGTTAAGATCTTGGGAGAGTAAAATCGAAGGCGAGGGAGGAATTGCAGTCTTTGGAGTTGATGAGGATTTGAGAAGCTTGTCAGCAGATATAATATCAAGAACATCCTTTGGAAGTAATTATTCACAAGGCAAAGAAATTTTCTTAAAGCTCAGAACTCTTCAGAAAATCATGTACCAGAGATACATTGGGGTTCCAGGTGCAAGGTATATACTATATATATAATACAAGGAAGCTTATGGTCATCATACCTTTTGCATAAAAACTATTCTCAGAATGGTATTTCTTCATAAATGCTTAAGCCCGTTTCTGCAAATTCCTCACTGGTTTCATGCAAACAGTCCAGTAAACTAAATGTCTCGAAAAAATTTTAGATACTTGGCAACCAAAAACAACAGAGAGATATGGAGATTAGAGAAAGAGATCAACTCAATGATATTAAGGGTAGCGAAGCAACGCAGTGCTGAGGCAACTTATGAAAAGGACCTTCTCCAAATGATTATCGAGGGAGCCAAAAATTATGAAGATACTGACAGCCTATTTTCAGGCATCTCCCAGGATAATTTCATAGTGGATAATTGCAAGAGTATATACTTTGCTGGCCACGAAACCACTGCCATCACAGCATCATGGAGCTTGATGTTACTAGCTGCATATCCAGAGTGGCAAGCTCGTGCCCGTGCTGAGGTACTTGGAATTTGCATGGATCGCATTCCAGATGCTGATATGCTTCAAAGCATGAGAATAGTATGTCACTTTACTATTTAAATTATACATATGTAATAAGGAGATGTTATTCACACTCCAAAAAGTGCTAATAACAAAGGAATACTGAACAGAAACACTATCGAACACACACAAAGTCTATACATAATCTATCATAATGATGTGAACTGTATTCTAAACTAATTATATACATGTTGGCAGTTGAATATGGTGATTCAAGAAACCTTGCGCTTGTACGCGCCGTCAATGTTTGTTGGAAGAGAAGCCTTGGACGATATTGAGCTCAACGGCATTCTAATTCCCAAACGAACGAACATTCTGATTCCAATCCCAATACTGCACCGGCTGCCTGATATCTGGGGGCCTGATGCCCTTGACTTCAATCCAAAAAGATTTGAGCATGGAATTCTTGGGGCTTGCAAGTTTCCTCAGGCTTATATGCCATTTGGAGTTGGTGCTCGAATTTGTCTTGGCCAACACTTAGCCATGACAGAATTGAAGGTGATTCTGTCTCTTATTTTATCCAAGTTTTGCTTCACACTCTCCCCTGCATACCAACACTGCCCAACTGCTAGTATGGTTATTGAACCTGAACATGGAGTAAGTCTCCAAGTGAGGAGAGTGTGATACTTACTAGTTCTGTAATAGCATGTTGTGGACGGCCGACTTTATCATTGCGCATATATATTGGCAATTTTTAACCTGTGTTTCACCTGTGAACATTGAAAATAAAAATGAAGGAAGAGGTCTTTTTGTTTCATTCTTCTTACTTGTAAGCTAGATGTAAGATGCAACGTGGGATGAAACATTGCGGGTGAAGTATAGTTGTTCGATTAGGTTTTATTGTGTGCCTTGGTTATGAATATATTTTTGCTCTCCACCTAATAAGTTAAGCTTTTACGATTTCTATCCAATAAGTCTCTGGTGTTTTTTCAAGTAAAGTAATGACCACAAGCTTTCAAATTGTAGGAGACTTATTTTGATGAATTAAAAAGGTTCACAGTCTTTAATCCAAAGGGAGAGAGAAAAGGTTCACAATCTTTATTCCAAAGGGAGAGAGAAAGAGCGTGAGAGAGAGAGAGAGATTAGGAGAAGCAATGGCAAAGCGTCAACACCCCTGTATTTAAGCGCAGCTAGAATCTCTGATCTCAATGTTATACAGCGTCTCCGAAATGTATGCTCCTCACAACCCTTCCATTTCTTCTTCTTTTGCTTTTAACTCCATCTTAGCCCTTCTGGAAAGCATAGACTTCCTTTCACATTTAACCTTTTTTTTCATCCTTCATATTTCTTCTCCAAAAAACTTGTTACTTTATTATAAGAAGAATATTGACGTTCTTGGAGACATTTCTAGAGATGAGAAAATTATGGCCCCGTCCCCGCTCATTGTATCAACCATAAGTCCCAACAAAGGGTCCAAATGCATAAGGAGCCACTAGCCTGTGAATGTGACTAGATATGCATGTACAAAAATTTCTTGTGATGTGTGAATTTATGCATGAATTACTGCTATCTGTCGTTACTAACATGTCAATGGCAAACTTAATACTGGGTTGTCTATAACTATTTCAAGATACCTATTATTAACTTTGCCACTGACATGTTGGTAACAGACACATGACAATACTTCATGCATAGATACATGCATCACAACCAATTTTTGTACAGGCATAACCGGTCTCATCTTCACAGGCTAGTGGCTCCTTATTCATTTGGAACTTTGTACGTACAATCACCCTTTGTTGGGACTTATGGTTGATACAATGAGCGGGGGCAGGGCCCTAATTTTTCTCGTCTTTGGAATGTCTCCGCGAACGTCCATCTTCTTCTTCTCATTTGCAACTATCAAAGCAGTGGATGAGCGGGGGTGGGACGATGATCAATGACTGAGTGTATTATTTTTGCTTGTCCTCGCTTTTATGATTGACTTCTGGCATAGGTGCCAAGTATTTTATCCCAAATCACAAAGAAGGGCTGAGAGAAGTTATGCTTGGTTTCATGAAGCTGATGGTGAATAGCATAGTAAGAACATGCATGTTTCAAAATAATAGTGCTTACCATGCTATTCACCATTAGCTTCATGTAACCAAGTATAACTTCTCTCAGCGCTTATTTGTGATTTGGGATAATATACTTGGTACCTATTATATGCCAAAAGTTTATCATAAAAGACAAGCAAAAATAACACACTCGGTCATTGATCATCGTTCCCTTCTCCGTCACAGGATAAGACTTGGAGTTTGGCTTGCTGCTGTTGTTCTAGTTCTAGAAGCGGAAGAAGTCCTTGACCCACAATGGGGCAAATGCCTCCATAGGGTGGATATCTCGTAGTTCACCATTGTATATATTGCCTTTTTTCATTCTGTGCTGGAATAAAAACTGATTATTCAACGATATACATGACCATGCATTTTACCAAACTGCACCAACCAACAAAGTAGTTCTGGTCTTCCCTCCTTATTATCCACAACATCCTCCGGCAATCATTCCAGCTTCTTGATAAAAAAATACACACACACACATCATGTGACATTGGTGGGAATAGAACCGCCCACCGTTGCTGGGAATTGCACATCACATGTCATATATAAGGTTCTCTTTGTACCATGAGAGAGTTTGATTAAAGTCTCTGCATACTATTTGTATTGCTATGTGCAAGGAGGTGCTATTTGCACTCTCCATTAGTGTGCTAAGTGTGGTGCATACTATTCGTGTGACGAAATATATTATGGACAGAACGAATAGCTTGGTGAAACCAAGTAGTGCTATTTGTGATTTCCCTAATATATTTCATCACAGGAATGATATGCACTTCCCTGCGCACTTACCACATAAATGGAGAATATAAATAACACTTTCCTGCACATAGCGCACGCCTTAATTTAATTTTCTCTCATGATACAAGCAGAGCAGACACTTATACACTCACAAATTGTTACAAGTCTTCACAAAGATCTATAAACGTAGGCAGTGTGTAAACGAAAAAAGCAACACCTATTGTAAATGGAATTATTTTATTTTTATATGAATAATATGTTAGCTTGCTTACTGTTTCTCCGATGTTTGCATTTTGTATTTTGTTAACTCCATATTCTATAAGCGCAAGTGTGCCTAGTAAATCCAATAATAGGAAGATTGGGACAAAGATTCTCAATACTTCTTCTGGAATTTGAAATCTCATATTCATCTGAAATTTCAAATTATAGAATATGAGATTTCAAATCTCAGATGAAGTATTGGGAATCTTTGCACCAATGTTCCTATATGAGATGTATTCAAGCACACTTGCACGCTTATAAAATATGCGTTAACCAAGTACAAAATGCAAACAGCCAAAGAGAGTGGAGAGAAAATTGGTGTCCAGGTCTGGCTCAATAATATGAGAATTTCATTCCAAAGACACACGCAATAGAAGTTGGATTACCACCTTGCATCGCATCTGTGTCTGCACTTAAAAATCGTGATTCAGGACGTATTATTATGTATTTATCCGCCAGCATTCTTTGTAGCAAGAGAGGCCTTCTAGACCATCACATAAAAAAACATTGTGCTTCCAAAGGGTGTGATCCTTCAAATACCAATCCCCTATTTACCCCAGAAACCCTGATCTGCATAAGTCTAAGCCGGATAGATTTGTCAACGGAAAAGGCTTGCCGGTCCCTGCAGGCTTATATGCCCCTCATAATCTGTGTTGGACAACACTTAGCTATGACAGAGCTTAAGGTGATTCTTGCTATGATTCTGTTGAAGTTTCGCTTCTCCTTGTCACCAGCATACCAGAACTCCCCTGCTTTTAGCTTGGCTACTGTACCTCAACATGGTATTCTTGAGAGTGACTTCTTGATATGTTTGTTTCAGAAGCTCAAGGGCTCGGTATGTTAAATTGCTTTTGTATCTGCAAATAATGTGTCATAGACTATGCTGTTAACAAATTATCCATGCGCATTTTTTTGACTAGATGATCGAAGCATTATTCGCAAAATACGTTCCACCGTCACTAAAAGGCAGAGGAAAAGACTTATACGGGTCAGGAAAACAAAAGAAAGTTTTGATGTATTTGTCTTGTTCTTCATTTTGGGCTGGATTAAGTATCTAGACCAATATACATGCAAATTCGACCATCAAATTTGGCTACAACGATTACTCTTTGTCTGCATTTCATTTCTTTTCTTGTCATGAAGACGAGATCCGTGGAAAAGATCTACATGCCACACAATGTAACCAACTTCAAAATTCCAGACTTTGAACAAGTTCTGGGGAAATCTAAGGAAAAATTGCAAGGCACAAATGTTCTTTTGAGCTTTTATCTTGTTTTTTTCTTTTTGTTATCTTGTTTGAAAGATTAAGATAAGTTGGTCCTTTTTGCTCTGGAAACTCATGAACAAAAAACCAAACGTATTATACAGCATAGTTTTGGGTGGACAAAGACTAACACATACAAAACCCTGTGCACTTGTCACCATACAAAACGACTTGCAATATAGAAGAGTTGACATGGAACTGTTGCGCGCGGGGGCGAGAGGAGAAACAGAGAGGATTTCCTTGTAATTGCTCTCGTTTGGTTCTTTCTATTTGTGAGCAAGAATCTGATATTTTTTCTTGTCTCTATTGTATTTGGTGAGTGACTTTGGGTGTAATTGGGATTTGGGCTATGAGAGTTAAATTCTGTAATACCCCTTTGGTTGTAATCTCTTTTGGGATACTAGTGAAATTTCTTGCTGACTTCAAACTGGACATAAGCTACACACGGTCGAACCAGTAAAAATCCTTGTGTCTTTTGGATTTCTGTATTTTATATCTTCTTGTTGTTTCAAAGGTTTCATATCCACCATCCAGTCCAATCCACTTCTGCCATGGTATCATAGCTCCAAGTTTTGACTTGGGAGTTTAGTGTTCGTGATGATGAAGCAGGAGACAAAGGGAAGTGGTGCCACAAATAATGTGGGAAAGCTTTGAATATTTGGGTGCTACCAGCCATTCTTTATGGCTCTTTCTTTTGGCTTTTGACTACACGGTGGGACAAGACAGAGAGTAGTGGAGCTGGTGTGTTTATGAACACCACTTGAGGTGCCGTGTGCACCTAGAGCAATAAAAGTGAGAGAGAGGGCATCAATTTGGTAGTGGCATTGTGCCTCACCATTTGGAGGTGCCGTGTGCACCATAGTGCTGAGAACTGCTGCTCTCTTTGTTGTCGCACCAGAGAGAGGAGAAACAGAGAGGATTTTCTTGTAATTTCTCTTGTTTGGTTCTTTCTATATGTGAGCAAGAATCTGAGATTTTGTCTTGGCTCTATTATACTTGGGATTTGGACTGTGAGAGTTAAACTGTGTCATTCATAGAATAGGTGAGAGGGTTAATCCTCTTTGGTTGTAATCTCTTCGGTTGTCATTCCTATTGTCTTTTGCTTATTTGCAATGATGTATGCTTAAGAGTTGACATGGTCCATGGAACCATAAGAAACAAAAGACCGACTTTGATGCTACACTCCAATGATTTCGCAAAAAATTCAATAATAGTCACATAGTTGTGAGTTTTTGCTATAAATTGGATACTAAAAAAGAATAGACAGAAAGCAAGAGAAGCAGAGGAATTAGTATAAAAATGGAAGCTGAGGCAGCAGTAGCAGCAAAGGTCGTAGTGTCAGTATTGTTGGGTGGGTTTTTGGTCTTGTTTTTATACCTCTGTGAACTTGTGTTATTGAGGCCTAGAGGGCTAAGATCAAAGCTTGGGAAGCAAGGAATTAGAGGGCCTCCTCCTTCGTTTCTCTTAGGGAACCTCTGTGCAATAAAGAGGCTGCAAAGCAAGGGCCATTCAACAGCAACAAAGACTGCTGATCCAACAAAACTCCATCATGATGGTGATGTAGCTTCTATTGATCATGAATGGCATTCAAAAATCTTCCCCTACATCGAGCAGTGGCGAAATGAATATGGTAGGTTCACTCTCTTGCACATATAACATAATTAGTTGGATTGCTCAGGGCTAGGTGTGGTCCAGTTTGATTTGTCTCTCAAACCACTCACCGAATTAGTGTAACGTCACAATTCCGATTAGTTCAATTTATGCTCAAATTAGTAGAATAACCAAACCAAACCAATGAATTCAGTAACATGTATGCTTCATTCATATCCTTCGTATTAAAAACAAATTCAATTTGAGCTCCCAATTACCTTTTTATTTTATTTTTTGGGGGTCAAACATTTTGATTTAGTAGGTATTGGTTGCAGGGCAAATATTTATGTATGCAAGTGCACACCTACAACAATTATGCATCACAGATGTAGAGGTGGTGAAGGAAATTGGTCTATGCAAGTCTCTAAACTTAGGGAAGGCTTCTTTAACTTCGAAGGTTGTTGGGCCACTATTGGGCGAAGGCCTTTTATCATCGAATGGCTTAATTTGGGCCCATCAAAGGGGAATTATTGCTCCCGAGCTCTATCTTGATAAGGTTAAGGTATGTTTTGTACTTCATTAGGTAAATTCTTATTTGAATGTGCACCATATTGATGGTTCAACAACATAATATCTTAGACAGATTGTACATTAACCTGTTTTGAAAATAATTCCAATGAGCTAAATAGTGCGAATCCCGCGTCCAGAAATTAAAGCTTTGTATAACATCTTAAATGATTTCGGACATCTCCATTCTCAATTAATTAGTTTTGGTTTGGATGCTCATGTTCTAATAAAATAGAGCATGAAGACACTAACTCTGTATGCTTTCAATTCATTTATAAATCATTTGTTCAACTCTTTTCTAAGGGCATGGTGGACCTAATAGTGGACTCTACAACCTCAATCCTAAGAAGATGGGAAGATGAAATCGACAGCAAGGGAGGAATTGCAGAAATTAAAGTTGATAAGTATTTGAGAAACTTAGCTGCAGATATAATTTCAAGAGCTTGTTTTAATAACAGATATGATCAAGTCGAAGAAATCTTCAATAAACTTAGGGCTCTACAAAAAGTTTTGACAAAAGGAATCATGTCGCTTCCTGGTTTGAGGTATGATATTACAAACAGATCTTCATGGCATTTTATTTCTAAGATTTTGGATACTAATTAGTGTGACAGTATAATTTTTTGCTCATAAGTGGTTTCACTTCAAATTATGTCCGTCAAATAAATTGATATCTAAAATTTGTAGCCTTAGCATACATACATACATCTGATATGTCTGCTCTTGCACCATCGTGACAGATTGCTGCCTACAAAAGACAATAGAGAAACATGGAGATTAGAGAAGGAAGCTGAGTCAATGATATTAAAGCTGGTAAAACAACGTATTGAAGCTTCAGGTGAGGAAGATTTATTCCAAATGCTTCTTGCCGGTGCTGGGGACTCCAAAGGCCTATCGCAGAAGAAGTTCATAGTCGATAACTGCAAGACTATATTCTTTGCTGGCCATGAGACCACTGCCATTGCAGCATCATGGAGCTTGATGCTACTAGCTGCACATCCAGATTGGCAAGCTCGTGCTCGTGCTGAGGTGCTCAAAATCTGCGGGGATAAACCTCTAGACGGAGATATGCTTCGAAGCATGAAAGTGGTATGTCACGTAAGAAATTATCTCTTATAATTGATAAAGATAACAATACAAACTTGTATACTAATTAAGACAAAATGCATAGCATGAACAAATGAAGAATTGATCAAATGGCCTCAAATTAATGCTATAAATTTTATGGACACAAGGCATTTGATTGCCACCTTACAATTGTCTGCAGCTGAAAATGGTGATTCAGGAGGTGTTGCGTCTTTACCCGCCTGCATTCTTTGTAACTAGAGAGGCCTTTGAAACTGTCACACTCAAGAACATTGTGATTCCGAAGGGTGTGATCCTTCAAATACCAATCCCCTTTTTACAGCACAACCCTGACATATGGGGGCCAGATGCGCATGAGTTCAACCCGGAAAGATTTGCCAATGGAACTTTTCAGGCTTGCCGGTCTCCGCAGGCTTACATGCCATTCGGAACAGGTCCTCGTATCTGTGTCGGCCAACATTTAGTTATGACAGAACTTAAGGTGCTTCTTGCTTCAGTTCTATCAAAGTTCTGCTTCTCCCTCTCACCAGCGTACCAGCACGCCCCTCTTTTAGTTTGGTAACTGAACCTGGGCATGGTGTTATTCTCCATGTCAGGAAAGTGTAATGTTGTGAAGTTTCAGAAGCTCTGGGGCTCCTATGTTAAATTTGTTCTGTATCTGCAAATAATGTTTCATAGCATTGCAGGAAACAATATGCTGCTAAATATGTAATCTGTCATGGATCTATCCCAGCATGTTTTGTAAAACATTTTCCATCATTAAAGTTAGATGCAGAGGAACCGATTTCCACTTTACAAAACAAGAAGAGAAAAGGGAAGAACATTCTTCAATTTATGCTTTTTCATGACTAGGTCATTGATCTATCCAAGTTTTTTTTCTTTTTCTTTTCTGGGTAGATGATCTAAGCATTCCCAAAATGATTTCCATGGTTAAAGAAGCAAAGGAACAGATTTCTATGAAACAAAAGAAGAAAAAAGAGGGGCAGATGTCTCTCTCCCATAATTATTAAGGTTTGTATTAATCACTTACATATATCTGGATGACTCAAATATCAAATATCCAGTAACAATACATGTATCCAGCAAGACAACATTACCCTATATATAGCTGTGTGTGTTTTCTTGCCAGCCTGCTAAAATGCCTTATGTTACCATACTGTGAATATAAACCATCGAGATTGATTAGCTCGATTATCGCCAAATGTGTGTCCAGATTTACAGTATGGCAGCATAACTATGACAAGAGAACATGCTCCATGTACACAGGTCAGGTACTCAAAATAACGTAGATTGAGTAGGTGAAAGAATATACATGCAAATTCACCAATCAGATTATATTTGGCTCAAATGTTCAGGCTGTTTTTCATTTCTTTTCTTGTAAATTTGCAATGAAGATGAGATCCTGGAAAATATATAAATGCGACACAACATATCATCAACATTTCAGACTTGGAATGGAAACAAAGTCTAACATTGTTTGTTGACAATCCAAAACAGTCATCATTCTTTCACTGATGGCACAATATGCGAAGAAAATTCTGAACTTCTCTG